AAAACAAAGCCATAACAAAAATAAAAATGCAGCATAGTTAGGAGGACTGTTTTAAGTATACAGTGTAACAGAACACACAAACACACACACAAATCCAAAATTAGGTTCATGCCAATTAACCCCTCTGCTGTCTACATGAGGGGTCTGTGTGATACATTGTGAAGACAGGCTTGCAACAGTCCATTTCCTCTCATGCTTGTAGCATGTCAAGGGATTTCGATCCCAACCTTCAAAGGGTGAGATTTAGGTCTAAATAGCATACATTTTCCAATACTCCAACTGTACTAAAAAGGGGACGTGGGTAAAGCAGTTGCACAGCATGGAAACTAGTGTGTTTTTGCATTCTAACAGCATTATGTAATATTTGAATTAAATCATACAGCAAAAAGGTTGTTGTATTAAACACGCACACACACAAACAGCAGCAGGACCTACATTTACCATTGGCCCCTACTCAATATTTTCAGTTTCAGTTCATTAGCTTTCTTCAACAGGGAGGCATTGAATACTTCTGATTAGAGAGTGTAATTATTCCTATTGCCATCAGGCTACACTCTTAACCTTTGAAATTATCCAAGTATGAAACATTTATGTGAAGCATTTGCTATCTTTCAGTCTCATGAGATTGGTTCTGATTTTACATATGGCATTTCACAAAAAGAAAAGAAAAACCAAAGCTTATATATTTGATTGGGATAATACATGCCCTTTTTTTGAATTACAGAAACTTGCGAGTTTTTAAATGCTGATCTGGGCATCAGCAAAGAAAACTATCAACATTAGTAGCTATTATTTACTAGAGCTGCAAAATCCTTGCTTTGGGCTGCAATTGTAGATTTAACAGTGTTTATTAATAAACTACCTATGCATGAATAGAATTTAGATAGTAATCCTCAATCCACTTACCACTGAAAAGTCTTGTAAGAAAAGTCTTGTAAGAATACTTTTACAGCACCTCAGATTAGTGGTTTGAGGACTACAGCTTTACCTAAACGTTGTAACAAATGTCACAATACAAAGCTAAATTTTGGGAATACTATGCATGTAGTGGGCATTTTCACAGACATTTTCACAGCAGCTGCTCATACTGAAGCTGAAAAGGGCCCACTGGAATCAGCTGGAATCACCTGAAGGGTGTTTCTCTGTGCCATCCTGGACCCAGGTAGGTTAGTGCTGCCTAGAAGTCAAAGGCAGGATTATCAATCGGTTCACAGGAAGTTTTAACCTCTGCGTTCCCATGAGCAGTCTCCAGGTACAGTTTTGCCAAGCTAAGAAGCAGAGACAGACAGAAGACCATGCATACCACATGCAGACAGGTTGAACTCAGTTAAACATCTCTGCGTATAATCACTCCCCAAAAGTATGATCTGTAGGCAGCCATTCATGGAAAAAGCAGGATAGGGCCCTGGGTGCCAGCAAGGAGAAACACCCTTCAGGTGAGTTTAACAGGCCCTTCTCCTGTACTGGCATACTGGACCCAGATGGGATGTTTGAAAGCTGACCAAGATCAATAGGGTTATTGGTGGCTGCCTAGGGTGGAGGAAGCACACTTTGTAAGACTCATCTTCCAAAGGCCACTTCAGCTGAAGCAAACAGGTCTACCTTATAATGACAAATGACCCTGTAGCTCCCTGGCATACCTCCTAAAGAGGTGTGTTGGTTGAAAAATGCTGCTGGAGCGAGCGGTAAATTTGTTGTGGTAGGCAACTTTAGGAAGTCACAAGCCAGGGAAATGCCAGCCTTAATCTGCTTTGCCCGGGTTGAGGGCAGAAAAGATAACAAGGAGTCTTTTTATGTTTGAGTCCTAGAGATGTAGCACTTTAAGGCATCTTAGGGAGTGCCACACCTTCTCAGTGGGGTAGAGTGGGGAGCTGCAGAAAGTAGGCAGAATGACCTCTTCGTATCAGTAGAAGGTCAAGTTGGCTTTTGGGATGAAGAAGGGATCCACATGTCTGGGAAGGTGCACCAATGTTTGGCCAATGAAGCCACTAGTCTTGTCAATACAGAGACTTGGGTGTATTGCAAGGCTCCAGAAAATACTTGGATGCCCAACATTTGGAAACAGTGGACCTGCTTCCCATAACTTTGCCCAACACTGCTTTTGATTCATTCATACGGAGACATGAGTGCAAATCAGGGTAGTCATGACATACAAGGGCAGGCCGCAGTGGCACAAGAAGAGCAGGCCCAGGCCCTGGCTGTTGTGCAACAGGTGCTGCAGTAGGCTGTTGCTGAATAGGTTAAGTTGGGGGGAAAGAAATTTGCAATTTCTGCTAACAAAAATTGCACGTCGTTAGTTAATTGTAGCTGCATGAATAGGGGAAATTATTTGACTCAACAGCTAGGGAGTTTAATCAGAGAGGGAAAACCTGGGAAAATCAACAGTGGGAGGGGTAGAATCCATTGCAGAATATATTTTTTTCAGAATAAAAATGATTTTAACAACAACCAAACCTCTCACACAGAGAGACAAGACAAGTTGTAAGAGAAAAATAAAGCTATCTGAGGTAGCCATGGTGAGCTAAAAATCAGCAGGATGCCGAACTCTGACTAGGACTTGGGTAGATGGGAAAATCCCCCATGGAACACAAAAAGCAATCAGTGAAAAATACAAACAGATCAAAGCATGCAAGAAGAAAGGAAATTAGAAGGATCCTGGCCAAGTACACAGTACAAAAAGAGCAAGTAAAGAAATAAGCAGGTGAAAGTAGAAAATGCAAGCCTGAAGCAGAGGAGAAATCAGAAACCTTCCTAAGCTGCTGCTCTCGAGGAACGTATTTGAAGACCGATTCCAGGAACAGTTAAAACATCCTGTGACTCTAATGACATTCCCGTCTTCAAGCTCTAGGCAGCACTAACCTACCTGGATCCAGTGTGCCAGCACGGAAGAACGGTCGTTTTCCAAACTGAAAATGAGGCTTGCTTCCTCATCCAGGGGGGTGGGGGGTAGGGGTGGGGTGTCTGCAGCAAAAAACAAAGAAACTTTTGAGCCATGTGTGTAGTTCATCCTTGCACATGAGCTTGTCTTTTTATCCTTCCATTACATTTTACTTGGTCACTGTGACTGAAGTCACACAAAAATCTTTCATTTCACTGTCATCGTTAGAAAGATTTGTTAAACTAAATTCTGTATTTCAGAAAAGGTTTAATGTCTTCTGCCACTAAGGTATGATCTTTCTCTTTTAGAAAGGTAAGCCAGATGTTTTCCCCTCTAAATTTTGAATGCACATGTGTGAGGAAGGGGGGGTGTCTTTAACACAGAACACAGTATTATCTGTAATTTAACACACAAAACAGCATCAAGAGCAGACCACTGTGCTGGAAACATTAAAAAAAAACTTGCTCAGCTCTCTCAAACTTCAAGCATAATTAATGGGGTAAAATTGCAGCAAACCTCTATTGATATTGGTGGGAGTGCAAGACAACCCACAGCTTTTTAAACAAGGTAAAATTAAGAGGTATTATAGTTACAGTGCAAAAATTAAAATTTCAAGCATAATACATACACATAGCACCAAAAACAAACAAAAATGCATGCAAAAGGGAAAAAAGACACAAAAAGAACAAAGAAGAACTGAGGTATTTAAGTGAAGGGTGCCTACAAATATCTAAAGAAACTTAGGCATAGCCTAAAAAGTATGCTTTCATATCAACTGAAACAACAATAATGAGCTAGTTATTCTAAGGTAAAGGACCTAAATCACAGATGTATCAAAAGTATGGCAATTTCTCTCACACAACAACTTCCATGGCATTTAACAGCACAGCTTTGGTAGGTGAAATATGCATGCAATTCTGAAAAGTACAGTAAGAAATTTACGTGGAAATCGCTCTTAAAGGTGTAAAGGTGCTCCGTTTGTTAAATATGTACCCAATATAAAATCTGCAGCATATTTTAGGTGCGATATGTCAAAAGTTCTTTTTAAAGCAACAGTTTGCACTGTGCAGTTAGCTATTATTACAAAGTTCCAATACTGGAAGCAATGCCTGCAATCCACCAGGAAAATCTCTTGCACAAGTCCCTTGAAGGGAAAGGAGGTTCCACAAGAGTGATGGACTGTGCTCAGTCTCGGTTTCTGTAACAATGGAAATCAGCGAGAGACTTTTCTGTTTGCAATAACAAATAAGATCTGTACTAACCATTTCCTCTGAATTGTTAAAAAATAACCTCACTACATATATATGAATACGATTTCTATTACAGTCCTGTAATAAGTTGGGTCACAGCTAAACTAACATGTTGTACTGTAAATATGGAGCTTCATCATTGTAAAATGCGTTCTAAAAATGAAGGGAATGTAATACAGTTTGCTCCAAGGAGTTCAGAAATGAAAGGTTGCATTAGTGAGGGCTTATGTACTTTTAAGGCAAGAACCTTTTGATGCAAGACTATGCGGCATCAGTTTTAAAATCTATCTGATGCCAGACATTTCAATTTAAACCTGTCCCTAACAAACAAGTGCAATAATGATTGGGAATGCCATCTTAATGCAAAGATGGCATGGAAAGAACAAGGACAATACTGGCACACTTAATCCTTACACCAAATCATCCGGTGCAGTTTATAAACTGCTTCGTGACTGGCACTAGTGCACAGATTTGAGGAATTTCAAGATTACTATATATATATACATATATATATAAATCTAGTAACTGCAATAGGCATAAGCTCCCTGGCCTTTAAACACTAAGCAAAGCTGTACTGACAAAGTAAACCAAAGATACCTGACAACAATTATTTTGAACACTTGCTAAATGTCATCATTAAAGCACTCTTGTGATTAAACAAAGCAGAAGTGAGGAAAGAAGACAAGATTGTGTTTGCGCAAAAAAACCCTATAACTACATTTCGTTCCAAAATTATGTGTACATGTTAAATGTTGTTAGCTATTTGTTATCAAACTTTAAATGCTGTCTTCAGTTTGTTCCTCTCAACATATATCTTTTAAATTTCTCTATTGAGTGTGTGGTTGTTGTTGTTGTTGTTTTTAAGAGGTGTCTCAGCTATTTGGAACCTGAGGTTGATTTGCTTTGAGGCTTCGTAGAGCTCTTCTTGCTGCAGCAGATTTGGCGATCCGATAGCTTCTTCCAACACCTTTGAACTTTCCCTTTCCTACAACTTCCACAGTTACTCTGACCTTTCCATCGTAGGTTCTTTCCGCAGGACTGCGTGAGTGGAGGGGGAAGCAGGAAAAACAGAAATAAACACATATGCCAATTAAAACAAAGATACTCAAAGTGGAATCAATTCCGGAAGAATAACCATGTTAATCTGAAACAGTGTACGGTCCCGTGAAACACAATTTATTGCAACATGAGCTTTTGTAGAAGCAACAGCCTACTGCAGGGATGCATGAAGTATAAAGACATTGTGTACATATACACACATGCATCCAATGGGAGGAAACAAAAGCCCTTCACATACTTCAAATGGAAGCAAAAGTGTAGTTGGAAGTTCGTTACTGTTTTTCCTCAGTTTTGAGATTTCTTTTCCAGAAGAGTATGTCATTAAACTTATTACAAGGACACTGGGTGGCATCCAGCTAAGCAGTTCTACTAGCAGACGCACTTCTAACTGTGCAGCAGAACATCCCACTCCTTCTCCCCTCCGGTCCCTAAATCTGCTCCAAAGTACTGGAGGAAACCCTAGAACATATTAAAGGGGTGTACAGCAAGAGGAGGAGGTCCACTGTTAGGCAAAAAAAAAAAAAAAAGTTGTGCCAGCAGAGCTGTTTAGCTCGACATCACATATTACTATTAACTCAATTTCTTACCTGCCCTTCAATATAAGGTCACAAACAATTTTAAAATGCAGCAATTTTAAAATACAGGGGTTTTTTTAATAATACAAATATAATTCCTATTATACAGTAAAACACAATTATAATCCATTGCAAGGTGCATGACTTCAGGAATATTTTACAGAAATATTAAGCAGATTAATTCTTACCTAAATTTAGCTGTCTCTGGCTCCATTTCCAGCAGCTCTCGTACTGGGGAACGGGGCACATTTGCAGAGAATTTCTCTGTGATTAAAAACAACAACAACATGTTTGTAAACCCTATTAACAACAAACAATGAATTACTGAACATTTCTTCCGAGAGCTCCAATGTTACCTATTAATGGCCTCATCATTGGATAGTACACTTGCCAAACCATTTCAAGAGACATTCCACTATCCATGTAAATGGCACCAGCGAGTGACTCAAATATATCCCCCATGGCCTTTGGTACTTCTATGTCCTCCTCTTTTTCTTCATCTTCTTCAGATCTTCGGAGCTAAAGCAAATACCAAAACAAAACGGTGTTACAAAATTGTTGCAAATTTTCAATTAAAAAGGATTTATTCACTCAGAACTGCAAATTTTCAACTTCTAGACGAGCAAGAATGGATTAAACAAAAGTCTGACATTAAACTGGTATTAAGCTAGCTTCGCTATCTAGTCCTCCTTCTGTGTGCTATTCAAGTTCCTTGAGATCAGCCTTCTTTTTCTTAAAAGTTTTCTGTTCTTACAGCTGTGAAGAAATGTTTGAGCGATGCCTGTTAAAGTCTGAGAAGCAAGAGGGTGACTAAGATATCAGTGAGTGGGAATAGGCTTCAGTGTCCCCCATTCCCAACTAAAAAAACCTCCAAGAATTATATGCAAAATTGCAGCATTATGCAAGAGAAATGGTGTAAATATGCTCCATTTAAGTAATTTATACTGGTCTCAGAACTCTGTTTTTATTGGCACAGAATTTGAACTACTTGACCACAAAGTTTATTTTTTTAAAAAAAAATATGCAACACACAGCCCTGGTCATAGGGTCAGTAGTTCACAATAATTCTGAAATAGTGTGACAAAAGTCCTTGCTTGTATGTGGCGCAGACAAGGATGAAATTTAGAATGCAGCCAGAATCCGATATCTAGTTGCTGTTCACAATGTCCTATTCAGTAGAAAGCCTCTACTTGATCTTGCCATGTTGTGCTAGATGTTTAAATTCTTCAATATAAACTCACACTAAAATGAGCTTCAACACACACAAATGATTTTCCGGTGCCACTAACCTCGGAATCCATTCCTTGCATTTCATTTTTTTCCATCTGAAACTGCACAAAGTCATCAATAACATGAAACAGCTCGGGAGACACAGCTTTGAAGTATTTGTGGTAGTCGTACTTTACAGCCAATGAGGCAAAGATGGTATTGTTAACAAGAGCAGATCGCAGGTCTGTTAGAACTCCAGGAGAGTGCTGCCGTGGGTCTTCGTAAAGGTGCTTGGTTATGAGGTAGTCCAAAATTGCATCTCCCAGGAATTCCAACCGCTGGTAACAATCTTAACACACAAGGGTTGAGGGATTGGCAAGAAATAGATAGCAATATAATTAACAATCCTCCCAGATAATCTGCATCTCTTCAGGCATGTAAGCTTAATGCAAAAAGGGATTTTTCACATGACTTACCAGTAATGGTGTTGTAATGATAGGAGGCATGAGTAAATGCCTGAAGTAGATAAGCCTTATTCTTAAAACTGTAGCTAATTTTCTTCTCGAAGTTTTCAAAGCCAGATATAAGGTGATGTAAGGTTCGCTCAGCATCTGGATGATCAAACATACATCTTGGAGGAATCTTTAAACAGCCATACATCAAGTCTTTATACAGAGAAGACTCTTGATTGGCTAGAGAGGCAGAAACACAGATTGCTGAAGAATGTTTCTGCTGGTGGTTAAAATGCTCTCTGTAGGAATACAGAGCACTCTCCCAATCAGTTTTCTTAATAACCGGAAGCACTTTTAGCCCCAGTGAACAGAGGAAAAGCTGGGCAGCTCTTTCACCGCAGCTGGTCAGATAGCAGCCCAGAAGGGCTTCCACACAGTCTGCAATGCTTTTGTCAGCAATGCATTGTTCTGTATGTAAGTCATAGGAGATGGACTGTTTTCCAGCATCAATACCACAATTTTCCTCTGATGGATTCCAGAAACCCACTACAAAGTCATCCTCTTCAACAGCCTTGCTAGGGTCTAGATAGCACATTGCATCCCAGGAGCTGTAATCAAAATCATCAAAATCTGATGCAAACTGGACATTAGTCAAGGTTGATTTTTTGGGTGCTTTCCATTCATAACTGTTATCAGTGGGTGAAAATGGGGAAAGGGATATTTTCTTCACAAATGCTCCAGAACCCATTAACATATTGTCAATGAATTTGATATGCTCCTGATCGTATTCCATAAAGTCATCCTCAAAGTCAGCTTCCTCCTTGGGTACTCGCCACATTAAGTCGTCGTCATCGTCATCATCATAATCATCATCAAGTTTTCCATTAGACATCAATCCCTCTTTTGCCTGAAAGTAGGAAAAAAATAAAACAGGAAGGGCCACTTAGTTTAATTACAAAAATAATTCCACAGCATCACAATAAAATGGTTATGGACAGTATTAACTATGCCTTTCTTTCTTTCTCTTTCTTTCTTTCTTTTTTTCTCTTTCTCTCCTACATTAGATCTAAATACATTATTATTTATGCTGTCTAAGAACTATAGATGCCTGAACCACCTAGAAACAATGCTAGGCACTGGGAGACACTGTTCTACAGTGGTTTCAGTCCTTTTTGGAAAGTTTGTCTCAGAATGTGGCACAGCAAAACTATAGCGAAAACAGAAATCTCTATTATCTTGGACTACTGCAATTATATTGTGCTTAAGCAGAAAAATGTCAATTTCTCACTTTAGTAAATAGAGCTTTTTGCAAATCAGTGAGAAGCCGATTTGCTCAGCATGAATGAAACCAGTTTAGACTATTGTTAAATTATATCTATAAACAGATGCAAGAGCTGTAGACCAAATATTTTAAGCAGGGGTTGACACTGATGTAAACAATTACTCGGATAGTACTGAAACACCATGCTAGGAATTTGATAGCTTGGTAAATGCCACCGGTTTAAAGAAAGTTTTAGCTTTCAGATACATATTATATTTGGGGTGGGGGGGAATCACAACAAATTGTGATTTTTTTTAGTTTTAATACATAACATTTTGGATATTCTACCAACACAGTGTTTTTCAATTATGATTTAGGACAAGAATGATACTGTATTCAAATCTGCAAAGTAAACGAAGCTAAGACTGAAATACATCCCAACAGAAACAAGCCACATTGATACAATCAAGCCATTTCCTTTCCAATGCTCTCTCGTTTTTACAACAGAGTAAGAAGAGACAATGAGGGACATCCAATTGTGCCTGTGTACCAGTAATATGAATGGACAATTGAACATTGGGTTTTCTCATCCCTGCAGTCCCTTGTATGCCTCCCAAATCTGCTTTGGACGGTTAGGTGACCTGAGCAATAGGCCTGGGCAACATATCAATAAAAGGTAAAGGTAAAGGACCCCTGGACGGTTAAGTCCAGTCAGCTAAGGGTTGCAGCACTGATCTCGCTTTCAGGCCGAGGGAGCCAGTGTTTGTCCGCAGACAGCTTTCCGGCTCATGTGGCTAGCGTGACTAAACTGCTACAGGCACAAAGGAATATTGGACTTTTTCGTCAATACAGTGTGCGCAGCGACTGGAGCATAGAAATAAAAGGCTGTCCGCAATATCTTTGCTTATTTTTATTTTTGAAAACGTAACAGTCAAAAGCTGCACGCTATCACCAGTCCTCACCAGCAGCTTACAAAACATTTGATCAACTTAAATACAATTTCAAATAATCAATTATCCTATCACATCCCTTCCTGCATCCGGTGCAGAAAGTAACTCCCCTTTCTAATTAGGGAAAAAGTCAAGAGACCACAGGTGTGCCGCTAAGTAGGTCAAACTGCAAACATACACCTGTGAGCTTCAATTAACCAACCCCGTTCCTGCGTAGCATCATTGACCACTTTAAGATAAAGAAAAACCAACATGAAACACTGTGACGGAAACCAGAGTGCAGGGAAACACCGTTTACCTTCCTGCCACAGCAGTACCTATTTATCTACTTGCACTGGTTGGCAGGAGCTGGGACAGAGCAACGGGAGCTCACTCCGCTGCAGGGATTCGAACCACCGACCTTTTGATCGGCGAGCCCAAAGAGGCTCCGTGCTTTAGACCACAGCGCCAGGATTGGTATGAGGAGCAGACCACAATGTCAGCTTTGCTGAGTAGTATATCACTGGTGAAACTGCCACTGCTCCTAAGTCCCTCTGCTAGCAACTTCCTCCAGCGAGCGTTGCTAGCAGAGGGACTCAGGACAGGAGCAGTGGCGGTTTCACCAGCAATATATCTGCCCTCATACTGCGTAGAGAGAAAGAAAAGCTGCATTGGTGAGGTGCCGATACAGCTTGTTCCTCCCTCTGCATCTTTTAACTGGTCGGCTGAGGAGTATGCGGTTGCTGCCCCCTTCAGCCAAGCAGTTAAAGGATTCCCCAGCCCGGCGCTGGCTCCCCCACGAGTGGGAAGAGCACCGGGGACAGGGAGCCCTCCCCACGCTCGGCAGAGGGCAAAGGATCCCCGCTGCTCTCCCCTCTCATCCACGAGCGGGAAGAGCACTGGGGATGGGTCAGCTGGGCATCAGGAACCCTCACCACAGGCTCCTGACTGCAATAGTGAGGCAAGAGGACAAGTTTTCTTATGGATCAGTAACTGGCTAAAGAACATTTTCACAATGGAGGGAATCAGTGGATTATCACAATGATCTTTACTAGGGTTAGTGTTATTTTAACGCGCTCATGAGCAATGAGGAGTCGTGTGAGTGCTGAGATGGTCAAGTTTGTGGGTGACACCAAACTATTCAGGAGGTGAAAACTGAAGAGTTCCAAAGAGCCCTTCCAAACAATCCAAACAAAGACGATCAAGTTTAATGTAAGTGTAGAATGACTCCCATCTTGCAGCAAAAACATCAACTGACAGGACCTTAAAAGGCTGTGACTATGAAAGAGATGCTATGTCTTGATGGATGAAGAAGATGCCAATGTAGAAAATAGTGACAGGGAAAATAATAATGTTAGGGTTCAATTTTAGCATCGTCACATTTGAAATATACCAAGCATAGCCTGATACTGTTGGACTACAACTCCCATCACCCCTTACCATTGGCCAAGATGACATCACACACACACACACACACACAGAGAGAGAGAGAGAGAGAGAGAGAGAGAGAGAAAGAAATACAGGAGAGAGAGAGAGAGAGAGAGAGAGAGAGAAATACAGTTCTTATTTGGCAAGCTCAAAATTCCCAGATTTTTATTTTATTATTATTGCAGAGTGCGTGAACAAGACTCAGATGGACAGGACAGCTTCTTCCCTTTTTTCCTGAGGAATTCCCATGATCAGTGCATTCAATCTATACAGCTAGAGTGCTTGTCCTATCCATATACCTTCAAGTTGTTTCATGGTGTTGGCAGAAGCATCCCCCCACCTTCATGCCCCCCTCTCAATTTGTGTACCCTCCCTTTCTATAACAGCTCACGTGCTGCTAAGAGATTATAACATACAAACTATATTACATGTTACGTGCACGAGTTATATCATTAAAACCATTCTATTTTAAGAGCATAATAAAATAATACTGTTTGAAGTGAGTATACTTGAAATGTTTTACTCTACAATAAATATTTCACAGTGCAAACATTAACAGTCTTTCAGTGTGCCCTCTGGTGGCTCTGTAGTCAAAATATGAATTTCAGAAAACTGATGAGCTCAAATAAAGCATTATTTGCTTTTTCTAATCAAAATATTAACTTTTTATGGAGGAAAGCAAATCATAAAGCAAAGGACCACTGCAGTCCCCCCCCCCATATTGAGCTGTTTTATATGAATATTGAAAAAGAAATAATAAAGTAGAAACAAGGCTATTATTCAGGAAGTTATATTACCAATGAATCAGCAGAAGTCTAGCAATCTTTCTAGCAATTTGACATCTGATTATTTTTACCAGTCAATATTCTTTACTCAACAGTGAAACAACTCATAGTACTAGACACATCTGGACTTTGTCCAAACACTATCTGTGTCAGTGTTTCCAGTAAATTGAGCGACGGCTTCAGAACCCCAGTAAATCCCACTATGCAGTGACAGTTTTGGCAAAGCAAGACAAATACTAGTTCAGATCTATGTTTTTGATCCTTAATGAAGATTTAATGAATGTTAACGAGCTAACAGTCCCATTGCAAAATGCCAGCAAGATGACACCCCACTCTGAAAGCACTACAAGTAAAACCTTTACTTTTGTACTCCCTGGGATAAACACACCAGCCACAACATAATGCAAGTCGCATATGAACCAAGCATATGAAAAGATAAATGTAGAATCACAGCTTTCCTTACATCCCCTCTTGGAAGGAGAAGAGGATTGCTTAGGTCCAGTAAACAACATGCAAATCTGTACATGCAGTCTTACAAACATTTCCATGCATATTTATATATCTGTAGAAGCAGATAATTACTGCTCCTGAGAGGAGGGGAGAAGCATGTGAACCTGAGGATACTGGCTGGTAGTTCACGTAACACCAAACCATGGTCAGGGCTACATCTGAACCACCTTGTGTTCGACATTGCAGCAAGTGCATGGGGCAGAGAAGGGTTCTTAAAAGACAACCCTCTGCAGTGAGACATATTAAAAGCTGCATACACACATCTTTAACCCAGACAATCTTGCTCTTTTGGTCACATGAGGCTAGAATTGCTGAAAACACATTTCATAATAGGTGCTAGCACCAAGGTAAAAAGGCCATCTAGATTTTAAAAAACCCTTATTTTTCATGAGTATTCATGTTCATTCATAGCAAAGAGATAAATGTTCCTGAGGGACATTAAGAGTTTCCTAACAGCAGGCCAAGGAAAATATTAACAGTATATTTTCACTGCAAGTATTTCTGTTCTTTTCCACTTTATTAGTGAACCAATTTCCACAAATTGCCCTTTGTTAGTCTTCCAACATGACTTTGCTCTCTATTTTTATTAATTAAAGCAGTGGTTTAAGAGGAGTTAAACACAAAGATGTAATAGGTGATATTCTGCTGAAGTATGATAAGAAGCAGAAACCCCATTTGACTGTTTCACTTGTAATGATATACTTATACACCAAGACATTCAATTTTACATGCATTTCAACAAAGGCTTACCATTTCATCTTTTTCCCATTTGTCTGTATTACTCTTGTCTTGATTTACTATGTAACCAGGAGGAAGCCAGTTGACAGGTGGGTCAAAAATAGATACCACCATGCGACTAGGAAGCCCTTTCTTTTTTCCAAGACGATACAAGTTACAATTGCTGACCTTTAAAGAAAAAGAATTTATTATAATTCTGTGGTAATTTCCCCCATATATCTCAAAACCACAGCATTTAAATACACACACACACCCCTCCATAATTGTTATCTAACTATGCTCAGATATGGGCTGTTACCTACTATTCATGGTTTATCCAAAAAAAGTTAATATACAATCCGTGTGAAGGACAAGGAATTAGGACAAAACAAAGCTGCTCTTAAGTTTAGGGTGACATGATATAAGACAAAATCCCATGCTCCTAATATATGCATTGTATCTTTTATTGAAATCAGGAACAGTAAGCTATCATGTTTCACACTCGAATCAAAAAGAAAAACTCTTGGTGAACAAGGATATTGTAGAAATGGGAAAGGTTGAGGAAAGGGCAGCCAAAACGATCAAGGGGCTGGAGCAATTTACCCATGAGGGTTTATAGCATCTGGGGATTTTTAGCTTAGGGAAAAGAAGGAGAGTAAGGGACACAACTGAGGTGTGTGAAATTATGTATGGTGTGGAGAAAGCGGATAGATAAAAGTCTATTTCCCTCTCTAGTTCTAATCTAAGAACTTGGGCAATCCCTAATCATGCAAATCACTGTGTGAAGTGCTTCTGCAGATTGGGGTGAGCAACAAGGGGTGGGGTGGGGGAAGTTTAAAGGGAGGGAGAGTTGTTCAGGTGTGGGGAAAGGTCAGCTGCCCCTAGTCAGATATATTCAGCCGTCCCTTCTCAGTGATGATAAAGCTGCTTGCCTTTAGAAATCCCTATTAATTTATACTAGCATTGGTTATGTAACATCAAAAGCTGCCTTGTGGAGTCAGACCACTGGGTCTATCCAGTTAAATACTATCTACACTGACTGGCAGCTGATCTCCAGGTTTTTGTCTCTCCCAAGGTAGAAATGCTAGGGATTGAAATGTAGGAATTTTTGTATGCAAAGCAGGTGTTCTTCCATTGAGCTATGGTCCTTCTACACAACATATTTCTATCCTGCCCTTCATCCCAGGATCACAGGGTGCTTTGTAATATAAAACCACAAAAATACATAAATCATGCTAACAAACAAATAAATCCAGTGCCTGAAGTTCTTAAGAAATCTGTGCATTACAGTGCTACTGGCATACCCATCCATTTCCATCCTGTATGTGGACTTATTATTTTTGGAACAGTTAAGGATCATGGAAGTATTACTCACTTTTTTGCTTCTCATATATGACAGGCGTCCCTCATGAGCATCAGGGTAAGTGCAAAACAAATATGTAGTGATGGCATGCTTTAGAAATGAATCACCAAGCATTTCAAGACGCTCCAGATTAAATCCATCGCTAGCATTTGAGAGAGTCAAAGCCTGAAGAATGAGACCAGGGTTTGGGCCAAGGGTTTTTGAGGAGTATCCCTTGGAAGGGCTTGTTACAGAATCCATTCTTTCCTTTGAAAGATCACAAGCATCTGAAGCACTGGTGTTCAGGGCCATTCTGGGACATCCATCTGAGGTAGATTTGTTAGCATTTCCATCAAGATATTTATTACTCAGTAGAGTACATTCATTGCTGGGCTTGAGCTGGTTCTCACTGTTGTATAAATTCTGAATAGGATACGAGGTAGTTGGTTGTACAGGTATTTCCTGCCTGGAGTAATTTAGCTGATTTCCTTGGCAAAAGTCTCGGCTAGCTAAGTCAAAATTGCCGTTGGCAAGATTTTTATTGTAAGAAACACCATTAACTGTTGCCAGTTCTACCGAGACGTCATTTTGGAGTTTACTAGGTGACTCAATCAATGTTCTGTTGCTCACAGACATTTGGTCATGCTTATCTGCAGAAGAGGTTTTATTAGCACCTTGATATGCAGCATTTTCAGGGACTACAATTGCGCTGTGCTTAAAATAATTTTCATTCTCTGCTACAGAAGAGCTAGAAGCAGAGATGAAGGATTTGCTGTCAATAGACTTTTTCCACCCAAAGTCCAGGTTAGGATATCTGTAAAATAAATTAACTGATTAATCATGTACACACATACATGTAGATAGATGCTGAGGTGATTATTATTTTTTACTGTAAATGTTAATTATCTGAAAGTGTTTTAATTGATTTTGTTTTTACTGATAATGTTAACTGTTCTTGTAAACCGTTTAGAGGTTTTATGACAATCAAGCAGTATATAAATTTTGTTAACTAAATAAATAAGGCACAGGGCCACAACATTGGTGCTTTCCATCTACTTACAACAATCACACACCCAAATAGCCCAAACTGAAAACTGCTTTCGGAACTCACATTCCAAGTCAGCTCCTGAACAGGAATTGAGCCACTCCTAGTAGCAAAAGAGGAAGATCCCACTCATAGGAGCCAACTTCTAGGGGCTAAGGACCTTCCCCCCCATAAAATGTTTGAGGAGGGCAGACCCCCGCAAAGTTGATGGGCGTTGCGATTCAAATGGTGTGTGTATGCTGCATCTTGTGATTATGTGGGGCGGGGCTTACCTCCCCCCCACCCCAATTTTTTATTCAAGTTGGCATCCCTGACCCCGCTGTAACACTTCATTTTGCTGGTCAGTGGCCATAGTATAACAGTTTGATATCTACATTTTTTGATAGATGCTGATTATGAAATCCAAAGAACCACAAGTGGAACAATATAGTTGCTTGCACTGTTCTACAAATACGTGAGCCACATGCTACTATAAGAACTCTGAAACTAAGTGCCTAAGCTAGTTCCCTGCCACCCAATTCCTTTTCCTTCTGTGATGCCTTTTAGATGGATGATAAATCCTGGGATTAGGAATAGTCTTTTTATTGGTCCTGGTAAGCTGCTCTGGAAGACTTTTTTGGTGGATGCATGAGATAAAAATCCTTCAAAGACACAACTACAGAGGAAGTTTGCATAGTGCTATAAGAGGCATGTTGTATTATACATCTCATGCTTGCGCATGGAGAGCATTATGTTTGAATTTAGCTTCAATTATTGCACAACATATTAGGTGTGAGGTGTATAAATAGCCCTTCTATGAGCAGAAGATGGTTTCTACATATGGAAGGCACACCTTTGGCAAATGAGAAGCTACCAGAGGACATAGCAATGGCAAAATGTCAGACTACACAACATAACTTTATAGAGATTAACTACAGTATTCCAATACCTGAAATCTGAAGGAAGTGATTTAACTCCTACACCAGCATCAATGGCGGTTTGGGATCTGAGTTCCTCGGCTGTCAAAAGGCAGTGAAGACGATAAAGAATGCTGGGGAGGCAAACTGCTTTTCTCCACAGCGATGCTGGAATAGGATGGATAGCACAGAGTTCTGGAACCAGAATCTTTAATAAAGAATAAAATTTGCCTTTAGTCTCTCGATATTTCAGAGCACAGGTGGCAACCCAAAGTTTAAGAGCCTGATTTCCCACCAAGGTTTTTTTCCTACCCCCTTCCCTTCCCCAAGACCAAACTAATTTTGGCAGCAGCAGCCAAAAGGGAAAGGAAAAAAAGGGAGAATATACAGCACTGGGAAGGATAAAAGCCCAACACCTTGATAGAGTTGCAGACTCCCATCCCACCCTCCACTCATCAGATCGAACATTTGATGAGTTTGGAGTGGGAACAGCCTCTCTTCAGATAATCTAAGTGGAGGAGTGCATACTTTGGGGGGGGGGTACGTGCAAAAGCGTGCGTGAGATGCAGTTTCCAGAGGGTTGGGGCAAAAGTGAATACTGTCCTCAGACCAAAAGTGGTTAGTCAGCCCATTTTAGGGTACTAAAGAGGTGCTGAACACCATAAAATAGGAAATTCATCATTACCTGCTTGTTCTGTAGACTTTCCCACTTAGCTTTCCTCTTCTCAGCACTACTCAATGGGAGAGCTTTCCCCTTCTGATTCAGATGACGAGGAGTCAAAAGATTAAGTCTAAAGGGAAAATGGGAAGGGCTGTTTTTAAAACATGCAGTATAACTTTGCATTTCACCCTGGAAGTTGGTGCAAGGAAAAATGAGGAAAAGCTTGATTAGAAGATGTTAAAACCAGGGATGTGGGAAAATAATATTAGATATGTTACCAGACTTGGAGAAATTATTTTTGTTTTCCTTGAAATTCCCCAGATGTTTCTCCTGAGCAGGAACCACCAAATGTATTTCAGGCAAAAACTAATTTAAATTCTAAATTCCAAAAACTAATTTAAATTCTAAATTTAAATTAACAAGTGGGGCCTGTAGCAAAATATTGCAGCACGGAGAGCAGCTGTTCTGGATTCCAAGCATTACATTTTATTCTTCCCCTTCCCATTTTCCAGCCCCTCTCTCTCTCTCCCCCACCCTTTCTCAAACATACGGCAATCTGCAGCCAATTTTTTCCACTTCTGCAAACCTTGGGAGATCCCACGTTGACTATATTGAAACAATACAAAGTAGAACTATTTTAAGCTATCAAAACCCTCTTTACCTTGAAGATGTGTGGTCCACATCCAGCAATGGCTGGTTGAGATTGGTCAGGTCAAGGTTATACTTGGTTTTATAATATTCAGCAAAAGTTTCATATTCTGGGGAAGGAAATTTGCTCAGTGGAGTAAGATCTGTGTAGACATCAGCAACATAAAATCGATGAGGCTGATCAAAATTTCGATACCTAGACAGAAGCAGATATTTGGGTTGCAATGTCAAATGTTCTGCTGAACAAGTTCCCTAACATGACCTAAAGTTATACATCAGAAAAGAAGTCCTACTATGCAACCACAAGCAAGTCCAAAATAAAATATAAGTTATTTCCATTAATGCTGAGTGGAATGACTGGATTTATCAAAATAGTTAAGCACTGGCCAGGACACAAAGGGCTACTCTGGGCACATACAGTAATCTCTGCCAATGAGAATTTTATTGGTTTTTCTTTTATTATTTTATTAACCATATTATTTTTTACTTGTAGACTCTCCTGCATATCAGGAGGTGAGCTCCTGTAAGCCAGGATTAAGCATCTTTAACTGTGTTTGTATCTATGAAATATTAGCAGCTGACAAATACTGGTCTCTCTCTCACACACAGTATAATCACCTTGGAATGATAACTGCATCCTGGTAGTCTTCTAATTTGAAAATAAAAGGTGTCTCTTTTGTATACTGTGTACTGGGAATGCCTGTACGTGCTTCAGATTTTTCAATATCTTCCATAAATTTAAAATCAATGTCCAAAGTGCTGGAGCCATCAACTTGAAAGAAAGAAAATTTGTTTCAGCTGTCAAAACATATTTTTTTAAAAAACAAACCCCTTTGTGTACATTCCCAAACATCATCCATTTACCTATTGTAGCAAAACCTACTAAGTTTTAATGCTGCAATAGATCTGTTAGTATCACAGGACTCTTGCTGAACTATAGTTGCAATCCACAGCATCTGGAGGGCATTCTGCAGCCCACAACTTCTAAGAGCACCAAGCTGGTTATCCCTGCTGTATTGTATAACTCTGATGTAATTCCAACTATAACCATTACCCTTTTCTCAAACTATGAATCTAAAATAAACAGAACAATTCATTGGATACAAAGAAGAATGAATAGAAATTAGCCAATGCAAACATATGCACAAGATTCTGCACAGAAGTGCCTGAAGTGATGTAAGAGGTAGCTTCTACAACAGTTCTCAATATCTGTTTTTAAGTGGAAGTGGAAGAACAAAGCTGGATTTACTTCGTTTTTCTTGTACAATGCCCCTCACTTGAGCAGAAAACCCCTTCTGCATGCAGATGGATCCAACCCATTGTATATAAAAAAAACTCCCAGGTTGTGGAATTCCCTACCCATAGAGGTGTGCCTGGCACCTTCACTATACAGTTTTCAACGAACTCTCAAAAAATACTTCTTTACCCTATCCTTTGATACCTGAAGTGTGTGTTTTCAAGACCAACCCGATTCCTGAGGATAGTTTGTTTTAACTGTTTGTAATAATAATTTTTAAATTTCTACGGCATCTTCTGGGATGCATAATAATAATAATAATGAAAATAACGATAATAGCCAATTAATATTTACAACAGTCTTCTCCTCACCAACATTAAGAGGTAGAACACAATAGGCTGAATCAGCATCGGTAGGTCTGAATTCTAGTGCAGGTTTCTCAAGCCGAAGAATGTGAGAGAAAATGTACTGGTGAAGTCTTGTGATCAACTCAAGCATTTGTAAAGACAAAGTGAATCCTGATTTCTTTAGCTCAATAGATATGGTCACTTCTCCCGAGCGGGTGTACACAGGAAAGTGAGGAATCTGAGTGAAGAAAGGGGGAAGGGGAGACAAGTCAATATGAGATTGTTCCAACAAAGAACTGGCCAAAGTACTAACATGCAACTATTTATGCATAGTTTTTCTACCTGAAGACAAATGGGTGGAATTTCATAATCACAGTAATACTTCTGGATTGAGACTGGCTGAGTGGTGCAGAGAACTGATGGACAGAAATGTCTCTTCAAGCATCTCTAAATTCAAATGGATTATGGAAGGGTATGTGTGGCTTTGAGATTTTGGGGAAACTTTTTTTTAATTGCTTGGCATATCACTTGGTAGGGCTAAGCCCTGGCTACCTAATGGACCAGCCTCCACTGACTTGAATCATGAAGTAGGAGAAATGAAGAGTGGAAATAATGCAACAAGCTAAAATACCAAAATTCATTGAGCACCATTAATTGCTTGTAGTCATGTTTCAATGGTATCCTCTCAGCTAACAATATAAACTAAATAAGTTGGGGGCGGGGAGGCTCAGTCGAGCATACCTATAAATCCACCGCCTGGGATGTGGGTGGCTCTGTGGTCTAACCACTGAGCCTCTTGGGCTTGCTGATCAGAAGGTCGGCGGTTCGAATCTGTGTGATGGGGTGAGCTCCCGTTGCTCTGTCCCAGCTTCTGCCAACCTAGCAGCTTGAAAGCACACCACTGCAAGTAGATAAATAGGTACCACTGCAGTGGGAAGATAAACAGCATTTCCGTGCACTCTGGCACTCGTCACAGTGTCCTGTTGGGCCAAAAGCGGTTTAGTCATTCTGGCCATGTGACCTGGAAAGCTGTCTGTAGACAAATACTGGCTCCCTTGGCCTGAAAACCATCCAGGGGTTCTTTACCTTTAATAAATCCACCACTGTCTGTTTCCAAGTCATTTTTATAAGATGAAAAAGCCACTGGATTGCGACATGCAAAGCCACAGATACCAAAAAGCCCTGAGCTACTGCTTTGAAAGGATAAATTATGCTGGAATGATTGATGCAACTATTTGTAGTAAACTAAAATGAAATGATTAAGTTTGTTTCATGAATATGAATGTGTTATGTGACACAATGACCTGCTTGCAAATCTGAAACATCTCAAAGCAGACTAGATAGACTACAAGCAAAAGTTTACTACCTGAGGTATAGGTTTGGCTGTCAGTATTCCAAAACATCTTGCAGTATCTTCAGGAGGATATAGTTTTCGCCGCCTGAAGTTGAGCTCATCAGGTAGAGGGGTAGTTAATACCATTCCAATTACATAAAGGTAACAGGGTTGGTCAGGTTTGGGATAACTATCCGTCAAACATTCTGGAATCTATAGGTATAGAATAAATTGAGTTTATTTTTAAATCGAAAGTTCCCTTATGAATTACTTTTGTGCTTATTTTTTTACTTATAAATTTATCTTTGTACACAAGTAGTTTTAAATGGAAAAGACATCAGGATAAAGGAAAACATTTCAGTCTGCATCCTGAGTGTAAGCAAAACAAGAAGATCAGACATCTCTGCTCCACAACGTGCATAATTTCTACCCTTACAAGTGTTCTGCCACAACAACAGTAAAATAATAAATCTGCAAATAAAGCGCAGCAGTATGGAACAAATAATTCATGGAGCGAACTCTAGCCTACAAAATGCACATGATCCAATAAGCTGGTGAGTCTTTGCAAGGGCTCTAGCTGCACACGGGGGCATAAAAAGCAGCGTATGGATACATTTGTTCTTGTAATAAAGAAGTTCATTAGCAACCGTTTAAAAGATGGAGTTGTTAAGAGTTAAAGGCTAAGTGACTTTACTACATCATAAAACGTATGGGTAGGGCTATAGCACAGTGCTAAAGCACGTATTTTGCACGCCAGAAGTCAGAGCTTCATTCTCTGGCTTTCTGCAGACTTTCATACAGGCACTAATTAGTCCTACATCTACTTGGCTTAAGTGAGGAGGCTCCAACATGTGCCATCAAACCCTGTCTTGAATCACACAAGCAAAAACCTGAAGTAGCAGCCTGCCTTTCGTTCCTCTGCTGTCGTTTAAACATAAAAAGTACTAAGCATTCTTAAATGAAGCAAAAAGTATTAATTTTCCACAATGTCAGATTAGCGTCCACAACATAAAACTTTATACAAAATTATTTCCTCCCTCAATCTCCTTCTCCACCCGCCACCCCCCAGATCTGAATGGAAAAAGTCTGTCTTAGCCTATATGATCATAGTATCCATTACTCCATGGTATTGTATCAAGACTCCTTTCCCCAAACATATGGGAATTATTGTTTGCAAAACATTCCTGTAGGACCTTGGGGTTAGTCTATTCATATCCTGCCTCTGCTATGCAACTTAAAAGAATCTTAAGCAAACATGGTTCAACACCACAGCACAGTCACACATAGTGAGGGCCCAGAACTATACTAACAGCTTTAGGGTAGCATTGCCTTCGTTTTGTAGAGCCTGGCCTTCCTGGAACACTGGTTTCTTCTTCATCATGCAAATCAAGTTCCTCCTCATATTTCACTGTCTCTTTCCCAACAGGCATCAAGTGATCATCCAGTTCACCTAAAATGCATTGATAAAGAACAAGTTATAAATCCAATTTTATTTCATAAAATGTGGAAATATCTATCGCTTCGGGGCCGGGGGAACTTTTATAAGACCTATGATAAAAATGTTGAGGAACTGTGACATTTCAGTGAACTCAGTAACAAAGCATCAGCAGTCAATCCACATGCACCTTATATTCTTTGCCAATGAAAGGTCTTAAATTCCTCATTTGTTTAAGGCAATGTCGTTTTTTGGTTGCTTTTTTAAAAACATTTCCAAGTACATGCAAAAGAATTAAAAATAATCCTTTGTTGGAAGTGACAGGGAACTTAATTTCCTGCACCAATGGCTTGGTGAAAGCTGCCTAAATTTAAATAACCGATGAAAAGCTTTTAAACGTTCTCAGATGCTACACTAATTTTGTTAAATGCTATTGTTTAGAGACCAATCTATAACACTAAGCATCTAAAAGTAATATATTCAGTTTGATCCTATTCATGTTTACTCAGAAGGAAGTCCCACCAAGTTCATTGGGCTTTATTTCCAATACACATGTTTGCATTATTCCCAAACATATTGACTGGGATCCAGACTTGTAAAGGTGGAAGTCCACTCATGCAAATGGCATGGCCTCTCGTCTTGACGATAACCCCAATATTCTCAAAAAAGCTGCAACAGCTGGCAAAAATGGGGTGGGGTAGGAGAGCTATAATTATGTTTAGTTGTATATATTAAAAATGTAGTGACATCTATGAAAATCAATAAAATATTTACTGCAACAACAAAAAAACTGCAGAGGATCTGAAGAGCCTCCATAACAGCAGGGGCGAGATGAGAGGAGTTTCAACTGGTGGAAAGAATTGGGGAAAATCAAGCTGAGATACCTTACAAGTAATCCTCAGGAGTTAGGGGTGGGCACATGGGGGCTGCATAAAGGAGGAGGTGGGAAACCGGCATTGTATGAGTGGCCTTCCACTCACATGTTTTTGGCTCCAAATCCTATTTCCCTGCAGCCAATGATGTATCAGTTATATCATATATCAGGAGGAAGTGTTCCAAAATTTCTGTTGTGCTTTCCACAATTGCATGAAATGTTTTTGGCAGCAAGTATCTAGGCGTTGACAAGCATATCAATAAAAAAGTACAAAATTGTATCCTTTAGGTTTTTCATGACTAAATAAATGTTCCTCGCTTTCAAATATGCTTACCAATCTTATGCAATTTTTCACAGCAAATAAGAGCAACAACTCTCTCTGCCAATCTTGTACAATTCATTGGAGGACCCTAGAAATAAAATTTGAACCAATTATATTAAAGGAAGCATATGTTCTCATATGCACGTGAGCGCGTGCACACACAAGCACACACACACAGACGAACAGCTCCTATGCAAAGGACACCTTAAATAATAATGAAATCACATTAAAAACCCATAGCCCTAAATTGAATAGATAAAATTTTGATTACCAGCACAAGTTGTTAATTTTTTCTCATGCAGCAGCAAATAAGATACATGGGATCTTACTGTATAATAAATACCAAACCACAGATGATTATTTCAAGTGAACAATGAACATGAAGGAGTAATATATTTTCCTTTAGATTCCAAAAGCTCTGTGCTGAGACAGCTGCTAACAGAAACTGGGCCCGGACCCAGCTCAATGAAGCACTTCCTCTGCAATTTCCAATGTGTTCATTCAAGTCTTAATATGCTAGTCTAGTCAGGATGATGAGAAAGATTAAGATTATCTTCTCTCACTTCCTATTTTGGGCTCTATGCTCTACAGTGTTTAGAACAGTCAACTGTGCCCCATTTGATAGTTTTAGCTGATGCAGCATAATTCACTGCTTGCACCAATTATCGAGCTTATGGCAAATCCATGGGATCAAGCTGCCAAGCAGAACAGGGCTGCAAAATAAGCACTACAGCAAAGCATTATCTTAAACCAGTGCCAATGGAAAAAAGTAGAATTTTGAACATATTCCAAACATAAAGTAACGTAAATAAACTGAAATACTTACAACTATTGATGCTCGTAGAGGAGAATTGATAGGTAGATAAAGAGTTGAATAAAATGTGTTATCAGGGAGTTCTCTAGTTTTACACTTGGGAGCTAGATGAGTAAACGGGTCACTTGGCAGTCTAGCACAGTACCTATGTAACACAAGATTAAAGATAATTAAGTTATTCTAGGAAAGAGCCATGCCACTGAAGAATTTAAAATAATGCATTGGGCTTACTCTGGGAAGGGGAAAGTGAGCATCACATGCTAGCCCTGCTTCCAACATCCCTGCAGCTGCTCCGTCTCTGATCTTCTTGAAAAGTCTACAGGAAACCTGAATGTTCAGCTGAACACAGTTGCAAATTGTCTCATAATCAGAAAGGTTCCTGGTCATGTGGAGGCTGACTATACTTATAAGCCCCCTTCAGACCTCCTTGCTAAACAAGGAAAGGTCAGGGATTGAGTGGACATTTTTAAAATCAGATACTAGAAATGAACGGGGAAGGAGGAGCCAATATGTTAAAAGTCAAGGCTCAGAGTCCTCAACTGGAATCACTGTTAAGGATGAACAGTAATAACTATCTGACAGCCATCGAGTGTGAACAAATTGAGCTTAAGGGCAGAGAAGTTCTAATATGCAGTGAGAATGATTACCTAAGCTTTAACAACGGAATTAAACTGGATTCTCTGCTTACAATTTCAGTTAAAAATGAGATTTAGTAGAACATTTGTACACCAGAAAGTGTTACAGAAATAAACAGTGTCCTAAGAGTAAGGGGGGGACGCAGGTGGCGCTGTGGGTTAAACCACAGAGCCTAGGACTTGCCGATCAGAAGGTTGGTGGTTCGAATCCCCGCAACGGGGTGAGCTCCCATTGCTCAGTCCCTGCTCCTGCCAACCTAGCAGTTCGAAAGCACGTCAAAGTGCAAGTAGATAGATACTGCTCCAGCGGGAAGGTAAACGGCGTTTCTGTGTGCTGCTCTGGTACGCCAGAAGTGGCTTAGTCATGTTGGCCACATGACCCGGAAGCTGTACGCTGGCTCCCTCGGCCAATAAAGCAAGATGAGCGCCACAACCCCAGAGTTGGCCACGACTGGACCTAATGGTCAGGGGTCCCTTTACCTTTAAGAGTAAGGGAGCACCATGCATGGGTAAGGTGGGTGAAGGGCAGTGATCAATCAAATTTAAGGTCTGTCCACTGTCTGCAGCCAGAAAGGATCCTGTCAGCAGAACTTCTACCCACCAGTGCCTGGCTCTAACTCCAACCCAGCACAAAGGGGTTTTGGATTGCTGTGTAAGACATACGCTGGTCAGCATTTATTTATGCCAGTGAGCCACACTGAGTGGAAGATTACATAGCAAGAGAGCAGGGTAACTTGTAACTGGTATGATTAGTTGCTTCCCTAAGGGGAACTATTTCAAGTTCGTGTAACAATACTTGTTGATCCTTATAGGGGGATTTAAAACATAAGCAGATTCTTCTGTACCATTAAAACATTGTTCTGCATGAGTATCCTAATAATGATATAAATCAATATTTTTAAAGATTTGATTGCCTTAATTTTTTAATAAAGGGAATCCATAGCACTACCAGAACAATTTCCTCAGATCTAAAGACAGTTCCCCTAAAGCAGGCTGTCTTAGAAATTCAGCAAATTATGTCAAAATTGAAACAACAATAGATTTCATACCTATTAATGTGCCCAATAGCAGTGTTTATTGTGACTCTTGGACCACCGTCTTCTGGTCTTAGCACATATGGTGGGAATATATCATCGTCATCTATAATGGGTTCATTTTCGGTTTCACTAGTATCCACAGACTTCGAGCATTTGTTCCGCAAGATCTTTAAAATATACGTATGACAGAATGATAATTCTATGCAACTCAGAACTGATCTATGTATTTTGCAAAGTTTAATGTCTCTTTTTTCCTGTTCTCCATGCATTTCGATACCTCTTAAAATATAGCCAAATTTTGCAATATCAATTGGTTCCCAATATCAAGAAGCTGGATTCTGTCTATGCAATTAGACATGATTTTGAATCAAGTTGGCAGACTAAACCTTTCAAAACTGCAATTATTTTTCCCCAGACACTTAAATAATTCAGTATAAGAATGTGGGCGAATGAAGAGAGAAACTACCTAGAGCTGTATTAAGCAGCTGCGGCTAAGCCCTAGCCTATGTTACAACCTCCTCATACTATATACAAAAGCTACTGACTAGCTCCAATAACTGATTTGCCACTTTTAGCTACCCCTACCACCTTTAAAGAAGTCACTTGCCCTGGGCTTCACTAATGGAAGGGGCTGAATCAGTATTGGCCAACAGTACATTTTGTGGGGAAATTTGCAACCTGTTACAGGGTGTAGTGAAAACAGAGATGGAGGTGGGAGTCTCAAATGAATGTTCATGCCTGGAATATTTGTCCTTTTACTCATCTGCTATGTAGTAGGCCTGGGGGAAAAGGCTGGCCAGATCCTTTTTCAGACCCTGAGGCACCCAGGGACTGAATTTTTATTTAACCCACCCCTCCCACTTTACTCACTAGGCCCTACATAGTCATTCCTGCAGCTTTTTCAACCCTTCCAAACAATTAATATTCAAACCTCCTGCCCTAGTCACTTCCTCCTATCATTTTTCAAGGCATAATTTTCAATTAAGCTTGGATTCCCAAGTCTCCAGCCCTTAAGTCTTCTTCAGCCCAGGTTCACCATATTTCTTCTAAAACAGTGTTTTGATTGGTGCCAAGGACCCTTTCCCCCATTTTTATTGCTGCTTCAGTGTCTAGCAATTTTTATTTTTATTACTCATTCTCTTTTGCCACATACCTTCTCAATTGCCTTGTAGGTTTTAAGATCTTCTTCAAAACATTTGATTTTGTCTGAATCTGCTAACATGATGTAATTCGAGATAGGTGCCCTGGCCCTTCCTTTGGACTGCACATAGGAACGATATTCTGTGGGCAAATCAAAACGAACCACCAAATTGCATTTTGGTATGTCAACACCCTCTTCTACAATACTAGTTGCAATTAGTAAGTTGGTCTCGTGTGCTCGAAATTTTCTAAGTACCTACAAAAGCAACCAAGAAGATACATATCTAAGACCAATCAGTTATTAAATCATCAGCTTGACAAAAGTTTCATACATACTTCAGAATTCAATAATCAAGTGTACAAATTTGTTCACAAGCCATCAGTTAGCAAAGACAGGTTTTAACCAGAAAATAATTTTGTAATTAGAAAAACAGCTTACTAGAAAAAAGTGGGATTTGAATACTTTCAGCTCTTCTTCATACTAGCAAGGTAAATATTGTAACAGCCGTAGAAGCAAACCACTATTTTTATCACCACAGAGGCCTTTGATAGAAACCCACTGGTTTTGAAGTCTTTGATGCAGACAATGGAAATCAGATCACACAGCAACTATGGTCTTACGGGGGTGGGGGACACTAAAGAATTCCATGATGTTGTGCTGTTCTATTCCTTCTTAAAAAAAGGTATTATTCACCTTTGAAAGCAGGCTGGCACACTTTTGCCAAAGTGTAAAACTAAAGCCCGTTACATTTTTCTGGGGAGGAGGGACTCAGTCTGTTAAATTTTATCGCTGCTTTTAGGAAAAAAATATGATTTTGTTTTAAAAGTTCCTTTTTTCTTTACATTTCATTTTGTGTGTGTCACTCACACAAAAAGAACTAAAACTGTATCAGTTTTTCAGAAACAGGGCATTTACAGCACCTTCACGGAGACTGCAAATCTGTTATCAAAGTAACATTTTGAAAAATAGCTAAAGTTTTAAACCAGGAATAAAAAATTTCATTCTGTAGTATTTCCACATAAACCTTAGCTCATAAGCAGTACAATTTCAGCCAGCTGTTGTTTGTCATTTTTGTTTTAAAATTCAGGTTTGCTTCAGAAACTTGTGTGCTTCTACATATTGATCTATAAGAACTATGCAGAATTTGTAAGATGCAGAATCTCTGGACTTTGCAAAGGTTCTAAAGGTTAAGCAACTATACAGCATTTTTGTACAATTATTTTCATTAAAGTTACCTCTTCCTGCTTTCGGAATTCTACTTCCATCTGTTTACTACGGGGCTGATTCTTTCCAATGCCATGTCCAGTTATAAAATTGCTGCTGATGTAAGCCAGCTCTGGGTCTTGTTTGCCAGCTTCTTTTATCAACCTAAACACATTATACACATTTTGGAAGTAGTTGAGAAAATAGTTGAGAAAATGTAAGCTAATCATCTTTTTGATATCAAGGCGGCATTTGCATTTAAAATTCTTAAAATAAATTCCTCCAGTGGTTCTATACCCAACACAGAGAAAGACAGTCTTACTTTTGAAGCATAAAAGGTATCATCAAGAACATTTAGTTCATGTATTCTTAATGGTCCCAAAGTCTAGAACAGAAAATATTATATCTAACAAGTCCCAAGAGTGATAATTTAGTAGGGACTGATCGTCACATAACCCCACCATGCAGCAAAACCAAGGTTCTTATTTCAGAGAAAAGCAATCCATAGGAAATTCCTATTCTCTTGGAAACCTGTTCCTGGATTTAGTCATTCTGATGATAAGCTTCCACTGGCTTAATTTACACATTACCCACTTGACAAGGGAAGATTACGTTTTAAAATTCCTCATGCTTTAAGCGGCCTGTGATTCTAACAGCCTCTACAAGTAGCCATGGCCAGACCTTGCCCTGCCCTATGCCCTACATTTCTATGAAGGAGAGTGCTGCCATATATTCACTCACAGCATTGCTTCTTTTCTTTGGCAGAGAAATCAAGGAAATTACAAGTGTTTTCCTTTCTTGCTCTCTCTGCCAGCAACTAATTTTATCCCTCACTGGGAAGTACCAGAACACATACGGTCACATGGTTTGCTATACAGCCAATAAGGTGGCTTTGTAGGTCTATAAAGATGGCATGTATGAATGTATATAATATGGAATCCTCATATCTTGAGAAGTATTTTATAAGAAGCGATTGCTAAAACAGAGCTGCTAAATGAAAAGTTTGTCATTCCTACCCCCCCTCCCAAAATATATATATACAGTGGCATTTTCTACTGCTCTTTATTTTTTTCCTTACAGTGGCCTTTGGTTCAAGAATGAAAGAAAAGTTCAGTCTTATGAAATACAAAGATCTTAAGTAAAATTCATTTAAATCATAATGAACACTTCCCAATTGACTCCTTTCCTCCCTCATTTCAATAAACCCAGTTTTTATATGCAAATAAAATATTACTCAGTATCATTTTCCCTGCAACTTTCCCCTCAACAAGCTTAATAAATTAGTTTGACTTCATAAAACTTCATTGTAAGTAGAAGTAATCTGTTCATTATTTATTTACTGTTTTAGTTGTTGCTTTGTTACATATCTTGTATACCATAAAGCAGCCAAAATTAAATTTGTTTCTGTTAACAAGGCTTTAGTTTTTCTGTTTATGAAGAGGACATGAATTGTGGCAATATACAAAACTAGTCAGGATACTTTTAAACAGAAAAGTGGAAGTTGTTTTATCTCTATATCCCCACATACATACATACATACATACATACATACATACATTATTACTCTGTGTATTATCACCTTTGCTTGTGTGCCTGGTATTTGTGGCAAAAAAACCCTTCTGAATTCTATTAAAAATTATCCTAAGCTTTTAAACAGTTGATAACTGCATATTCCACATAGCCTTACTACATTTAAATCATTTAAATATATTTAGAAGTTGTTTTTGCTTATTCTTAAGGGTTTTTTATGTTATGTTGTGGCTCTATCGATCTTTTTCTCCTTTTTCTGAAGTGTGGTTTGCAGAGATTTGCAAAAACTAGCAGGCTTCATGAGAATTTGGACATATTTCTTCTATAATAATTCCGGATTAACATTCAATTAGCTCTTTTGCAATTCACAATATTTTTTATTTTTTTTAAAAGAAATCATACCTGTTCAAAACAACTGCTGTGTATCTTCTTTCCACAAAAATAATTCCACATAAAATATTAGTAAAGGGAGAAGGAAAATTGGTTTCTGTTTTCTCTTTCTCCTCTATTTCTTCATCTTCGTCCTCATCCTCAGAATCACTCCAGGACACATAATTATCCTGATTCCGATTATTATACCACTCAACACTTTCAAACTGTTGCCGTTCATAGGGCTTGTATTTACGCAAAATTTCAAGCAGTTTTATTACTTTTGGGGTTACAAATTTCAGGTCAAGTGAGGCAGGTGAGAAGTGCTCTTCACAGAGTGCATGTATTTTCCTTAGGAAAGTATCTGTAAACAATAAAAATTTCCTGTGCAGCTCCTCTTGCTCGTGCTTTATGTACTTCTGTAGCTCTCTCACCATCATCCCAGCTACTTTATCAGCACACCAGGGTCCCAGAACAAGCAACACTGCTCGGCAGTCTGACAGTATCTGCAAACAAATTAAATTCATCAGTTTGGTATGGCACTGTAGCAGTTGACACAGATTACACTGAGCCCACAAACCATTATTTAGAGCAGTGGTCGGCAAAGTTTTCTGAGGCCGGTCTGGTCCACTCCCTGGCAGACCTCTCGCTGGAGCATCCATGCCCACACCCAAGCTATTTCAGGTCGGAAGAGCGCTGGAAATAGCGTATGCGCATGTGCACAGGTGCCCCACCGTCCCGGAAGTGAGCCGGAAATAATGTATATGGGCACTCCTCCGGGTGAGGCGCACCCGTGCGAGTGCGCACTCGCTATTTCCGGTGCACTTCCGGGACGGAGAAGTGCCTGTGCACATGCGCACACGCTATTTCCAGCGCTCTTCCAACCCAGAAGTCGGTCCCCACGGTGAGAAAAAAAATGGCACCACAAAAAAAAAAAAAGCATGGAATCCCCATGCCAGGAAACTCATGACTCATGGGCTGGAACCAGCCCATGGGCCTTAGGTTGCCAACCTCTGATTTAGAGGGTGGGGGGACGGGGGGGACGGACGGACTGCAATGCACATTTGCTTCTTTGTAGATAAACTAATGATATATACAGGGATTACTGTTCCAGATAAGTATCATTTCAGAAAGCAACAAAGGGAGGGAATGAACTGCATAGCTACATTTTCCTGGGGTTTTGTTTTTTTAAAATCACACATTGGTCTGGTTTGATAGATGACCAGATTCTGAATGCTAAAGGTTTAGCAGAGAGACATGGCACCAATTACAGAATTGTGCATCAATACTTGCTACCATACTTTGTGAAGAACAAAGTTCTAGGTAAGACACACGAAGGAGGGTTCATCTAGAGATTCTGAAATTTGTTCCCCTGTGTTTTCACTTTGTTAGTTAAAAATAGCTTTCACAATTTTGTTATTTTCGTAAGCAATATTGTGGAAACACCATGGGGTGAAGTGGGATAAAACAAATCAGTATACCTGCAGCATGATCTAAGGATATTATGCGCTAACCATAATTTGTCTTGATGTCCAAACTGCACAAATTATCATTACTGCAAACTATAGTATGCCTCCATAACAGAACCAGAAACTCATTGTGTTACACTGGTTCAATATACCAAGGAAAACTATAGTTACCATGAACAAGGATGTGAGGGAGGGAATTGGAACACCCGGGAAGGTGTGCAGATTAGAAGTATACAAGTTCATAAAGCAAGTTCATGGCTGAAACAGATCACTGTCTGAACTATTTTTTCTTGCTCAAGTACAAGCTGCTTGTAGGGAAAATCCTGGAAAGTTTCTACTGTAAATTTGTTCAGATGTCATAAAATAATCTCAGACTAGGTAAAACAAGGGACAGATTCTGAGACATGTAAAATTTTGTGGTACTGAGCAAATTAGCATCAAGAGTGACCTCAGTCCCCTGCCTACTACTTGGTCATTATTTGAAGTGCACTTTCTTTCCCATACTTGGCTGAAGTACTAAAGTCTGATCTTCTGGAGAAGTAGCTGAAAATGTATGCTACCTTGCCAAACTGATTGTCTTAATAATGAGTACGAATAATTTGAAAGTGGCAGTATTTCTGGAAGAAAGCAGTAAATATTTCTATTAAGAGGCTAGACCAAACTGCAGTTAAGCAATGCAGGAACAATGATAAATCATGTGCCCATACCTGTTTAGAAATTAAGGTAGAATCTCTCTCTCTACACAGTACAGATATGTTGCAATCATTCAGAAAGTGAAGTGCATCATCCAGCTCCGTTAACAACCTTTCATAGAGCCCACTTTTGTCAGCATATGGTCCACAATCTACCACAATCTCACAAGGCTGAGAAGTATACCTTTAACACAAACAAACAAGCTTGTCAGCCACATTTTAAACTGCTGTTTAAATGGCACAATTACAGATTTGGTAATTCTAAAAAGCTATATGGGCTGCACAGCAAAATGCAAATTCAACCTGGCCTTACTTTATTGAAATAGGTTTAAAGAATGCCGTTAAGTGTTTAGATTAATTTTTATTTAAAACAACAACAACAGCACACCAAGCATATAGATATCAAGTCACCTCTTCCAACGCATTTTTTTATGAATGGTATTCAACACAAAATTCAAAAATAACAAAATGTACCTGTCCAAAACCACTAAATCAGTTGCAGTTTCCGCACTACTCTTTAGAATGTTCTCCAATTTCTGAATCTTCTCTTCCAACTCTGCTGGATCACATTTCCCATTTAAAATGGAAGCTGTTAATCCTAAAATTCGGGGGCATGATGGACAACTCTCACAAAGCTGAAAAATAAACCAGAATAACCCACAAGGTTAAGTTTGCTCTTAAGTAGGGTGGGGGGGATCCAAATCAAGAAAAGGATCCCAGTGGCGAACAGTGGCGTTCTGCACCTTCTTTTCCAGCATGACACAAATCCTAGAGGAGCAGAATGAAAGAGAGAAGAGGCTTACTGAACTCCTGCAGGGGGGATGAAAAAAAAGTGTTCATGCCTCACACACATAAACCTGGTGACCCCAGAACTGGAAATGATCCTTCTAATATTTTGATATTTAAAAGTAACAGGACTTTTGTTTTAAACAACAACTTTTCGAGTTAGTGCAGTAGGGTAACAGTTTTGAAGTCCTATAGGTCATGTGATCCTAAATAAGAGAAAATTAATGTAGCTTCAATCCCTAAACTGCATGCCTCCAAAGGAGGAAGCCCAAGAACTCTGCAGAATCAGGTGCAAGCCCAGGTTCATTGATTTGTGCAATGTAATGGCTACTTAGTAAGCTCTCCTGATGTTTCTGATTCAACATTTGGCAATGAGAGGTCACCACAAATTTTCTGTGAACTTGTTCACTGGATAGTTTCAAGGAAGCCTGCCAACATTTAAAACAGCATCTAGTGCTCCACTTTTAGACCTCCTTGATGGAATATGTTTAATCAGACCATTTCCACCTTCATTAGCCTCCCAAAACTTGGAGCAGGCTTCTGACTCTGTTAACCATTACAGTCAGTGGTGACTGAAGAGAACTTCGAAATGTAACAGGCACTACTATCCTTGCACACTGAGGACAAAAATAGTTTATTATTGACCATTCTGTCTGCACTGGCTCCGTTCCTTTCCTTTCCCAGTCACTTTGCAGCATCTGATGAGCAAAGAAATGCAATCCTTCCACCCCAATCCTTGGCAAGTGGGAGAACTATTTCCTCAAGGGAAAGCAGCTGGCACAAGAATGAGAGAAATACAGAGAAGGAGGCTTGGTGCACACTGAGTGAGCCACAGTGCCCACATGGGGGTAGGAATGCAAGTCAAGGCGACAGGAAAGCACACACTTCAACCAGTGCTGCCTATTATGGTCTGCTCATTTATTCTAGAAACAAGGGGGAGGTGGATATCCCCAATTAAGAGAGTAATCTGAAAGCCAGTCCAAAAACGGATCAAAATAAATGCCAAGTTAAATATTAATGTGTAATATGCAAACTCTTCAGTTTGCCTACTTATTTGTTTTGTCAGTGGTTAAAGCTATATAGATGGGCCACCTACCTGCATAATTTCTCGATAGGGGTGATCCTGAATTGCAAGATGGCACTCATCAAAAATAAGAAGATTAATGTTTGACAGGGATAAATGGTCATTTTTTAAAATATTCAAAGCGACACGACAGGTCATTACCAGAACCTGAAATATGAAGAGATGCAAGAAAAAAACTGAATGTTATTTTATAAGATTTTTAATCAGCATTAATAAAAATTCAGCATTCATTCTTCCCTCTATACAAAATGTAGGCTAAAACAAACAATTGACCATTCACTTGTACCTGAGACAACATTAAGTGAAGTGCATTTTAATTCTGCCCAAAGGCCACTCAACTGAAATAAAATATTCCATTTCCATCTACTCTCCGGGACCATTTCCAAAGCCTCTCCGGGAGCTTTTATGGCTAAAGAGTGGGGTATAAATCTTTTGACCATGCTGCTCAGTAGTGACTCCCCATCTGTGGAATGCTCTCCCCAGGAAAACACATCTGGTACTGGTTTTTAGGAGCCATTCTAAACATTTTAATCTACCCAGGTTTTTAGTGGTTAAGTAATCTCTACTGTTGTGCTCATCTTTTAGTGAGCTGGGGTAGTACTGGAATATAGGTATGAAATGCCTACAGATGACCTCCATAGCATTTTATACCCTGCCCATCTGGCTGGGTTTCCCCAGCCACTCTGGGCAGCGTCCAACAAAATATTAAAATACAGTGGTCTGTTAAACATTAAAAGATTCCCTAAACAGGGCTGCCTTCAGATGTCTTCTAAAAGTCTGGTAGTTGTTTTTCTCTTTGACATCTGGGGGGAGGGCATTCCACAGGGCAGGTGCCACTACTGAGAAGGTCCTCTGCCTGGTTCCCTGTAACTTGGCTTCTTGCAGCGAGGGAACCACCAGAAGGCCCTCGGTGCTGGACCTCAGTGTCTGGGCAGAACGATGGGGGTGGAGACTTTGCAAATCATCCTAAAAACAATAAAACCTTAAACTATGACACTGGTTTATAATTTGCAGGGGCTTATGGTATATTAAAGCTATGGTTTTCCCTGTAGTGATGTATGGAAGTGAGAGCTAGACCATAAAGAAGGCTGATCGTCGAAGAATTGATGCTTTTGAATTATGGTGCTGGAGGAGACTCTTGAGAGTCCCATGGACTGCAAGAAGATCAAACCGATCCATTCTTAAGGAAACCAGCCCTGAGTGCCCCCTGGAAGGACAGATCCTGAAGCTGAGGCTCCAATGCTTTGGCCACCTCATGAGAAGAGAAGACTCCCTGGAAAAGATCCTGATGTTGGGAAAGATTGAGGGTACAAGGAGAAGGGGACGACAGAGAACGAGATGGTTGGACAGTGTTCTCAAAGCTACCAGCATAAGTTTGACCAAACTGCGGGAGGCAGTGGAAGAGTCGGACACGACTAAATGACTGAACAACAACAACAACATGGTATATTAATTTGCATTACCTGATACTTAGCAAATTCTTGGTTCCATTTCTCTTTTGTCCATGCTTCAGTTATTTCCAAACTTGAATACTCTCCCACTTTGAGATCTGAATGCGTCCTAACAGTTGACACTTGCTGAGCAACTTGGTTTGCTGTATAGGGAAGAAAAAGTGGAATTTAGGCAGCAAAGCAACTACTTTGTAATGGGATTCCAACTGTGTACATGCAATCATAGGGGTGATTCCATAGCAAGCATTTAGTGTGGGATTGTCATGCTTCATTCACTCACATTTTACTGGGCATCCATAAAATGCAGTCAACCAATCATTGTCATCTTTATTTTCTCTGTAATTCTTCTATTTTTACCCAACAAAACATTTTACTTTCAAAAGAAAGTTTTGGCATGGGGTGTGTGTTAAACAAGCTTTTAATTAGTGCTAGGTGGCCATGCTTTCTTTTTTTAATTAAAGAAACTGGTTAGGACCAGAATTAACATTCCTGTAGTACAGTGTTAACTGTAGTATAGGACTATAACACCTTAATACAAAATTAACGTTATAAAATTATGGTACTACTTAATTTGAAAATGTTAGTAGTATTGCCCACTAATTTTATGGTACAGTTTGAACACTTATCCAATCCTTATCAATTATGTACCATACAAAAATGTGTATTACTTCCTTACCAGAGTTGACCAAGAATACTGTTCTTTTTCCATTTTTGTTAAAATCTCCCCTGATCTGATAAGACAGTTCTTTAATGAGTAGTACTGCAATAAAAGTCTTCCCTGAGCCAGTGTTTAAACAGACTATTGTATTATGATCCAGAGCTGCTTCCAGCAGTTCAACCTGTATTGGCAAATACAAAATGTTTTATTTTATTTTTTAAAAAAGAATCCTTAAAATTACATGTAGACAGGTTTCAGCTGACTCAATGAAAGACAATCCAAGACATAGATGTCTCTCTGATGTATCAGCCAAAGAAAGTCAATGAACTGCATACCTAAAACATCTAAAAGTCTATCTGACATTTCTCCTTCCACCCTGTGATATACCTTTTGGAATTTTTCTGTGAACGCTTTACACATGGAATAGTTGCAGTACAGCAAACTGTCATGTAAAGTTTTCAACAGGACCTTAAGATCCTTATCCCTTGAAATCCTATTCTAATATAACTTTGTTGCATGGATGAGCTTACAGGAGTAGTTACATAGAGACTTCAGTATGAGCAACAAATGGCTTACCTAAATCAGCTCTAAAATATTTAGTATTCAAACCTTTAAAACAACTGACGTTATGTGAATTTTTCATAAAAGTTGTAATTTGCCAGAATCACTTTAAAATGCAGAGCAGTGTTCTTGAAACATGCAGTTCTGAAAGTTTTACTGAGTTCTTATTTATTTAGAATGCTTATGTTCCACTTTATATTCCCATATATCCCCATCATCCCTGACCACTGGTCCTGTAAGCTAGGGGTGTTTGGAGTTGTAGTCCCAAAATATCTAGAGGGCCGAGTTTGGGAATGCCTGCCTTAGAGGCTCTCAAAGTTATTTTAAGACTTGCAAAATAAAAAACATACTTAAGTCTGATATCAGGAACAGAAACATTATATGATGGCAGGATTATACAAGTGGCATTTCCTACGCTCATCTTTGTTTTTTCTTGGTGTTTCCACATAGTCCCTGTCTACTAGGCAGTAGAGACCAGAGAAGTCCTCTGAGGCAGGGGAGGGGCTGAGCAGCTGGAATCATTCAGCCCATGACAAAGGCAAGACATAGGTGACAAATAACAATGATAATAGAAAAGAAAGTAGTTCCATTTATGCAAAGAGGAAGACTGCTTATTGTCACGGATGTTTCCTCACATATTTTTATTCACTCTTATTTATTTAATCTTCATCAAAGTAGCAACTTCATGGTAAGACCATGAGCACTTTAATCAAATACTCTTCTGTTTAGTCAAATATCCCTCAAGTGTGACAAGCTAATTGCTGGCGCTATAATAAATTATCTCAGTAAGCCAAAGACGCTAGTGCTGATATCTTCACTGCTTCTAGTGTTAGCGAAGAAGAGAAAAGGGTCTCTTTTCACTGCGGTTCATTCTAATGGAAATGCATGTAAGACGGATACCAGCCTCATGGTCAGTCTCCAGGAAGCAGCCAGATTTCATTTTGCTTAACAAATATTAACATTGTCATTAGTACCTGGTATTTTCTTGGTGTGTAAATATTATCATGAATTGCTTCTTGTTGCCATGGAAGTCCAAAAAAAGGACCCATTGGTGAGGAAGCCGGGGTCATGAGTTGTAGTCCTGCCATGCTGAGGAACTGCAAAGCAGGGCTTTTCATTCATTCATCCAGTGTTTCTTTCATTGCATTTTTGTTCCAACACAGCTTACTGTGACGGGGGGAAAGAGCGTTGAAACCAGTTACTAATCATATCTTACAAAATAAAAATTACAACTTTTACAGTATGACTTTTCCACTCAGGTTTTACATTTTTAAATATGCCCATGGAATCTTTAAAGACAAACTACAGGCAATATTCCAGACTTAACGTATGATAAAATTCAGCTGAATACAGGCAGCAATGCTATCAGTAGTAATAATAATAGAATAAAAGGAGTATTTGCATTGTTCTCAATGTTCAAAACGAGTCATATAAATCATATCTCACTGCAAGTGCTATGTAAATACTCACAACAGCTATGTAAGTAGTGCAAATGGGCACTAGGTAATGCCTAAAGTGGCTTGCCTAAAGTAACTTAGGGAGTTAGTAGCAAATATAAGATTAAACTGGCAACCTTCCAGATCATTGCTCTTTCACCACTACATTATATGAGCTCTCCATCCTGGATAGATTATATTAATCACTTAAGGACTAACTCAACTATATTTCATGGACTTTCAACTTGAATTTTGCATACCTACCTCCTTATGGTCTTGTGCAGTACACCAAAGAATATCATATAACGTTTTTAAAAATCCGTAAATAATTGAAAGTTTATTTCCACATGCCACGGTTGGAAAATTGAGACCAAACAAGTAATGGAAAGCACCACAGATATACCCAGCAAACAAGGCAGTACCCACTTTCCCTATAATATGCTCATTCAGTGCAGTTAAATGAAGAGGAACTCAGATGATGAAAATACTTGTTATCCTGAGTTATACCTGTCCTTGCTATTCTCCAAATTAAACTGGAATGTTCTCTCAACCTATAGCACTTAACAGCAATTATTCCACTACGTTCTCACTGTAGATTGCTATGGGCGGTGTGGGGGATAGCCTCCATTTAATTGCACTTTGAAAAGATACTAATGCTATAAGCCAGTGGTTCCCAACTGGTGGTCTGCGGACCTCAGAGGCTCTGCATTACCCACCCAGGAGGTGTGTGGCAAAATTAACATAATAAAAACCACCACAGAGATATCAACATTTTCAAAAGTAGTGGTTCCACGACTTGGTTTTTGAAAAACAGGGGGTCCACAGTACTTAGCTGATTGGGAACCACTGCTATAAGTAGTTACTATTATTAATGTCAAACAATAAGTAAACAATTGTGAAGTGATTTGAGAACTTATTTTAAATAGAAATGTCCACAAACAAGATCAAAATAGGTATCACCTCTAACTGCATTGATGAAATTGCAGGATAAGCCACATCACCACCTTATCCAATCTCTGCCTAGAGTGCAAATTCTATGTGAAGGTATTGAGAGAATTAATGCTTGACAGGGGAAGATAGTTTGCAATTGCTTTACCCTACCTGATCCCTTAACCATTGTTAAGATATAGGCCACACACTGGTAAATAGTGATATTAACTTCCAGCTGCCACAAGAATAGAGTTCATGGACTAAGCTCAATATAAAGTCATACATATATTTTGTGCTTTGCATTAGTTCAATTCTCTTTATACTGGTTTTGATTTTATTTTAAGGGGGCATTAACTCCAAACAAGTATGTTGCAAGTACTTAATTATACCAGTTTCCTCTGTACAGAAAAGAAAACCTAGATATTGAAAAAGCTATGAACCAATAAACATAACCACAGAAAGTACTATCACCACTTTAATAATAAGTCGTATATAAAGTTTCAAAACTAAACTCCTCAATTTAACACAATATAGATTGCTTTTTCAGAAACCCAAAAAGTTTTGTTTTAGAATTATTAGCAATATACAGCAATTCCAAAAAAATATGGGTGCTGCATGGGCCATTTCGTACGCGGATTTAACCTCTCCGGGGAAATCCGAGCTCAACAGGAGATTGGAGCTTCACAAAGGTGCTGTGAGCTCCGGAAAAAAACCCAAAAGGAAGTTTTGGGTGCTGGGGACCCAGCGGCACCCCTGGCGTATCTCCCCAAAGGCAAATGATCCCGTAAAAGGGTTTGGAAGCTTGAGGGAATGGAGGCACGGGTGCGATGGGGGTCTACTCGCTACTGCTGTTGAGAGACGCCTCTGGTTCCGATGGCAAGCTGAAATGTTTGTGCTGATGGAACGATCAGAAGAGCCCAATGGTGAATTCCTCCCAATAGTCGTAAGAGAAATTGAGCAATGTGATTTGAAGTTTTCTTCCAAAGAAATGCCAGCATTATGTAGGCTATTTAAAAAGATAGTGATTTCTGATTGAATTAGATACAGACTTACCATATTAGTTTCTGTGCCCTCTAAGTATATGTTCTCTGAACTGCATTTTGACACCATTATATCTGCTTCGAGGCTAACCACATTGCTGCTCAGCTCCTGCTCAATCAATATAAGAAAATTGTTAGCGAAGAGCTAAAATACTTTTACACATATTAAGAATAAGATTCCATTCAAGATTTCAGTCAAAAGTGGATTTCTATTTGTAGTTTCTCTTTAGAACAATCAATTTATGATACTCAGATAACTGATGTACATAAACTGTGTTATTAAATTTGAAATAAAGTGTTATTAAAAACAAGAAGGGGTGGAGAGAAAAAAGTTAGTTCAATCCATCTTTGGATGTGCCAGCCCTCCCTGCAACCGAAAATGTCAGTTTTTGAGAGGGCTGTCAATGAAGAGGATGGAAAGACCCAAAGGAACTCCTGTACAAGGAGCCACATATGCAGGAAGGGGAGGAAATAATGCATTAAGTGACCATATTGACCCTAAACAGTTTTTGCTAGATTTGAGAGCCTTAAAGCTAAGTAAAGAAAATTACCATGGTAAGCCCTGTGTTATACCACAAATCCCTTGTATCTAGAAGCTGGGATAACAGAAGTTCCTGAATGAATACTTCCTCCACCACCCCAGTAAAAATGAAAAATATTGTTATTAAAAGGATAAACTCTTCAAGTTTTATTTTATAATGTTAATAAATTGAGTTATACAAAAATGGTGAACATGGCCAATATATAACAATAAACCAGCATAATAATTCTTCATTAAATAAAGACAAATATTAGTTTTAAGAAAGAGTCCTTTTTACATATGAAGCAGCAGGGATAATGGCTTCTACTCTTTCTACAGGTTGAGTAAGAACGTGTATATTTATACTTATCAAAATGACTAAAGCAGCAAGGTTCCCAGCCATTGTAGAAGATACATATAATCATTTTCTAAAATATGGATGCCATTTTTAAATAATTATCCTTGAGAATTTAATGAGATCATTATGCAACATTACATAATCCATACTGGTAAAAATCATCAAGGATTTGGTAACCACAATATAGAGTCAAAGTTTTACATTTTATGTACTGAATGAAAGACAATTTCCTACTCCTAATGAACTGTTCAGAAAGGGAAATAGTATGCTGATAGCAGGTCATTTTTAAAAGTTAAAACAAAGTCAGAATAAAAGGAAACAATCTTAATGAGTAAACTTATAGCCCAAGTAGCATTTAAAAGTTAAGGAGCACCATAGCATTAAGGAGCACACGTTAGCATTTTTCTACCTTGAATCTTGATATTGAGCTTATCCAGAGTTTCCAAGCCTGTAACTTTGTTTCAAACCTAGATATCCTAGAAGGCAATAAAAAGACAGCACATTTTCAAAAACTCTAATAAAACCCAACCACACCATGCAATACTCTTCATCCTTGCATTTTAATGTTTAGCTCTGGAGAACAGCACATTACCCTTCAAAAGTCCTTTTTGGCCAAGGATGCAGACAGTGAGTGTCTGAAAGATTAAGGGCCTGAACATATTAGCTTATTTTCTACTTTACCTGTTAAAACAATTGTTCACTAACATCAATTAGGTTTACAACTGGTTCTACTTCACTTTCTTTCACTATGAAAATGAAATCTTAGGGGAACTTAATATTCACTTTGAAGGAATTCGAAGTTGTGCTAAGGCAATCCTTCTGCCAGACAGAACGATTCCTACTGTCTTCCCCACTTCACACTATCTGCTGTTCTGGGGTTTCTCCTGACCCACCAAAGCCATTTGGGGGGCACGGGGGGGGGGGAAGCCCTGATACACAAGCCGAGTTCCTTGTGCAGGGATTCCACTGACGGGATTCATTAGTTGAAAACAGCCCTATGTTATAGGGCAGAAGTGACTGGCATCCATTTTATTGCAAATTTCAAACACAACTACCACATTATTTATTATACATACTGAGAAAAATGGCGAAACAGATAACCATTGCCCATTTGTGTGTCCTCATTGCCCATTTGTGTGTCTTCATGTAAAACAAGGCAGTGTATCAACAACCCTTTTCCCACTTCACTACGAGAACGGTACAGAAATCAATGGACACTTATTGGTTTTAAAAATTAAATGTTAATAGGCTTTTCAGTTTAACTGTTCTATTTCCCATGCATTTTAGCCAAGTGAAATCAAATTCTTAACAGCATGTTTCTAGTCTGTGTAGTCCAAAAACAGCCTATTTAGCAAAGAGCAAGACAAAATTCATCCACAGGAGTTGAAAAAGCAGTTCACTATCAGTGAAGAATATTGAGGCTATTATCAACAGCAGCTTTGGGGTGTGGGTATTCAGGTTCACATTGGGAAAGTACCAAAACAAAATATCCAGCCAGAACTGTTAATCTTCCTATCTCAGCTGTAACCCAGATCAAGGGGTGGCATGGAACACCATTACAATTTAGATGGTCCTTCTGCAATGAACATATCCCCAATATGCGACAGAAATTCAGCACACAGCATAACACACTATTTTGTGTCAGACTACACCATCTTCTTTCCTCATAAATTTATTATACCCTTCCCGCTAAAGCAGGATGGGGAACCTGTGGCCCTCCAGATGTTGTTTGACTCCAGCTCCCATCATCTCCAGCCACCGTGGAAATGACAGTCCAACCATATCTGCAGGGCCACAGATTTGCCATCCTGATTAATCCCATGCTGATTGTGTGGGACAACTGATTATTCCACACTGCAAACCAAGTAAAGATACCAGACCTTGAAAAGTTTGCAGCAGATGGCTGCCCTTGCTAAAACCATGGTGAAACCACAGGAATCTCAGCTGTAGTTTCTGCCCAATGTTTCTGTAATAAATAGGTATGGTTATGCCAATGAACACAAACCTGCTTCCTTTTTCCACAGAACCTCTGCGGTTGCTTTCAATCCTGTAAAATTTCACTGAATTAAAACAGAATTTAGTCTTCCCTGGCAAGATAAAAGGTAATGCTGCCTTTCATTACAATCAGAACATTTGTCTGAACAGAAACATTTCATTGGTCTATCCCACCTTGACACTGGTAACTCATCACTTCAATCGCCAAAATATTTAAGATTAAGATGGAGGCCATTAGTTTTCCTCAAAAGTGGTGTAAACAGAAGAGTAGAAGTGTAGCTGACAGAAAAATATAAACTGGATACTGCTGCCCTCGGTGCAGCAGGCCCTTTCAGTTCCTAAGCTAACATACTGCTAGACAGGCTTCATGCAAAAGACTGAGCCAAGTTCTAGTAGGAAAGTGCAAGCTTACATCATATTACCATGTCGATTGTGTTGGTGCTCTCCTCTGGACAAAAGGCCTGTTGCAGCAGGCAGGCAGGCAGGCAGGCAGGCAGGCAGCCAGCCAGCCAGCTTCTGTTTGATGGTCAAAGTCATATACCATTTGCCAGGAAGCATAGCCTCACAGAAGCAATACTCCTGGTCCTAAAGCAGCATCACTCACCAGTAAATTTACTTTACAGATAAAGATCCAATGTAAGGAAAAGGAATATCTGCTAAGTACGGAGCATGCTGTTTTCCATTTTAGTTCTTTATGCAAGGAGAAAGATTGTGTGACCACAGTACGTACAAAGCCGTGTGTGTCATATAAACGTGTTTTTATTTGTGCAACTGCTAGTTTAATCCTAGCATACATGCCCAATAATACTAAGTCCTATGCTCTAAGAATATTGTAAAAGTTAAAGGCTCCATATTGCTTCTTAGTGCTGGTCTTTTAAAATGCAGACACCGAAATTTGGCAACTCCTTAGTTTGAAGTATAATGAAACCTACTAATTTTTAGAATTCCAAAGCTATCAAAGTTTAACATTAAAAGCTTTTTTAAAAAATGCACCGGATTTTTCAGGATGCAATTACTTTCAAATAATAATGCGAAATATGAGATTTTGAACACAAAAACTATCTAGAAATACCTTTAACACTTTCCCTCCAACTGTTAAATCATTCACTTAAGAAAAAAAAAGGTGATAAACCAAACTGAGACTAATCTTGCAGTCAGGTCTGCAGAGTCAGTTTTTTCCATACTTTATAAACTTAGGACTCACTGATATAAGCTTCCTTTTCCATAACAACACTAGAGGCAAATGGTAGAGCTGGGGTCTTTTCAGAGCCTCAACCATTTTTTACTTCATGGGAGCATAGCAGCTGCCTATGTGTGGTTTCCAGACACAAGATTTGCATAAATGTAAATCATATACTTCTCTTTTCTACACTACTGAGTTGGAGCTGGCAAACTGCCAAACTATTCAAAGGAAATGTGTGTTCAACTCATTAAGGAATGGCTGTGCCACATTTCTCACCAAGGAAGCCCTTTAAACAAGCACTTTCTATGCAGACATCGTCAGCCCTAGCTAATTTTCTTAAACATGGGCTTAAATGTCCCAGACCTGTAGAATGGCATGGGTCTTGAAACTTAGGAAGCTCCCCCCCCCCGAACACAGTACCCCTCCCCTACACCAACTGGAAAGCTTCCAGCTCCAGAACAACCTCCAAGAGATCAAGCCAGTTACAGCTCATGGATGTTTCCTGCTCAAACCAAGAGTCTTCTGCATACAGCTGGAGAAGCTTGTATCAACTGCAATCTGGATGCTGAAGAATTCCCCTGAGTGAACTCACTTGGGCAGCTAATGTGAGCAAATCTAGCAACTTCTGGAGGCCAAAGGCAACTTATAAATTATCTTCTTGTACAGGGGAAACAATATCCACTGTTGAGGCCTGAAATAACATACATATAGCACATGGGTCACTAGAGTAATTCTCATAAGGCTCCCAATTTTATAAGGCACTTCAAAAGTTTACCGTAAAGGAGCTATAATCATATTTTGTCTGGAGATTAAAGATATTGTCACCATTTCCCATTCTACTGGTTGTATCAGGGCAGCAATGGCGTCTCGGTCATTCATTCCCTGAGATAAAACGGTGAAGTGCTAGAAACTAGGATAGAAACACCAAAACAGTCTAGTCGCCACTAGGGGGGCAGGTCAGCAACACTTTATTTCTTATTTTGATAAGCATGAACTCATACACAATTCACATAAGTGACACATTGATAACACACATTTTTTGCAGAAATTGTTAATACATGTTTAATTTGATGTTGACAATAAAAATATTACTTCAGTTTTCAAAACACTCTACTTTATTGTTAAACTCCTGAACATATACATATACAGTTGAAAACTGAGTTCAGCATGCTCCTTAAGAGCATAAGTCATGAAAACTTCTTGCATGAAAGGACGGTCAGTCTACATGTGGAAGCCTTTTTCCATATCCAGGAGATCTATCCAAATGGTTGCCACTGACTTCAGACCTCTGTTCATTTCCTTGCGCCAATTTGAAGGAAATGTGCTTTAAAGTTTATTTTGCCACATTTTCTTTCCTACAGAAATTTTGCCAGTGCATTAATTATATTATTTATATATAATTATATACATTTATGTGTGAAAGCAACGTTTGGCATATTTGGTGCCAGGCCATTCTGTTGTTAATTTTCAAGGTACAGGGGAAGACTTTTGTTTCAACTGTAGCATTTAAAGCCGCCTTTACCAACCTGGCTGGAACTGATGTAATAGTTATAGTCCAGAGCCTAGTTTCAAGAAAATGTGTGTTGTTAGGTTCCAGCTGCAATCACATCGTTCACTTTATATACCTCTCAAGCACTCCTAGCTGTGCTCTTATAGGCTGTTAAACAATTTCTTTGAATACAGAAAGTTCGTTGTAGCACTTCCAATTACTGGATGGAGGTTTATTCCACATGCCTAATTAAGCAAGATCAGAAAAGAAATGTATTAAATGGCTCTTGCCCTGTAAAGGTTACATATGATTGAAGAGAGCGAGCTCACTCTCACGGATTTAGTTTAGCTGGGCCCACTTACAGCTAAACTATCAGAAATCAAATACAGGATGCAGAATACCAATTTTGCATTGCCATCACCCACTCAAGTAGTTTCAGCTAAGGTTAGAAGCATGTGAATAATACTCCTAATTTGGAAACAATGACTAGCTCTCTGCTTCTCTCCAATATATCTCTTGGGTTCTAGATTGCAACCACCAGAGTTCATGAACTTGTCATGACATTCATTGTTTTGCTTCAGATAAAAGCATCTTCTAAAACCACCACCGTAATTTATTGATCTGTCCACTTTGTGACAGGATCAATCTTGCGGAATTTCTAACTTCCCCTTGAAAGAGGAATGGGGAGCCTGTGACCCTCCATATGCTGTTGGACTTCCATCAGTCACAGCCAACATGGCCAATGGTCCAAGATGATGGGGGTGTAGACCAGCAACATATGGAGGGCCACATGTTCCCCATCCCTGCCCATTTTTTAAAAAAATGCCTGCTTTGACAGTATGTTTATTATATAAATGATTACATTTATTATTACATTTATTACCTGCCCTTCACCACCAAGACTCAGTGCAGGTTACAACTATTTAAAATTCAGTATTAAAAACAGTTAAAACTAATCACAGGACTATGGTAATGTTCACCAAGTTACTACTGCTGCCAATACTTCTTGGCTAGGAGCATCAACAATCAGAAAGAATTGTATCAAGTCTAATATGCCATTCTGAGGCATTACTATTTTTTTAATGATATCCTTTGCAACATGTGCCCGATTCAGCAAGGGACTATACAGACAGAGAAGCAGGTATATTCATGCATATCCTAAGCTGGAGGGGAAACAATGCATGGACATGGAAACTGCTGCACATGATTCCCCAGAGCAGTAGGAGCCACTCTTACAGAGAAAGGGATGGCCAACTGAAGTTGCCTCCAGTCAAGAATGGCAGGTGAGGGCAAAGTTTGAACAGTTCAGCCTCACCTCATCTCATCAACCTTTCAGATAAAGACATAGGCAGTGGAGAGAATTGAATAATACCTATAAATTAGAATGTAACCGGAAGGATGATCAATTTTTTGGATGAAACATGTGAAAAGGCTGAGGGCACATGCCCTCGAAGGAAGTAATATTAAAAATATTAGCATGAAGACAAGTAGTTCTAGGTTGCATTAGAACTGCTATTTAGATATCAGGATATTGATTATTCTAGTGATGTTGGAGATATTGCCCAAAGTATTGTGGAATCCCCTGTGCTGCATAAAAATAAGGTTTGGATAAGCGATAACTTAACAGCAAGGAAGAAAAACTTGCACAATACCTAGAACAAGAAGATGGTCAGAATCCCTAATGTTATAAAAGTCTCAAGATTTCAGGTAATTTTCCATAAATATGCACCCCAATCTAGCTAGGGGCTCTCAGATACACAGGAAGTAGCTCAAAGCACAAAATAATTTATGGGCTCATTCAAAGGAAGGGCAGGGTATGAATTTAATAAATAATAGTCATAAGATGGGTCAAGTGTTCTAGCCCTTAGAATACTGAAGCTCTCTGGTGTCAGGTATACTTTTTGTTGTAACTGAATTTCTAGTAGATATCCTATTTCATTGTGAGTCGCCTTGAGTTCCTTCCAGAAGAAAAGTAGAATACAGATTTATAAAATAAAAAAATTATTTGACTCTCATACCCAAACTTTCTAACTAAGGTACACAGTTAATAAAAGGTGAAAAAATTATACGATCTGAAGAGAAACCAGAGTTCAAAGAAATAGTTAAAAGGACTAATCATTTCTGGTTGTGAAATGCAATTATTCTTTTGGCATTCTTAACATTGCGCAGTGTCATAACTGATCTCTGATGGTTTTAGAGTTTGACTTGTTGAAGAATCAGCTTCCATTTAATATATTTTCAGTAAATGCTAAAAGGCTTATTTCAATTTGGGGAGGATACAATCACACAGTCCTGATAGATAGTTCTGACTGTAGTCCTGACAGCACCTGTCCACCTCCACCAATTCATAGCACTAGCAATTACATCCACTTCTCTGCAGTTTACATTCAAATACTATGGCTCTTATGGGGTTGCCAGTTCTAGTGACAGGGCATTATATCAGCATAGAAAGTAGGCTTCTGGATAGTTTCCTCAAAAAGAAGCTTTATAACCTCTTCCAACCTTCACAACTTGCCCTTCAAGGTGTAGAATTGTACAGTAGTACCTCAGGTTAAGTACTTCATTCGTTCCGGAGGTCTGTTCTTAACCTGAAACTGCTCTTAACCTGAAGCACCACTTTAGCTAATGGGGCCTCCTGCTCCCGCTGCGCTGCCGAAGCACGACTTCTGTTCTGATCCTGAAGCAAAGTTCTTAACCTGAAGAACTATTTCTGGGTTAGCGGAGTCTGTAACCTGAAGCGTATGTAACTTGAAGCGTATGTAACCAGAGGTACCACTGTACTCTGAGGGACAAATTACACATAACATCAAGAGTGGTGAACCTGTGGCCCTGAATATATTGTCAGACTCATTTCCATCAGTTTCACTTGGCATGGTCAATAGTCAAGGATGATGGAAGATGAAATCAAACAACTTCTGGAGGATCATCTGTTCCCCATGACTGCTTTACAGAGTTGCCTGCAACTTTTTTCTTTCCTTTGTAACAAACATGGCATTTGAAATTGCAGTTAGGAAAAAAGAAGGGGATTAATTAACCCTTTCTCTGCTAGTAATTTTGCCTTCCCAAAATTGCCTCACCAATCAAGCTTCTTTTCCCCATGGGAAAAGAATACAGGGTGGCAGCAGCAGAAATAATGGTGCAGAGATTCTTATCAGGCAAAGGGTGAAAAGACAAAGGTCTTGAAGCAGCAACAAGTGTCAGAAACTGTAGTTAACGGGAATCAGAACTGTAGAGTTGGAAGGGACCCTGAGGATCATCTAGTCCAACCCCCTGAAGAATTAATTCCTCTTCCCCAGCAGTAGCAATGGGCACTTTTGTTAAAGCTGTGAAATTTCACTTATCCCTTAAGTTCTTTAAAGGTGATATCTGGTACTGTCTATTGAAGAGAATGCATAACATACAATTAGCAGTGAATCAGGATAATACTTGTAGAGTGTTACCAAGGGGCAAAATTGCTTTATTGTTGCTTGGATGAACAAAGAACCTCATGAAATGTTACTGGATAAACTGTAGGATCACTGTTCCATAGCAAACTATTGAACGCACAGTCCAAATATAATGAGCATGAAGAGAGCTAGCTTCTTCCCATTACTGAGACTGTAATGGGCCAAGATTATACAGAATATAAAATACTACCTCTGCATCATGTGATTAGTGTCTCCTTACACTCATCAAGAGCAGAAAATTTGCTACAATACATCAAGGGAATTCTGCTTTAAAAATCATGCCTTTCAAAAGATTACTCTACCACAGTAAAACATCCAGTTTATTATTTGGTGTTACTTAAAGCTTGATTGATACAGTAAACAAATCCCCACCACCACCTTGCCCTTACTATGAAGTTACAATTCCAATCTTCTCATGGAGCCATGAGGGAAACATTAGAAGCAGCAGTGAATAAAATTCACATCTTTTGCTCAGTTGCAAACAGAGGGATGAGAAGGGAAAATGTATTTATTCCAAGAAAACTGAGTTAATTTAAAGTGTGTGTGTGTGTGTGTGTGTGTGTAAAAGAAAGAACCCTCCTGTTATCCCAACAATGCCAGAGACAGACAGCCGGAACAGACGTGAGGCAGCAGCGTGCACAGGAAAAATCGAGGTTACCAGACATCTCTTATTTATTCTAGCCTCGTTGACATGCATCAATGGCAGTCACTTCAATTCAAACCCCTGTAAGCCCACAGTGTCATAGTGAGACCCCTTATTTCTTGGGACATTGTGTTCTGGTAATCCTAAAGGACAATGGATGAAGTAGGACAAGGAACTGGGAGGAAAAAAGATCATGCCTGCGAAAGCCCATTTCTGCTGCTGCTGCTGCCCTGCTATGGCCCACACAATTGGCTGAGGTTGGGAGACAAGGAAGCACATCTAGCTGCTCTCTTAATGCAAAGTGTGGCAGCCTCATGAATTATACCCGTAGGAGCACATGGGCGCTGACCATCCCTCCCCTCCACAGCCTGATCCATACCTCATTTTTAAAAAAAGAAAATGGAGAGAGAGAAAAAGAGTCTCACAGACTCCAACAAGACTTGTCTCCACAGGAAGCAAATGCTTTATCGAGCACCACCATTCTTTTTAAAACAATAAAGACACAGGATGTTTTATTTGGCATTACTGCGGGTGTTTAAGACAGAAATGTGCCAGTAGCACGGGTGCTTTCTCGGAACTGCTGGGTGAAACTTATAAGCTGCATCCAACGTTCATCACGCTCAGCGCACATGGCTCACATGGGCCCCGTTAATACCAGTGGATCTACTCTTGAGAAGGAACGCAGCCTTAAGGGGGATGCATTTCAGATTCATGGGCGGGTGGCCGGAAAGGGAAGAGCATTTGATCAAAAAATAAAAAATAAATAGAGAAAACGTTGGAATTCTGAACCCCTCTTCCCCCCTGGGAGTTCGCCAAACTGAAGAAAGCGGGATATCCCCGGGGAGACAAAGAGCAGCGGGAGGAAGCTTGCTGCGCGTGGGGAGGAGGAAATAAAGCGAAATAAAGGCGACACGGCCGCCCACCCCCTTTAGGGAAACGGAAAGCAGGCGGATTAAGCTGAGCGGAGGCCCCGACCGCGCCGCCTGGGCGAGACATAGACAGACACCGGGAGGGAGAAAGCGAGGCTGAGAGGAAGACAAAGGCGCCCTTCCTCCTCCTCCTCCTCCTCCCACCCGGCGGCGGCCCACAGCTCCGCTGAGGGGAGAAAGAAAGGGAAGCCCCCCCCCCCCCGGCAAGTGCTGGGCTCCAGGGCAGGCCCGTTGAGGAGCAGCCAAGCGAAGGAGGCGAGCGGGTTGTGAGGGAAGGAGAAGGGCCGGGTGGAGCCTCCTACCTGCCAGGCGGGACCCAGCCTGGAGCTGCCCCGGTTACAGGCGTCGCCTCATTATGCCGCTGCCGCTCCTTCCGCCGCCGCCATTTCGCCGCCTCCGCCTCTTTTAACTGTCAGGCTCCTCCATTCACCTGGGCCCGGTTAGGGCAAGCCTCCTCCCCGCCCCTGCCTACGCAAAAGGAGCTCCACCCTCCTCCGCCTATAGGGCCCGACTCTGCGCTGCTGGCGCAGAAGCGTTCTGAGAATCCGGAACTCGCCGCCGCCTTCGCTATACGTAGACCAGCGCACAGGAGAGAGGGAGAAGGAGAAAAACCACACTCGCCTCAGTTTGCACCGATGAAACGGCGGGCGCGATTGGAGAGGAGGGCCGGGTGAGAGGTGAAAGGTGGAGGGGCGGACCAATCGGGTGGCGGGAGGCAGCGTAAACGGGCAGGGGGCGGGGCTTCGCTTGGGCAGAGGCTCGCGTGCGCTGATGGCTGCGGTGCCGGGTTGCGACAGCGCTGGCTTAATGAGGGGAGCGCAAAGGAAGCCCTGCTGGGAAACCCGCAAGCGGGACCCTGTTGCTTCCAGCAGCAGTTATTGGGAAGCATTGCTGTAGTTTGAGTATGTGCTCTGCCCTGAATCTGCCACCATTCAGTTTGACTTGCGTGGATGTCCCATGAGTTCTAGTCAGCGTTCGAAACTGCCATTGTTCCAAGGTGCATTTTGCGCCTAAGATTTTGGATTTGAAACTGCAGAGTGGAAGAAAAGGGGGAGGTTTTTCTGCCTCCCCACCTACAGCTACTCTCTGAAGACTGGAGAAGAGACCCTCTTAAAAATATTAGGGGGGTGGGCAGGGGAAGGACCAGACCATGTGGAAAATGAACATAACCATGTATCTGCAGTTCATACATTTTCAGCTTTGTATTCTAATTATATAAAAAAGCACGCCTTGACATTCCGTTATTATGCCCATAACCTAGGTTCACAGCATAAAAATTAAAAAAGCAGCAAAAAGCCATAAAAAACAAACCATAACCCCACCCCAGCCCATTTTTAAAAGGACACCCTTGCCTTTTCTCTAAACTGAAAATTACTGTTGTTGAAGCCTGTGGGAACAAAAGAGCCAGTTCCATTTTGGCGACATCCTTTTGGGGCCCTAAATGGAAATGTTGTTGTTTAGTCCTTTAGTCGTGTCCGACTCTTCATGACCCCATGGACCAGAGCACACCAGGCACTCCTGTCTTCAAATGGAAATACTTCAGACAAATTAAAATCTGGACAAATGGCAGTTATCAGGTTAAGATTGAGAGCACTTAATACTTGCCAGGACCAACTGTTTCCACTGGTCATATAAGGACCTGTGAACAGGCTGGGAGGCCTCCTTCATGCTTGTTCTTATACAAAGGAAAAAGGTCAGACTGCACCCTGGCCAAAGGCCTGGCGGAACAGCTCCATCTTGCAGGCCCTCCAGAAAGATATCGAATCCTGCTAGGCCCTAGTCTCTTGTGGGAGAGCGTTCCACCAGGCTGGGGCCACGGCCAAAAAGGCCCTGGCTCTGGTCAAGGCCAGTCTAATTTCCATGGGGCCCGGGATCTTCAGTGTGTTATTGTTTGCAGATCTTAAGCATGCTTATTCAAATACAGGTTATTGCTGCATACCAGGGGGTTGGACTAGCTGACACTTGGAGTCACTTCCAATTCTACAATTCTAAGAATCTGGATCCCATTATAGTCAATGGGGCAGACTCCCAAGCAAATGCACACAGGACAGTACCCATAATTTTACCTACTCAGCCCCTAAGGGACCAGTACGCTGATCCTAATTATATTTATTTGCAAAGCAGAGTCTCTCCTCTTCAAAACCTTATGGTGCAAGCCCCTCTCTGTACAAATTTTAAACTGGAGCCAAACCCACATAAAAGTGACAGGTCAAGGCAGGAGCTTAATCACCCCTTTCTTTTTTGTCTGAAATTCTACTGTAAAATGGAGTGCCCCTATCTTATGAGCATCAAGAATTTCCTAGTATCCTGATTTCCACATATGCCTAATCAGTTGTTAAGTGGGTCAAAGTGATTTTGTTTCAGATTGCGGGCTGTATATGTGGCATGTGGCATCTATCCTTGTAGATTTGTTTTGTTTTTGAAGCTTAAAGCAGAAAAGGAATATACATAATGAAACAGACCAGAACAGACTCCAGCAAATACTCAGCATTGGGGAAACAAAACATAATGATGGAAGCAAGAACTTAATAAAAAGATCAAGCACTTGGGAGTGTGTTTTATTTGTGTAGGTCCCCTCCACAATTTAGAACCTCAGCAGAAGTCTGCAGAAAAAATGTTTAGATTTAGGGAAGGGGCTCTATCAGTGGCAACTTAGAAGATATGTGGACTAAAGATCATTTGAGGGGGTTGAAAAGGATTTGGCAGCTGCTTCCAACGACCATACTATATACTGAGCAGTTAGCGTTTCCTTCCTTCGGTTCATGAGATGAGTGTCAAGTCTCATCTTCAGCTGTCCTGAGGCCTCTAAAATTCCAGTGTCTTATCCAAGGGAACAGAAATGCCTTAGAACTCCAGAGTGAAAAAAAATATTTTAGATTCCATACGCCCATATTTCTGTTAAAAGAGCCACATGTAAACATTAAAATCTCAATTACTCAGTGGCAAGAGTTGCTACCTAGTAAAGGCAAGAATGATACTGTTAAATTGTGCATTTTTATGTTTCTCATTATTTGATATCAACCAATGGCTTACATAGGAAATGGTAAGGGGCTAGCAATGTGCTTGTTGCAGTGGAAAGGTTCTAAGCTAAATTTATTTTCTATTAAAGAACCATTTGAAGTACATCGTCCAATCTCCTTTAAAAAAACCAATGCAATTTTAAAGGATTATAGTACTATTTAGCATTTATAAGATGTTTACAGTGTTCAGAGCACTTCATATACGTTATTGCAGTAATCTTGTTTGGATAAAGGAGAGGTTATAAAAGAGCCAGCTTTCTATATAGACAGACAGAAGAACAAGAATAATCATTTGGGGAAGGGCCATCATAGCTTAATGGCAGATCACATACCTTGCCCACAAAGGGTCTTTGTTTTACTCCCCAGCATCTTCTAGTAGGGCTGAGGAAGACTCCTGCCTGACACCTGAGCCACTGCTGGCCAGTATAGCAAGGCAGAGGAGGGGAACCTTTGGACCAGAGGATGCTGCATCACTTCCATCAGCTCTAACCGGCATGGACAATGGTCAGGGATGGTGGGAGTTGTAGTCTAGCAGTATCTGGAAGGTTAAAGGTTCCCCATACCTGAGATAAGGGCTGGGAGATCTGTGACCCTCCACTTGTTTTACCTACAACTTTCATCATCCCTGACCACTGGCCATGCTGGCTGGGACTAGGAGGCTTTGAAACTAAACCAGGGACTCAGCTATACAGCTGCATGTATGTGTGTTGTAAAGTGCAATATACAAATGTGACACTAGATGGCAACAGTGAGCTATGTCAAATTCAATGTAGTTTTCAAAACTTTTTTTTTTTAAAGCATTTTCACAGCATTTTTAATATGTGTGTAGATCCCACCCAGATCTGGAGACCCCCAGTTCCTCACCCTTGGTGTAAACAATGGTGAGCTAGTGGTCTCACTCGGTATAGGGCAGTTTCCTGCAGTCCTAAGAACGAGGATTGGGTAAAGGCTATGAATAACCACTGTTTCCATGCTGCTAAACAGTGTTGGTTTCATTACATCCCTTCCCTATCTGAGCAGAATGCTGGTTATTTAAGAATGTATGTTCTGCAAATCAAAAAGAAGGGACATATTCTAGGAAAGGGTGTATGTAGTATTACCGGTATTTATTTATTTAATTTATTTATTAGATTTATATACCACCCTTCATCATAAGATCTCAGGACAGTTCACAGAATAAAATACAGCATAAAAACAAGTAAATAATTAAAAACAAAACAGCAAAACAATACCCCTCCTTCCCACAGACACATTTAAAAGACTGTAGAATATTAATCAGCCAAAGGCCTGGTTGAAGAGGACTGTTTTCACCTGGCACCTAAATATATATATAATGAAGGCACCAGGAGAGAGCATTCCACAAATGGGGACCCTCTATTGAGATGGCCCATTCTCGTGTTGCCACCCTCTGAACCTCACATGGAGGTGGCACACAAATAAGGGCCTCAGATGCTGAACGGGACGGTTTATACGGGGAAAGGCCTGCACACCGTTCAACCTACCAAGTAGAATTCAGCCCACCATGAGGTCAACCTCCTGTTGCTACTGGTTGGGGCTGCAAAAATGGAGGTGTGCCGAAGGGACAGGTAGGTCTCAAATTATGGCTGGAGGATTGTGCTTGCCTTGGTGGGTCACGTGTAACTCACACTTAATGAGGGAAGATGGCAAAAAGTAACCAGGCTCACAGACCTCAAAGGAAGCTCCTGCTGTCCTGCAAGAATCCTGCAGCCTGCCCACAAGCTGATGCCCTCCACATGCTGTGGGAGTACAACTCCCACCATCCATTGACCACGTTGGATGGGGCTGATGGATGTTCTTCCAATACGGGAACATTGGAAGACTCCAAAGTCCCGATGCAAATGTGCTCTAATCAGTGCTGCACCAGAAAGGAGCCTCTTGTGTTCCCTACATCTGAGCCACAGATGTACCAACCGTTCTGTTTGCAGATAAGATGCTGGAAGACTTTTATTTTTATTTTTATTTTTGCATTCATCTAGCACTTTGAGCTGTACCAGGTGGGACTGCCAAAGCCGTTCTTCGTCCATTTCCGAAATTACACCCGCTTCTTCAGCGCTGCTCGGGTACTAATCGCTAAAGCTGCAAAGTATCTGTGGTTCATTCCAGGGGCATCGTTCTGCTCTCCGTGGCTGGAAGAAGAATTATGTCCTGTGAAGAGACCGAAGGAAGGGGAGCAGCTGTTGTGCTGTACGCCGTGGGAGTTGGTCAGAACATGTGAGGCCGTGCGTCTGCTTAGGTCAGGCAAATTTTGAATTCTTCGGTGTATTTTTAAAGTAAAATATAGCAGCAAGGTGGGAAGAGTGGGGGAACTCACACAAACCCCTAGACTAACCCAGGCAAGTGCTTTGCAGGCTACCATCAAAGGAGGTAGTTTATCATGATGTGCAGGAAGTTCAGATAAAGGCCAACCTGGAGGATTTATAGACCCATGATAAAAGACGTGATAGGGAGATGAGGATTCTTTAAGGGTGCTCCTCTATTCCTCCTGCCTCATTGCAGAAGGAAGCGGGTTTGAAAAGGCCCTGGACAGAGACTACCTCCTCCATCCCAGTGCTTTAACCAAGTGAGAGTGGGTGACATTAGCAGCACCTGGTTGCTGACTCTGAACTGCCATTTTAATTTTCCACTATACAGTGGTACCTTGGTTCTTGAACTTAATCCGTCCTGGGAGGCTGTTTGACTCCCAAGACCGTTCAAAAACCAAGGCGCGGCTTTCGATTGGCTGCAGGAGCTTCCTGCACTCAAGCGGAAGCTGCGGGCTTCCCTAAAACGTTCAAAAACCGGAACACTTACTTCTGTGTTTTCGGTGTTTGGGAGCCGATTTGTTTGACAACTAAGCTGTTCGAGAACCAAGGCACCACTGTACCGGTTTTTTGCCTTCAAGGTGTTGGGAAGGTTTGATGTGGTAGGCTTTGCCAGAACACAGGGCACGTTTCTCAACCTGAAAAACAATTTAGTTCAAAACAGGTAAATTCACTATTACAGCAGGGATCGTGTTAGAAAACTATAGGGATGGAAAACTTCTGTGCTTATTACAGAATCTAATAATACTTTAAGCGCCAAGCAAAAATGTTCCTCTTCAACCAGTCCTTTGGCTGATTAACATCCTATACCCTTTTAAATGTGTTGTGGGAGGGAGGGGGTTATTGGTTTGGCTCTTTCTTCTTGTTTTTGTTATGTATTTTGTTTTTATCTTGTGAGCTACCCTGAGATCTATGGATGAAGGGTGGTATGCAAATTTAATTTACTACTACTACTACTACTACTACTACTACTACTAAGTGTGGCCTAATTATTTCCCCAATGGAGGCTTATCACTAGGCTGTGATTTTTCTGGGGGTACTCAAGAGTATGCAGACCCCCACCTCCACCCACCCCCATGTTAAAAGTGTGGCACTTATTGTAGCAACTTCATGTCATTCAATCAAACTTCAATCAATCAATCAATCAATCAGTCAAGCAAGAAAGCACTAAGTAGGCGTGACTAGAATCAAGGGTGGTTGGGGCCTAGGCTATTCTATTTTTCTCTTTCTTTCTCTCTCTCCACATACACTTATGGGGAGTGGAGTGTTCATTTTTACAGACATGACTCTTCACCATCATCACAATACATACATAAATTTATTTGTATGCCACCTTTCCATAGTTAAATCCATGCTCAAGGCAACTTACAACATGAAGGGGGGGGGATCACATAATTACAAACATAGTAAAAGTAGTCGTAAACAATAAATAAAACGTCAAATGTACACAACCAAATTGAACCATTACCACATAAATCATAATAAGATCTAAAATAAAAATACAAAAAAATTTAATGTCAATAACGGCAACAACAACCCCCTCTCTTAAACATTGCCCCCAGCCCAAGAGTCTGTTCAGCAGCCTCAGCTTTTGTAGCTGGAGTCAGTCCAGGGGCTGCCCTCTCTCAGGTCAGGTGGGAAAGGCCGGCAAGGCAGGGAGCAGGCCTTCCAGGACACAGCCAAGATCTCAACCACACTCCCTCCCAGCTCACCTAACAGTTGGGGGGAAATTGGAGGTAGGACACCCCCGTTGGCCACACTAAAGGCCTCTGAAGACCGCATGATTACCATCTGTAAACTGGGAATTTTTAATTATGTAAAATGATTGAAGGTGTGTGCACTTATATCTCAAATGTGGAAGAGAGAAGGCTCTCTCTAAGGTACAGGCTCTTTGGTTCATTAATTTTAATTGGGCTTGTTCTGACTTGCAGGCTCAATTTGGCAGTGAAGCTGAGTTCTGAGTGTAACGCAGCAACTAGGTGCAGGTTGCTTTTTGTATATCTTGTTCTTGTTGTCCTTCTCTCATTCTCCTGTCGCTTTTGCAAAAGGTCAGTGCCTCCCACTTTGTAACGTTGGTTTTTACAATGCCAGCCTGAATTTACGGGCCCTAGATGTCTGCCTCAGGAACTCCTTCCCGAAAAAGAAGAGTAAAATCAATTCTAGCATTGAGCTGCATCGAAAAGTCTGTAAAAGATTAAAAGGTCGCAGAACATTAACCAAATACAGCGGGAGCCTTATCCCCTGAAAGAACGTGTGGTGCCTCTTGTTAGCGTGGGCTGATTGGAGAGGGAAATAAAATCAAAGGAAAGGGCATCTAATGTCTACGAGGAATCAATGACAGGACAACTTTGTGTGCAGAAGGTAAGGAAGATAGCAAGCTGCCTTAAAAGCAGGTGAGAAAATCTAGCCCAGTATACCCTGCTCTGACTCACACAGCAATGCTGCTGACTCCAAACCCTTCATATTGCCTGGTCAGTCAATCCTTCCTTCACCCAATGTCTGCACATTGAGCATGGACAGGTATGCATCACAGATGGGACTCCACGTGACAGAGGTGCCTGCAGAATTAGGAGCGCAGGATGCTGTCTTAGGTTGAGTCAAACCATTGTTCCACTTAGTTGAGTACCATCTACATTGGGGCAGCCAATGAGATGCCTGCCTCCAGGTGTCACTAGACTGCTGGTCAAGAGTGATGGAGGTTGAGTGTCCAACAAGATCTTGATGCCCTAATGTTGGCTACGCCTAGTATACATTGACTGCCAAAGACTCTGCAGGGTTTCAGGCAAGGTTTTTCCCCAGCCCAACTTGCAGATGTTAGGAACTGAACCCAGGATCTTTTACACTTTACAATGCACTTAACTAAGGCCCTTCACCAAGGAACCACTAGGCATCATCAGCTGCTCAATTGGAAGGTTCCAAATGTCAACCAGTAGGGCAGGGGCAGGCTTTGGTCATTTTTCATAAAACAGTGCCCTGTGTGAGCCCAAAATTTTGTGCCCCCATATTTTCAACTATGGATCTTCTCAATTTTATGCCCTCTTGGCTTGGTGCCCTGGGGGGGCACAGCTTGCACCTCCCTAAATCCAGGGCTGTATATGGGGTAGAGCAGTGATTCCTAAACTTGGGTCTCCAGCTGCTTTTGGACTACAATTCCCATCATTCCTGACCACTGGTCTTGCTAGCTAGGGATGATGGGAGTTGTAGTCCAAAAACAGCTGGAGACTCAAATTTGGGATACACCGGTAGAGCCAGTTGCACAATTTTCCTCCTCACTCTAAGCATGAATCCCACTGTACAGTCTGTATTGTTATAAATTTGTGGGGAGGATCCCCCTCCCCACAAAAACCCCTAATAAATGAATGAATGTCAGGATCTAGTTAATATTTGGAATATTGAAGAGAAGGTTCCAGGCCATTGCAGAATACAGGCTAAGCTTCCTTTTCAAGCCAGGGCCTCACCTGGGATAGAGACATTAGTATGAGAAAATGTGTTGATGACCAACATCACAGAGAAATCCTTGGACCCTGGCAGGCTGTGCTGCAGGAAAAATGTGGCTCTAAAAAACAAGGCTTGGGATAGCAGGGGAGGAGTTACCTGCCAGAAGGGTATGCTGAGAACAAGAAAGAACAACAAAGGTCAGAACCATCTTGGCAGGTAGAGAGAGAGGGCAGGGGTGCCTCTGTCTGCCAGTAACTTCTGCACTCCCCCCACCTACACTCAGTTTGCATATATGTGAATGAACCACATATCTTAAAAGTCACTAACTTTTCTGCTGCACCTTCATTTCCCCAAAGGAACACAGACTGTGGAAGAGGGCCAAAACCCCTGGAATCTTGGGCATTGCTTGGCAAAACTTGGCGTTGATTGTAACACTGTAAAGGGAGGGAGCTTCTCTTGCACAGCTCCCAAGATGTTTGTCCATTTGGGTATTTCAGTTTGGTAACTCTATAAGCCACAGATGTCATGAGACAGCATAATGAAACAGTAACCTTATTACTCGATTGTGGGGATAGAATAGAATTTTGCTCCACACGGACAGGATAAGTTTTCAAGATTAGAATGTGAGGGAGAAGGCAGGTGCTAGCCTGACATGTTTTCTACGTAAGGGATTTATTTTTGCTGAAGTAGTACAGTACACACAGACTGCTTTCACCTGCTGCTTATGAGAACAAGACCTAGCAGGAAATAAGCACTCTGAGGGGCCAATTTTATCACACTGTTAATTAGAAGGATGCGAGGAGGAGGACATGATGATAAGCTAGCTTGTAAAGGAACCTAATGGCTGGTGTAATAGTTGGATTTTTAAAAATAAACTGTTCTGCATTGGTGATCTGAATCTTAATGCCATTAGCCTTTACCATGAAAATAAATTCTGAGCACCTTTGGCTATTTGCTGAGCTGCTGTGATGTCATGGAGGGTTAATGAACACTAGCTGGTTCTATGGAATAGAATGCTGAAAATGGTGAGGCTGTTGAGTGGGAAATGGGAGGCTAGATTGGGGTGGGATGGAGGGAAAGAAACCAAGTCTATTGTTGTTGAGAGAAGATGCACGGACATGGGGAGGGTGTCTGAAACGGACATATTAAATTTGGTATCGCTGGACTGATTTTTGGCGGCAAGTCTGTAATGTATCAAATGTCAGGATGGAAATTAATAGACCAGCTGCTATGAGCCAGATTTGGCCTGTGGGGTCTTCCAGTCCTGTCAATCAGACCGGAACTGAAGCATGCCGATGAAGAGCTTGTGGGGTACAGAGATCATAGGGATGACCAAAGCTGGGAATTCTTCTCAGAAGCAACTTTCCCCCTATGAAAAGGAGAAATTGCAGAAACCCTTTCCTTAACGATTGACCCAGTAAGTGTGACTTCCATACAAGGAAAAGTCGAATCAAAAGACCAAGTTGTCATCGTTTATAAATGCCTTACAATAATTTTTTTTTAATGATGAATTGATGGCTAAATTGGAGCAAGGTACCAGCCCTCTTCAGGAACATTTATGGAAACATAGGAAGTGAGGACACACATACAGTGGGGCTGTGCCTTTGGCCCAGTTTCACGTCACACCTCTTTCACTGTCCCCTTGGTGTATTTGCAGCAAACTTCTTCCCGGCACAAAGTGAGAATGCTGAGTTTCCAGGTTCTCACTCATTCAGGCGGCCTCCATGCAGGGGAAGCTGGCCCAATAGGGCAAACAGGGCACTGCCCTGCCATGTTCAGTCTGTTCTCAGGCAGCCCCAACCTCCTTACTGAAAACCTGTCCTAGGGCTGGCACTGGCTGTTAGCTTCTGACACCTTCTTAGGGTTGCCTTTGCAGAATTCAGCAGGGAGGGATGGGGACCAAAGTGGAATTTGGTGGCTCCATTGGCTCTGGCTCCACCTACTTTTGGCCTTCCTGCCTTCCTTCCCACAGACACACAAGGTGCCCATGCCACAGATGTTCACCATAAACTCATGGTTTATGTGCCGGAGGAATCGTGCAACTCCAGAGCCCTGCTCCACCCCATCATCCCTGGAGAGGCTGGCAAGAGCTTCTTAAGGATGCCTTGGCTTAAGTAATTAAAATACGGTATGCAATTCTTCCCGATATTGTTATTTATATAGCACCAGTACCAGCATGCATGGCACTTTACAAAGTGTCAGAGGACAAGCCCTCTACCCCAAGGAACTTACAATCTACAATTCAACCCATGGGAGACAAGAGAAGACACGTGATAGGAAAGGTGTAGGTGGTGTGTGTGTTTATTTTTGTTAAACGTATTATTCTTAGTTACAGAAGGGCAGGGGTTCCCAAACATCTCCCTGCCCCAAGACCATTTGAAAATTGCGGAGGGTCTTGGTGGACCACTCAGTGATTTCTCTGCCTGTTTAGGAATCGTGATATGCTGTGTATGCTTTTTGAGTTACCCTCTGCTCCTTTTCAAGTGTCTTGTCAGCCTCTTTCCCCAACTTGGGATCTATCTCTATCCTGCACAAGCCATAGTTTATTCACCTGGGGAAGAAAAAAGCCGCCTCCTTCTTTCACTTCCACAAACCACCTGAATGAAACTCCCAGACCACACACTTTGGGAAGCCCTGTGGTTGCATGCAGGGACGAAGAGAGGGTTAGGGGTCCTGATATTTGTAGGACTCCAGCTCCCAGCAGCCCCAACCATCCGAAAAATGGTCAGGAAATAATGGAAGTTGTAGTCCAGCAAATATCTGAAGGAAAATTGGCTCCCCAACCATGGATTAAGATGTTGCTTGGAAGCCCTAGTACCTGTCTGCCTCTTCTCAAATCTTTTCTAGTGCCCTGAGACCTCTGGGTATAGGGCAGTATATAAACTCTAATAATAATAATAATAGTAATAATAATAACCAAATTATTTCAGCTTGTGACAAAAACGGTACGAAAAGCTGTTCTGACTTCCTAAATACGCAGAGGTTAACATAGATTTCGAAGAGGAAAGTAGGCAAACAAACCAATTTAGTACAGAAAATCCATCTATTTATTTGAAAATCAGATGCATTAGAAAATAAAGTTTCAAGCTGTTCACTATTGCACTCTCCTTTTAAGATAACTACAGATCAGTGGTTGGGGGCGGGGGCAAGCCACGTCCCCTTTGCTGTTTGTTCCAACTATACATAAAACATTTTATTTATTTATTCTTAAAAAAATACTTTTGGAGACTAAGTGCAAACATTCAGTGTATAGAAGTGACCGGGAAAACATACCAGGAGTACATAATGTGCTTGCTTATTTCTGTGCTTTTAAAAACAAATCCTTCTGTCTTAGTAACACCATGTTCAGATTGTCCCCGCTCAAAAGAAATGCCAACGCACCACAGAACAAAACCTGAATAAGCCAAAGGTTGCCAGTAGTTTGTAAAGAGTTCAAATCGCAGCACAATCCTTTGCATATTTACTCGAAGATCTGTCAAGGATTTCTGCCACAAAAAATGTGTATAGGACTGCAGCCTAAATAAATGAACTGCACTATGCACCCCAGAAAAAAAATATTGGTGTGCAGTAGTGTAAGTTCATAAAGGAAGTTTTGTTGCTTTGTGTGTTTATTACATTTATATCCCATCTTTCCTCCAAGGAGCTCAAGGCAACATACCCGAATGCTGCCCCACTTTATCCTCGCAACAACCCTGTGAGGTAGGTTTGGCCGACCTAAGGTCATCCTGTGAGCTTCATGTCTGAGTGGGGATTTGAACCTGCAACCCCCCGGTCCTAGGTAAGAGTGCTGAGCCACTACATCACATTGGTTTGCCCCAATTCATTTACAAACTCTGGCTAAGCGCCTTCAGGATCTTCTTTTCCTTTTAAAAAAAATAAGGTTCTCTATTTTACTCTACAACCCTGAGGACTAGAATATTGGGATACAGTATATATTTAAATGAAAGTTTTGGGTTTCAGGATTTCACCTCTGGAAATGCGAGCTTCTTCCTTTGGTGCTTTAAGTGAAGAATTTTAGTTATTTAAATATTTGGCTGAATGCAGCCCATTTCTTAAACAGTTCAGCAGTGGAACACACTGCCAAGGGAGAGTGTGGCGCCTTTTTTTTTTTTTTGGAAGCCTGCACAGAAAGGTTGGTAGGCATCTGTTGAAGATCCCTCAGGTCTGCCTTTGGAAGGGTCTTGTGTGTCTTCACGTTAACACAGGCATGGGGAGCTGGATCTGGATTGGCAAGCTACATCCTTACCTCCCCTGCCCCCTGCAGGATAACTCCGCAAGTACTGTATTTTTTGCTCCATAAGACGCACTTTTTTTCCTCCTAAAAAGTAAGGGGGAAAGTCTGTGCGTCTTATGAAGTGAATGTGTGGTCCCTGGAGCCAAATTGCCCAGGGTCGAAAAGCAGATTGTGTTTTGTTTTGTTTTTAGAAAGAGGAAAGGGGGTGTTGAAACGAAGCCACTGAGTAGCTGATCGGCAAGCAGTTGGGAGGGAGATAAGAGACACTAGCGATAAAGGAGGCTGCCTGGGAGTGGGGAGGTAAAGACAGCGAACTTGCAAGGAGAGGAGACAGGAATACTGAAACAAGCAATGAGGGGAGAAATTAGAAGAAAAGGAGGAGCAAAAAACTGCTCCAGCTAAGGAAAAGACGCTCAGGCAAACAAGAGGGAAGGGGGTGTTGAAAGGAAGCTGCTGAGCAGCTGAATGGCAAGCAATCAGGAGGAAGATAAGGGACGCTAGCAATAAAGGAGGCTGCCTGGGAGGGGGGAGGTAAAAGCACATGGATCCTTGGGATTTTTGCATTGGGTCACCCCAAATTCACCATCAGATCACATAGCATGTCCATGGCTACAGCCTGCACACAAAAAAACCTGCATCCACTGTTTCATGGGGTGCAAATGGTGCAAAAAAATGGTGCAAAAACATGGTTAAAAAGCATGGATCCACAGGATTTTTTGCATTGGCCAAACTCACCGTCAAATCACATATCATGTCTGTGGCCACAGTATGAACCACAAAAATCATACATCCACTGTTTCGTTCAGAATAATTTTTTTCTTGTTTTCCTCCTCTAAAAACTAGGTGCATCTTATGGTCAGGTGCGTCTTATGGAGTGAAAAATACAGTAAGTGAGGCCGCCCAAGTGTTCATCACTCAACATCAGAGTGACATCAAGTGACCCCTTTTCCTTTGCCTGTATGGTCTGAAATCAAGCTGTGCCAGAAAAGGCACAGAGCTTTGCAGATGCTAAGGACCCTCTGATTGCCAGTGCTTGCAAACTCCTGTGCCTTTGCTGGGAACATTGGCAGTGCCTCTGCAAGCCCAACAATCAGCTGTTCAGTGGCACAGAGCCATGAGGTCTCTCATGCCGCTTATGGGACGGAATTTGACTAGATGGCACTAGATGGTTTTAGCTGTCCTTGTTGCACGATTGGGCCTGCAGTCCTAATCAGTTACTTGGGAGCAAGCCCCACTGAGTGAACATGCTTAGGATTACGCTGTTAATGGGCAGGAGGGCTGCAGCTGCAACAGGGCAGTTATGTGCTGCAAAAGCTAAGAAATGGGATTTCTTAGCCTCCTACAACAGCACCCTCCAAATTACACTAAGAGCTACGGGAAAACTGAGTAGGCAGACAACACACCCCTGTTTGCTTCTCTCGCAGCATTCTCCCCTTCCCGTAAATTCAGCTAGGTTTCTTGGCACTGTTCAAGAGACAAATTCTGTTTTGCTAACCCGCATGATCTATCAACTGCATGATGTTTAGGGCAGCAGCTGCAGACTGTGTCTGGTTTAATCTGAGCGCTCTGCCGCTTGAATGGCTAGTTAGTAAGCACTGGGGTGGAAAGGGAGAAATAATAATACAGTCATCCTTGCAGCCCTTTTGTTTTCCTGGCAGAGGAATCATTTTGGAAGAATATCAGTAGCATCAAGTGGCAAGAGAAACCCTTTTCTGAGGTATCGTGCTGCTTGTCACAGATGACTTGACTTTTTTAGGAAACAAAAATGCAGCTATGACACATTTGGGGAAATTCAGCAGGATTGCCTCCAAATGATTTCTCCCAGTGATCGGGATGCTTGCCAAAACGGACGTGCACAATTCAAAACAGCCAAAATCATGTCACACAGAGAAGGTCCTCTTCCTGCCACGTTAATCTGACACAGAAATAAGACCTCAGAGGTTTGGCCGCTGTTACATGCAGACGGCAGCAGAGGCAATAGTAATGGAGTTAATGCGGCTGAGAAAAGCCCAGCAGAACCGCCATACGTTTGGGTCAATTCAGGGACATCAAAGAGGCTTCAATAATTTGAAATTGGGACAAGGTGAGCTTGGGATGTCAACAGGCTGGATGGCCTTTTAAAACCTTCCCCAGGGCAAGCTAAATTGATGGTATTATTTCTTAACGCAGACAGGAGACATCATTTCTACATGCTCCTTGTCTCTAGCAACAGACAGGACACCACAAAGAAAGGCTGTTGATTCTTTGGAACTTTTATATGTATCTATCAATTTATCTATACAGGAGAGCTTTTAAAAATGGTATTTCCCCCACCTACGGTGTGAGGTGGTACAGGCCATTCTACTCCCTCATTCTGCTGCATGAATCCAGGGAGTGTGGTAACAATCTTTTCATTGCATGAACTGAGCCTACATTCAATTGGCTTCCCAAAGAGGTGCAACAGACTCTACCCTCTGTATTCAGAACATGTCAAGCCTGCTGGATCAGGCCAGTGGCCCACCCAGCCCAGCATCCTGATCTCACAGTGGTCAACCGGATGCCTCAATGGGAAGCCTGCAAACTGGACACAAGCACACTGCCCAGCTGTGATTCCCAGTAGCAGGGATTCAGGGGAGGTAGAGGAGCATCATCATCATGGAAAGTAGTCATTGATAGGCTTGTCCTCCATGAATTTGCCAATTCCTCTTTTAAAGCCATCCATTCTGGTGGCCATCACTGCCTCCTGTGGCAGCAGGTTCCTTCATGCTCCGTTTCTGAGCTCTCCAAAAGGATCTGCTTAGCTGCTTTTGGAAACCAAATGGTGGACAAAATGGATATAGGTCTGATCCAACTTCTTATGTCCTTATTCCCATCCACTGGGACATTATGAGTTTTATCTGGGAAACCTAACCGTTATTGAGACCCCAATGTTCATGCTTGTTGACATACCAACTCTGGTTCACATTCATTGCCATCTCAACACACGGAGCAAATTCCGGTTGTGCGAAGGTAGAGGAAGAAGCATGTACAAGACACACACTGGAATCCACTATATAATAATGCTAGCCATTGACACTGAGGCTCTGGTGCTACGGGATTATGCTGAGAGAACCATGGACTGAGCATTTTACAGATTCTAATATGGCAACCAGAGGCTAACAACTTTCCTGCCTTGGTCAATAAAACACAGCCTCTCACCTCATCTCAGTATATGGCTCATCTTCTCTCCTGCCCACCCTCATGACACTGATACGGTTCCAAATAACAACATTTCTTCCGTACATTTCCACTAAAAATTATAAACAGGGTCCCTCCTTCATTTTTATCTAGAGCAAGGCTGAGGGGAGCCTGTGGCCCTCCAGGAGTTGCTGGACTACAACTCCCATCATGCCTTGCCACTGCCTGATGGGAACTGGAGTTTTTTTGCGATGTAAGCAGGCATCCATTTCTATTCCGCCCCATGTCCATAGCATGCCACACCGGTTCTGTACCACTGCAGTTCAACTTCCATCAAAAGCCACATTGTTCATCTTGCTGTACACTGTGGTGAAATTTTACATAATTATGTAATTAATCCATGGTGCACCTGAAGCAGCAAAACCAGCCTTCATCTGCCCCATCTGCAATAAAACATGCCTCTCCTGTATCCGTTTCTACAGCCACAGCAGGTGCTGTAACTCTCCAATGGTTTGACTTCACCTCCAAAGATGCACTCCTCCATTGTCTCCCAAAACACACAGATGCCAACAATTGTGATACTATTCCACATCATTCATTTAAATACAAAGGACATTGGATAAAAAGGAAACACAATTCAAAGGTTGTGTGTGACATCAATTAAGTATTGTCTGAGGACTAAAAACAACAACAGTGAAGACTTGAAGAGCCACAGGTTCCCCGTTCCTGACTTAAATCACTGTCTGCCATTCCTTCACAATCCCATATACATTAACCTAAAAATTGGTTAAATTCTGGTCTTGAGCCATATCACATCTTAAGAAAGTTCTCTGGAGCTATTCCAGATTCTTCTAGCATAGACTATATAGTGCAATCCGCTACATGTCTACTCAGAAGTAAGTCCAATGAATTCAGTAGTGGGTACCGGACTGCAGCCTTAGACTGGCTCTAGCTGCACGTGTTAGATAATAAAATAATTACATCTTGTTTCAGTTTATGGAGGAAGGACAACTTTCTTCAATCAAAAATTTCTACTGAAAAAGCAACACAAAAAATACACACATATATATTTTTGGCAGATTTCATGGCTGTAGATAAAATCCGAAGTATAAGAATGATTCTTTTTGAAGACTAGAACTCTCTAAATCTAGGATCTTTCCCTAAGAGATTATTCATTTTATTTAACATCCTATAAAGCAAGGCACAGACATACAAAAATTGCAAGTATTAAGTAATTATCCCAATGTCTTCATTCTCTCTCTCGATATATATAATCTCTACCTACCTATCTATATAAATATATACTATATGTACACAAAGTCAGGTGAGCTGAATCTTCATAATGTAACAAGCCACCTGAGTAAAAGAACGAGCTCTGAATTCAGGGGAGGGGTGTGTGGAGTCCTGTACTTTGGCTAACATTTCTACCTCCTGAAGAAACGCATTTAGGGGCACATCAAACAAAGAACATCAAGCCGCTATCTTTTATTATTCTGGCTCACTCACAGGGATCAAAGGGGGCTGCTAACCAGCTGTGGAAGGAGCAATAAGCAGTAGACCAGCACCCAGAGGAAAACAATGAAGTAAAACAGCTCAGGCTGGTCTGTCCGCGGAGAGGGTGTAGGCACGCTGGCCTTGTCAGAAGAGTCTTTCTTTTCAAGGTCTTTTCTCTTCCTGCAAAGGAATAGGAAGAAAGACTGTCACTGGAGGCCTATCTCAGAGTACCTTGGCTGAAGGTGGGCAGCTACTGCAGAGAGGGAGCCTTGTGGGATCCCAAAGATGATCCACCAGGCCAGAAGCAGCTCACTGGCATGGGGACATTATGCTAGCTTCCTAGCAGGTGGGTCGCTGTTGCCTACCAGGAGAGAGAGAGGCAAGGCAGCAGGGAGACTGGCGTGGTGCAAACACATCATCAGAGTCAATCCAGTGCTCCTGCCAATGGAACTGCACTGTGCTGACCTCCTTGCCACTTTCCCTCTCACTAAGCAGCAGCGACTCACATGCCAGGCTCCACCCCACCCACTAAGCCACTTCTACTCTGGACACCTTCATTACTACCCTTCCAGGTCCAAGGAAAAGAAAATCCTGATTACTGGAGCTTTCAGTAGCTAGTTTCATTGGTTTAATGCATCACAGAATTTGGTTTGCTTCGCTGCATTTGGCTTGTGGATAGTTTAGAGCCTGCTGAATTCGTTAGTTGCTGTTATCAATTTTTTAGCCCACAATGGCAGATTTTTTTATTAATTTGGCTGGCTATTCTCTATTAGGATAATCATTTTTAAAAATAATGGAAATTTTGTTACGTCACACTGAAATGCCATTTGGCAGAAAAAGGTGGCACACAGATCTTTCAAGTGTCAGTGAGTCAGTTTTTTTTAATGCTTGGACCATAGGCCATTCGCATAGAAGATAAATACAGTGGTACCTCTGGTTATGTACTTAATTCGTTCTGCGTTAAGCAGAGTCTGTAAACTGAAGCATATGTAACCTGAACCGTATGTAACCAGAGGTACCACTGTAAATGCAATATAAAACCCAACGGTATAAAATACTGCGTAAAATCATGTTGCTGCCTGGAATCATACATAAAACCTACATCTTTGAAATACTGCATACCGGTAAGTCACATCTAACATATTAAGAACTTGCATATTTAATACAGACAAAATCATTCATCATTATCCCCAAAGCAATCGAATGCAATCTCCTTAATAACCCTTGCCCGGATTTTCAACGCTGCTAGGGCAAAAAGAGAGACCTTGTGGGTTACCCTACAATCGGTGTTTGACAGGAAGTAGAAAACTTTTTCTGGAATGGGTCTCTCAAGTGTAAAATAAATAAATATGCAGGTGCAGCAATGGGTAGTAAAAATGCCAAGTCAGAATTACCAATCATTACATAGCGCTGGAATACGTGGCACTTTATGGAGGAAGAAGCAAAAAGACAGATTGCTGCTCTGATTGGCATTAATCTAAGTTAAGTCTTGGTGTCTGTGTGCATGTGTAGGGGGCAACATGGAGTTGGGAAAAGAAAGCTTAACAAGGAATAAATAACATCCAGGGCATAATCCTCCTTGTCCTCAGGCTCCACTGCAGGCATGGGGAACCTCCAGCCCATGGGCCAAATCAGGCCAAGCAGGGTCCTAATTTGGCTATGAGGCTGTTTTCCCTAAGCCACGCCCACCTGCCCCATACCTAATGCCAAATAACATAAGGTGTATGGCAGGTAAAGACACACAGTTCCACTTGCAGCTCCTGACTGGAGCTTATCCTTTGCGAAACCGAGGCTTGAAGTCAAAGCTGGTGTCTGTCTTCACCCTGAGGCCCAATTTATGAAAGAAGGGTAAGTGCCCACCTGGAAGAGGAGCTAGCAATTTCACTTGTAGCCGTGCTCTTTGGAACATCAGTGCTGCCAAGTTCCTGGAAAATAATCAAATCCAAATAGTCACAACAATATAATTAAATAGCCTGGGCTGTAAAAGATATAACAGGTATATTTACAGTATTTATATCCCACACTGTAATAAAAATCTTCTGGACAAGGGGAAATGGTTACATTTTTTAAAAATGAAAACCATGAAATCCAAACACAGCAATAAGCCAGCATCAAAGAACAAAACAAGAAATGAAACACACCACAGTACCCAAACTTTCACAGATCTTAAGACCTTAAACTGGTTAAGTATTTGGGATTGTTGTAAGCTGTTATGGAGCTCAAATCTTTTGCCTTTAAATAAGTAAGTGATCATTTGAATAGTTATAGGTAGGTAACCATGTTGGTCTGCCGTAGTCAAAACAAAATAAAAAAAATCCTTCCAGTAGCACCTTAGACACCAACTAAATTTGTCATAACGACTGTTAATGACTGCAATTGGTCTTACAGGAAAAAGCAAGGGGTGAGATGATAAAACATGATAAAGCTATTTTTAGCCACCTCACCCCTTGCTTTTTCCTGTAAGACCAATTGCAGTCATTAACAGTCGTCAACTAGTTTACCACACCTATCAGCCAATCACCCATTCCCACCACCCTTCTGAGTAATACCCCTCCCCACCCTCTCACTATATATAAGGGTCTGGTGACTTCTGTTTCAGTGTATCTGAAGAAGTGTGCATGCACACGAAAGCTTATACCCAGAACAAACTTAGTTGGTCTCTAAGGTGCTACTGGAAGGATTTTTTTTTTATTTTGTTTTGATCATTTGAATGTGATGACTGGTAGTAGTTTTCAGAACTGTAAAAAGGCTTTATTTTTTCAGATAAGAAGATTTGGCAAAACGAAATGGAATGATATCATACTCCTGGGAAAAAGGATTAAACTGGAAGAGCCCTCATTATTAACATTTTCAAAAACGCAAGACACTTTGGAGAGGAGACCCCAGTAGTCACCACCACACCTCATTTGATAGGAGGACTTGGGGAATGTCCTTCAATGATCATCTTAGTGTACAGGCAGCCATCCTGCTGTTTTAACAGCACTGACAAGGGGAAGGCATATTGAAAAGCAACAGTGTAATGCCACAAATCCCCAGAATATGCTAAAAGAACCTAAAACATGGGAAAGAGTCATAGCTCTGTGGTAGAGCATCTGCTTGGCATGAGAAGGTCCCTGGTTCAGTTTCCAGCATCCCTAGGTAGGGCTGGGAGGTGGGCAATTGGCTTGATCCAGCAGATCTCCTCCTGCGATCTTATCTTAACAACAACAGGTCTGCTAAATGCATGGTGAGAGCAGACACATATCAATGCTGGAGCACAGTAAGCAGTTCAGTTCAAGAGAGATCTCAACTCAGGGTGACAGAAAATAGATCCCCAACATACAGAAAGATTAAAAGCCACTGGCTGTCTAAATGCTTGCTAACCAGAATTATTTAAAGCCATATTGTACCAGCTGAGTTTTGAATGAATATGCGAAAGAGAGAGACGTGCATATATTTACCTTACTGGTTGACTCTGCTAAATATCTTTGGGAAACGACATTGGGATCGCTGTGGCTGACCCTGAAAAGGTTAATTGAATCAATATGTAAGAGAAGCTTGATTGGAAAGACAGCCCAGCTCCAACACTTTTGCAAGGCATGCTCTAAAGAGACAAAACACTAGCTAGACATTCTTCTCCACCCCAGTTTCAAGTTATGCACAACACCATATCATCCAAAGACATTTATCTCCTGCGTGGTCCAAGTTCTCAAACTCCTCCGCAACCAGCATTCCAATTTACTACAATCCCAGCCCAAATTTATATGCAACACTGTAGAGAAACCATAGCTCTGGGAGAGAAAGTGACCAGACTCCCAAGTTTGCGTCTAGGGATGGAACATGAACTTGCTGTTGTCTGCACCTTTTCTCTCCAGAATGAGTAGAGCTTATGGAGAAGAGGACAAGGCAGTGAGGGTTAAGGGATGAAACGAGGAACGTCCAAAATAGTTTCCTGGGGGTTAAAGAGCAGGAATAGGAAATGGTGTTGAGGTGGCCCAGTGAAATTGCTAGTTGGACAAAAATTCTTGAAAGTGAGTAAGTCGGGAGAATAGGTGGGGAGAATACCATATTGGCTCGAATATTACCCACATTCCCTCCCCCCCCGAATTCTGACCGTGAAAAGTGCTGCTTATATTCTCAACATTATGGTATACAGCCAGGAGTGTGGGGCAAACAGCACCAGGAGCGTCCAAGGCCAGGAAGGGAGAGAGCAAGGAAGGGAGCAGCTTATATTTGGGTATTTTTTTCTTTCCCTCCTCCAATTTTAAAGGTGCAGCTTATATTTGGGTAAATATGGTAGATACAATATCATCATCATAATTTATTACTTATACCCCACCCATCTGTCTAGGTTTCCCCAGCTACTCTGGGCGGCTTCCAACAGATTAAAAATACATATAAAATAATGTCACTTGAATGCATAAAGCTTGCTTGAGACTCCCCATTGTGCTAACAAGGTTTAACCAGTTTGGTTCATTGTATTGAATGATGCTTCTGGAAGAACAGGATCAGAATCCTATACTCAGCTGTGAGTCTCCCACAAAGTCTCTTCTCTCTCTCTCCCTCCCTTTCCACATGCACAACTCATCTAAAAATAAAGGTAAAGGTAAAGGGACCCCTGACCATTAGGTCCAGTTGTGACCGACTCAGGGGTTGTGGCGCTCATCTCGCTTTACTGGGCGAGGGAGCTGGCGTACAGCTTCCGGGTCACGTGGCCAGCATGACTAAGCCGCTTCCGGTGAATCAGAGCAGCGCATGGAAACACCGTTTACCTTCCCCGCCAGAAGGTACCTATATATCTACTTGCACTTTTGATGTGCTTTCAAACTGCTAGGTTGGCAGGAGCAAGGACCAAGCCACAGGAGCTCACCCTGTCGTGGGGATGCCGACCTTCTGATCGGCAAGTCCTAGGCTCTGTGGTTTAACCCACAGTGCCACCCGCGTCCCACAACTCATCTAGACAACATTTAATAGCCTCCCACTGAGTGCTACTGCAGAGATGGGTCAAGGCCCCATAGCTCAGCATCTGCTTTGCACACAGAAAAGTCCTAGGTTCAAACCTCACATGTCTGGATAGGGCCGGGAAATGGCCCTTGTCTGAAACCCCGGAGAGCTGCTGCCAGTCAGTGCTCATCCAACTGTTCCATCTGCGCAAGTATTTCAGTTTGCCAGATGAAATGAGCCCCTCTTTTCTCCACCTGTGTGCTGATCTGGGGGTTCCCCTGATCCTCCAGAGCCAACTTCAGGGGCGGGCAGGTGGGTGGGGGAAGCGACTTGCTCATTCTGCTTAGAGATCAGTCATCGTTAAGAACCGAAGCATGTTTGTGCTAAATTTTTCCACTGAAGCCAATGGGGCTTAAACACACTTCGGCACTTATGGGAGCTGATCACCCAGCAGGTCCCAGAAGTGCTTAGATTTTGGCTGCACCTCGCCCTTCCCAAATGCATCCGGCTGCCTGGACTTTTCCTCCCCTGCCTGAGCTATGGCTGTCCAGGACTGCAGCCAAGAAGGCCAGCAAAATATGAGACGTGGCAGGCAAATAAGCTTTGCCTGGAAACCAGACAAGAAAAAGTGGCAAGACAGGTTTTGTGTTTAGGAACCAAAGAAGCAAACGGAAAGCACCTCGAAAGCCCCTGATGGTCCGTGGATTCTTCCTCTAGCTTATCTAGTAGCCGGGTGGAGCCAGCTTTCGGACTTGGGTTGTTTTCTCCTTGAAAAATTGACTTGTTCTTCCTTTTCTCTTTCTTTTTGCTCCTTTCTTCTGGCAGTTTTCTTTCTTCAGCCGCAGTATCAAACTGGTTTACCACTATCTGTTAAAAATTAAAATGATGATAATTCAGGTTTTTAAAAGCAAGAGTTTGTACAAGTTTATCAAGATCCGCCTATTTAATCTTTGAAGCTCCTTTTTTCTTCTTTATATTGGCAAACTACATTCACTTGCTTGTTTAGCTAGCAAGCTAACTAGACACAGGCATGCTTAGACAGAGGGATTTCTATTTTGCCCGCTACCCAACAAAATAGAGGTGCCCAAAATGGCAGGAAGCTGGCAAACAACATCAAAATAAAATAGATGCAGAGGTGGGTAGCTGGGTGGAGGGAAGGATTTCTGCCCTGTCTCCCCACCACTACAAAATAAAGGTGGCTAACAAGCAACAATCAAACAAAAAGTCACTGAAAATACAAAAGGCAGCGATCTTAACACTGAGATACCCTAGACCAACTAGAAGAACTCTGTACAACAATCAACTTAAAATCTCATTGGAAAAAGAAATCCTCAGGTGGCAATGGAAAAATTGTGAAGTACAAAGCCATCTATTCTTCTGGGGCAGATAATTTCACATACTGGGTTCCGCAACTCATTTGGTGCCAGATGTTGCTGTACTCCAACTCCCAATATTGCTACGCATTGGCTAGGCTGGCTGAGGCTGCTGGGAATTGGAGTCTGACAGCATCTGAGGGCTGCCATGTTGACGACCTCTGTCTCAGAGGGTGTTTTAGTGCGCCAGAATGCAAGTAGGGCTCTACCGATACCAAAACAAGCTGAACAAAGTGGGGTTATGTGTGGACAGAACATGTTGTCCATCCTTAAGCTGATCTTCTCATTTTGACAACTGTTTCCTAAACAAGTAAATGTATACAGCGTCACTGCCAAATGATGCTTCGGACACTTTCAAGAAAAGCGAAGGAGAAATGAAACCAACCAAGTATCCAGGTTCAGGGCTGCTTCACACATCATGGTTTGCATCGAGGCTAATTTAGTTGAACTTTGGCCTCCTTGAAATCAACAGGGCAAATTAATTCTGACTGATGTTCCACTGATGTCAAAGGGAATGAAGTGCAACTAAGTTGGTCTGGATCCAACCTTATGTTTGGTGTTTAGGTATAGGTGTTGCACCTATAGTGCAATTGTGACAGATAGGTGTTTGAAACCAAGGGCACCGTAGAGGCAAACTCACAAGAAAAGGCAGGATTGGCTACAGCTCCCTGTTGAAGAGTACACTTGCATGGTAAATCTGGGATTGTGTTATTTGTGAAATGACCCTTGGGATTTTCTAACACCCAACAAAACACAAACACATCTATGAACACAGCTGCAGGATTAGTACGTACAGTGGGAGACTGGCCACTTGAAGATCTCGCTTCCCCAAACAGAGCTAACTTCTTAGGACAATACATCAAGCCAAACAGAAGCAAGTCCAAATTAAACTATCATTTTAGGCTGATATTACACCTTATTTTAATGGCTACCAAATCGGGTCATACGGTTGTATCCAACTAAGTCCTACCCGGAGTAGAGTCATTGAAATCAATGGACCTAAGTTAGTCACAACCACTGATTTTAATGGGTCTACTTTGAGTAGGATTTAGTTGGGCACAACCCATAGTATACCACATGAAAATACTGCATTGCTCCAGAGGCTCACAATCTAAACTGTAGTACCATCTACTACTTCTGCCAAGAAGAAGTCACATTGGTGGAAGACAAGTTCCCTGACTCTCATGGGAATAAGACTCTCTATGGGAGCAGCAACCACCCAATTTGGTTAGTGTGTGTTTGACCAGTCAATGGGCCTGATCCCAGATATTTAAATATAAGCATTTAAGTCAGGGGTGGGGAGCCTGGGCCTCTCCAGATGTTGCCAGACTACAACTCCCATCAGCCCCAACCAATGGCAATAATTGGGGCTGATGGGAGTTGGAGTCCCAACAGCACCTGGAAGGTCACAGGATCTCCATCTCTGCATTTAAAGACTACTTCTAGGTGCAACACCAGCGGGGTAGACCCAAGCAGTTGCTAGTCACCAGAGCTCTCAGAAAAAGAACTATGGTGTAAGCTTCTCTATAATAATTTAGATGGCATCCAGTGCAAGGGAAGAATTTGGCACAAGCAAACAAGTAAGTGCAAAAAGCAACCGTACCACAGGGACATCTGAGTGAGCAGAATCCACGCTGTTTGCTTTGAGTATCACATTCTTCCCTTCTGCAGCAGCCTTGTTAAGGGAAGCCTTGGTGTGACCACGAGCATCTTTTTTCTGCTTCTCCGGGCTTTTATCATCCAAGGCTGTTGGTGCTGCATTACTCGTGTGTAGGCCTGCCTTTGAAATATCCTTCTCAGCGTTTTGGTCAAGCAACTCTTTCTCCGCCAAACAGTTTACTAAAAGCTCGGCGCAGATCTTGTTGTTTTCCGAGAGGGTAGGGTCTGCGCCGGGTGTAGCAAAAGCATCCAAGACGTCCGATATGGGAACGTCATAATGGGGGTAATAGAAGAGGTCATGGGGGATTATGGAGATTTTGGAAGGGTTTGGCATCATTTCACCCACCGAGCTGTCTTCATTAGTAATATCTAGGCTCTTGGGAGTGTTTCTAACTGGAGAAAAACGTTCCAATGGGTAACACTCTTCTGAATTATCGTTGAAATCAGGTCCACCAGTTTCCTGGTGAGTAGCATGTCCTTCCTTTACGGAAGAAGACTGCATTGCATGGTCATATTTTTCTGGGAGCTTAGATATTTCCTTGTTCAACAATTCTAATATATATTTCTTTGTGCTATCTTGCTCATCAGCAGCTGGAATTGGATGTTCAAGTTCCGTTGTCAGATGTTCCGGTACGTTTTCAGGTAGAGGGGATGAGCAAGGCTTTCCATCAGATGATTCTTTTGTTTCAGTGGCTGGCTTGTTCTTGCTGAATTCTTCAGAATTGACTCCCGAAGAGTCAGCAGGTTCAACAGAATGTTTGTGATACGGAGGTGAACTTGGCGGAAGAAGGTCATCGCTCTGGGTTGGTGAATCGGACATACTCAGCTGATCCCCTTCAGACCCGTTTACATTATTGGCAAGAATGTCGGCAGCAGAATTGGACCGATAATCAACAGGCTTTGTTATTGGCAGTGAGCTCGGCCTCTGAGGTTCTTCTGTGGAAGTCTCTGAATGATCTGATAGTTGCTGCTGCAGATTGTCATTAATCTCCTCATTTGCCATATGAAAACTTGGGTTCTCTGGATTAAGGGGCGAACCAGGAATATAGATTTTTGGAGGTGAAGACTGGCTTCTGTCCAGGTGACCGGTATAGGTGTGCTTCCCATTCTCATTCAAAATCAAAACCTTCCCTTGATTTTCTTCCCCTGGTGTCCCTTTGACGTGGAAAGGAGATTCAGCTGCAAAGTCCTTGTCCGGATCTGAAAAATCTTCCTATACAACATTAAATAAATCATCATCATCACCATCATCATCATTTGATAAATAATATTTCTTTTTGCAAGGTAGTTGTCGGAACAATTAAGCCATGCTTCCACCAGCCCACCAAAGACTTGCTATCATCATAGGAAACAGTAAGACATCTCTGCCTGAGTTGCTGCATGCTTCCCAACCGTAAGGAGGCAAACCAAGAGCAGTGACTCACATGCAGACATGCAATGGCTGGTCTCCTCTGAGGGCAGAGGGTGTTTCTGCTGTGTCTCTGCAATAGTCAGAAGTGACCAAGCCACCTTATGCAGAGATGCATTGGGCGGCCTACCGTGAGTTATGGGAGTGTTTAGTTGATGAACATCTAATGATATACCTGCAGCCCTCTCAACTTCTAGGTTTCTCAGGTGCAGTTCAGGAACTGCTCATGCAGAGTCAAGATCCCAACAGTGTCTCTTTGATTCTTGCCATTTCCAATCTAGGGGGTGGGGAGACAAGAGGAAAGCCACCCACATTTGCTGCCCACTGTCCATATTGTTGGGAATTGGGTTGACCTAGTGAAGTAAATACAACTGAACTGAAGTAAAGGAGGCCAGGTGAGGGAAACAATCACCCAACTTCCTCCTAACTGTGGAGGAGGTGCTTATCGCTGAGAGTGACCTAACTACATTTACAGGAAAAAGACATTCAAAAAGCGAAGTGAAGGAACATACGTACCCCTTCCAGCTCTGGGAAATGTTCCAAAAACTGTGCCACATAGGTCACAATGGACTGATCGTCGGGCGACTCAACCATGATGTCTGGGGAGACACACATATTGTCTCGTGATGAATCTAAATTTATTTCCTTTTACTTATTGATTTCATAAAAAAATTATATGACACTGGATTGTAGAAAAAAATTCAGAGTGGTTTACAAACAAAGATAAAACAATGTAACGATCACAAGGCCCCACTGATCAGCCTGTAAATCCCAAAAGCCTGCAGAAGACATTTAGGTATGAACAAGTTACCTTCTGGCTCCAGAAGTCTTGGAATACCTAGGTGGTTATGTGCTGTAGTGAATGCATCCTCTAAATTCTCCCGGGGTGATTTCTCCAAAGCTTGCTTCATATCTACCAAGCTCGAATCTATGGCTTTGATTACCGCCAAGAAAGCCAGGCCACTTCGCCAACTGCTGGTAAAGTCCTGAACAGCAACCCCATACCTGGAGGCGAGAGTACCAAGGAGAGAGCTGGTATGAAAATCCATACAGGGAGATGGGCATGTTCAAGACTCTCATAACACAGAAATTTATTCCAGTGCAAAGGCTTCCTAGCTTTAGGGAAAGGCATCATACTCTAAGCATTCACAAGAGGGAGTTTTTGTACACCAGGTGCCTTTTCCTCCACCATGGGGTGAGAGAGATCCAGCTGCTTAGCCCTGCTGCCCACCCTCAGAGGACCACAGTGGGAGCTTTTGCCTGGCAAATGGTAACTGTCAGCAAAGGAATGTAGGAAACCAACCAAAGCAGTCCATTGGTCCATCTAGCTCAATATAGTCTACACCAGGAGTAGGGAACCTCCAGCCAAATTTGGCCTGGCATACGTCCCAGTTTGGCCGTGAGGTTGTCCCTGCCACCCACCCAAAACCACACTCGCGTGCCCCACACGTGAGGTCACCTATACATGTGGAGCAGATAAAAGATGCATCTGGAGCAGGTGAGCTGAACCACAGAATTGATCCCTGTAGAAAGCAGGGCTGAAGTCACCTTGCATCAACAGGCGGGCAGCTGGATCGGCTTTCACAAGCAAGTTCCCTGCGGGGAGCTTGATCATGTAGCCAAGCCCTGTACTTAGTACTGACGAAGCCCCATGCACATCATTTTCCAAGCATCCAACAACCCGTTTACCACTGGGCATTTGGGAAGCGCAGCACGAGAAACTTTGACAGGTGAACAGGACAGCGCACCTGTCGGTCACCTGATGCCACTGATGATTTCACAGGTGGGTTGTCCCACTCACCTGTCAAAGTTGTCCCACAGTGGTGGGGACAGGGAGGGATCTGACCCTCCAGGCCGAAAAGGTTCCCTACGCCTGGTCTATTGAGATCTATTGATATTGATGCTGCATTTTATGTTGTATTTTATGCTGTTTTTAAGTCATATTTTAATCAATGTTTTATATTTCCTGTTAGTCACCCTGAGCCCGGTTTTTAAACCGCGAAGGGCAGGGTATAAATAAAACTTTATTATTATTATTATCATCATCATCATCATTATTATTATCATTATTATTACATTAGCTGGGAGATGGCCTTGTGCCTCATGTCAGCTAATGAAAGGGCCAGCCATGAGCACATCTTTACACTTGGGATCACCCCAAGGCAACGTATGCTGCAAAGAAGAGTCGGAATAGGGTCTTATTACTGACACAAAACACAGAACTGTGAAACAGGAAGGACAGGGAAAACCCAGCTGCATAGCCCAAGATCTTCCTTGGCTGATACAGGCAAAATTACAGAGCCTGTTCTATTGCTTGCCCTCAAATCCACTTTGAATGCATCCAATCCATTTCATCACACAGATAACTAATGGAAATCTTCCATCTGATTGGCAGTGGGATTTGCGGCGACTTTTAAGGGAGGGGAGGGAGAAAAGTTGGCTTACTTTCTTGTTTTCCTTTGGACCCAGTTCAAAAGGGTCTTGATTGCTTTTCGCTGATCCTTCACCGAGACAGACATGCTTCTCTCGACATTAGGCGTGTTGGGATGAGAGGTGTCTGAATCAGGGCCACTTGGTCCCGACGACAGGCTGGAAGACGAGGAGTTCCTATTGAGGTTGCCTGTGAGTTCTTTAATCTGTTGCAGGGGGTGGGGGGAAGGCAGCAGCCGGGGTCAGAAAAACAGAGCAGAGAATCCATCATTCTGTCATGCTGCCTTGAGGACAAGCAACCCTATTCATTTCTTCAGGCAAGCAGCCGCTTCCAAACTTCACAAACAGCCCTGTCATGCCAGCTAGCCCCGCGCGAAAGGCAGCGTTGACTTGGGGCCCGGTTTCATGCTATCTGAAAGAGCACTCGCCCCTTGGCGAGACACACGGCAAGACTCAAGCCAGCAGCCTCGGCCGCTGCATTCCAGACACAGGGAGTAAAAATGCATAGCAACTTCTAAATCAGGGATGTGGCTGGACTTTAGCTCCTGTCAGCTTTGCCCATTGGCCATGCTGGCTGGGGGGAGGTGGGAGTCCCACAGTATCAGGAGTGCCACAGGTCCCCACCCCCCAATTCCTGCTCTAAAGGCAAGGATCCTGCAATGGAATGAATATGGCCCACATGTCTTAAGGTCGTATTTCATGTCAATGTCCTGCTTGCACGATTCCCCTAAGCTCCTCTGGGTTGGTTACTGCAGTTAACAGGAGTGCTAAGATGGGCGTGGGATTTGATCCTGCAGGGCTCTTCTTATGTTCTGGTATAGCAACAAGAACCACAAGAAGAAAGGTCACATCCGTACCGTGCGTTTTAAGCACTCTTATGCTATTTCAACAGTCAGGGGTTCCCTCAGAGAATCCTGGGAACCACAGTTTGCTAAAGCTGCAGAGAGTTGCCAGGAGACCGCTCACACAGCTAACGTTCACCAAAGCGACTGCTTTGAAAGGTGCTTGGAAGTCCTGACTTTGGGACTTCAAAGCACCTTGCTCACGGCATCACTATGATGTCATGGGTGCAGCCTTGCCCACCAGACAAATGCAGTCCATGAGGCTGACCCTGATAAGGATCTCGCCCCTGGAGCCAAAAATGTTCCTTGCTCCTTGTATAGACAAAATGGATTTTCCCATAAACTATGGAAGACACAGAATGCTAGAATGCAGAGGAGCAATTCTCTCAGTGGAGAGAGATCAAATGGTGAGAAGAAAACTACAACAGAGTTTTCGGGAACATATAGGCAGCTGGGGGATGGGGCAGACTGGGGTAAATGAACCATATAGTGCTGGAGAGAAGAGCGAATCCTTGCTTCTCAGTCATTTGATCTTGTGGTGCCAGAAGACCCTCATCAGCAAAACCAGTATTAGGAATTCCTTTGCATGAGATAACAGAAAAAATCGAGAATCATTTTGGGTGAATGCAGACGTCACATCCTGATCTCTTAAGCGCAGTTAAAGAGTTCAGTCATAGACATGCCTTATGCTGTCTTAATAGCTCAGTTGGTAAAGCTTAATCTCACAGTTGTGTGTTCAAGCCCCACATCAGCAAAAGATTCCTGCATTTCAGGGGGTTGGACTAGATGATCCTAGTGGTCCCTTCCAACTCTACAATTCTATTCTTTAATAATAATATTATTTTATTATTTATACCCCGCCCATCTGGCTGGGCTTCACCAGCCACTCTGGGCAGCTTCCAACAAAACACTAAAATACAGGTTATGTATGAGCACATAGGGCAGGAGTGGAGACCCTGTGGCCCTCCAGAGGTGGTTGGACTCCTCAGCCAGCATGGCTAGTGGTCAAGGATGATGGGAGATACGAGTCCAGCAACATCTAGAGCTTCTCCAATTTAAGGGGCAGAGTTGGGGGTAGGAGAGCTGTCCTGCTGGGTTTGCTGACTTGGGAGGATCTGCTTTCCTGTTTTTGAAAAATTGGCTCACTTTTAAAGAAACAGAGTCTGGGTCAATCTAGAGGCGGCTACAATGACACAGCTGGCATTAAGCATGATTGTCCTTTGTTTAGTAAATGGTAGCTGCCAGGGGGTCAGTTGAATTTGGATTGGGACCCTGGTGGCAGCAAAGGGTAAATTCCCTTCTCTCCACCTATCACCAGCTGCAGTCCTAATCTGGACACACACATACACACACACTAGCCCATGAGTGTGGTTGCTATTTAACTGAACAAAGAACAATCACACAAGCTACCAGCTGTGCGATTATCATCATGTCTACTTTGGCCCTTTGTTAAGCAATGTCGGAAATTTTTGGATGGGAATTGTGTGGCTAAGAGGGTGACATAAGAGATGCTCATGATGCCAATTGGATTTGGCCTTCTTGTGGGGGAAGGGGGAATAAAAGATTTTAAGTGTTCAAGCTGGATTTTGTTAGGTGACTGACTACATCTGCTAGGATGTTTGGGGATGATGAATTCCAGGTGTCCATCCTGTCTTCTCAGTGGCCAACCAGATGCCTGTGGGAAGTCCACAAACACGACATGAGCACAACAGCACTCTCTCCACTTGCGATTCCTCTTCTTCTGACCCAAATCTGAAATTTGGATTCTTCACCTGACACTCTCTAGGAGCTTTCAAATTCCCTAGAAGGGGATGGTAGGCTTTACACAGAGGAGAGGGCATTGCTAGGCCCTCAAAAGACTTGAGGCACAGGGCCATGATGCAAATGTGAATAACAATGACATACGTTAATTTGTAAGTAGAGGTGCAAAGTTAGACAGACTTTCAGAGGGAAGGGGAAGGTTGGCCATCAAAGTAACCCTCAGCAGTGGAATGCCAAGATTTTCTAGGCCAAGTACTGTATGTGGATTGTGCCCTCTACCTTGCCCGATATTAAAACTGAAACAAGTGTCTCTGGGCAAATGAGGTCGGCAGATGAATAGGGCTTCACTAGTACTGTGCTTTTATACTGTACCTGTTTGCACCAACAATGCCCCTGTATGGAGATGTCATAGTTTTTCAAGGAAGCTCAGGACCATGTCAATGCTTTTCAAAGAATCATAGACTCTTATGAGTTGGAAGGGACCCCAGGGGTCATCTAGCTCAACCCTCTGCTATGCAGGAATCTCAGCTAAAGCATCCATGACAGATGGATATCCAACCTGTTTAAAAACCTCCAATGTGTCTATTTTAAATGGTTTGGGCACTCGTTGTTTGATCTCTGGCCTTTTAAGCAGGAAAAAACTATTCCAGGAGTTTTCAGAAATCAATTTCACACTTTAAAAGCTTTAAAAATACTAGGAGGAACTTGGCACACTTTGATGGGCTCTCCCATAGGCCATCGAGGTCTAGTTTAGGAATTACAGTAACCAGTCTCCTGAAATGGCCCAGTGTCCTTCCTTAAATTCTGAAGGCTCTCAAAAGGTGATATCCAGATCCCAAGGCACAGGAAACAAGGTGCTTGCTTGTGGCCATTCTATAGAGCATGATAACCCAACAGTCCACACCTTCCCTGAGTAACAGGGAAATGGTTCAACTTAATGGTGTAACGTTGGAAAATGTTGACCACTTTTCCTACCCGAGCAGTTATCTTTCCACAAGGGCCAACTTTGATGCCAAAATCCAGCATCGCCTGAGTTCTGCAAGCTCAACTTTCTCCTGATTGAAGCAACAAGTGTTTGAGGACCAGGACGTTCACAGAGAAACCAAAATGCTCATTTACAAAGCCATTGTACTACCAACTTTACTGTATGTTTGCAAACCATGGACCACTTATAAACCCTATCTCCAACTCCTCGAAAGATTCTATCAACAATGTCTCTGGAAAAAATTACACATCTCTTGGGAAGACAGGCAAACAAATGTCAGTGTACTAGAAGAAGCAAAGATCACCAGTGTTGAAGCAATGATTCTTCAACATCAACTTCGTTGGACTGGTCATGTTTAGATACCTGATTACCATCTTCTAAAACAACTACTCTATTCCCAACTCAAGAATTGAAAGTGAAATACTGCTGAACAACAAAAGAGGTTTAAAGATGTTCTCAGGGCAAATCTCTTAAAATGTAGCATAAGCACTTATAACTGGGAAACACTGGCCTGCAAGCGCTCCAATTGGAGAACAGCCTTTACCATAGCAGCCATGGACTTTGAAGAAGCACAAACTCAGGGTGAAAAGGAAAAACAAGCGAAGAGGAAGGCACGCTTGGCAAACCCTCACCGTGATCAACTCCCACCTGGAAACCTATGTCCCCACTGTGGAAAGACATGTGGATCCAGAATTGGCCACCACTTACAGACTCACGGTTAAGACTGTTTTCATGGAAGACAATCTTACTCGGCTACAAGTGCTCGCCAAAGAAGCAGCAGCAATACAGTAAAAGAACAAGAAGTGGGATGATTTTGTGAAAGGGTATAGGATTGCATCCAATGATGATTTTGAAAGCCCTATTTCACTGCACAAATTAGACTGCCCGGTTTTTTCAGATTATCCTTGCGTACTACCCTCAGGAACAGTGTTAGAGGAGGACAGTGAGAATCAAGTGGCTTGGGAAAAATGGGGTGCCATGCCTGGCACAACTGGGGCGTTTTCTACTAAAGAGCCACCTACAACCCAATCTACAAACGTCTCCTGAAGATAATAACAAGGAATTCAGCATGGTGCTAAAAGCCAGAGATCAGGGTTACCTCCTAATAAATTTTTGTAATATTATTATACAACGACAAATGTCATTATAGCCTAATAATCAGCCTCCTTTGGGGATTAAAATGATTTAATCCTGAAATCAGGGTTGTTATCATTATTAGGGTGACATATTCACACAGGATTTCATTTTTCGCAACTTCCCCACAAAGCAGTCAAAAAGACAGCTGTTTGCTATGAATCACTCCATGCATTTCCCTTTTCGTTTTTTGTTATTTGCTTCTGGAATTGAATCACATTATTAGTCAGGTGCTCCTTGAATTTGACAGCTAGCATGTAAGTGACTTTGAAAAATCCCAGCATTGTTCATAATCTACAGGGGTTCTGGCTTTAACCAATTTTACTGTCTGCCCCCCGCTCACTCCCTACACTAATCAGTAGTAAGAGAAAATATCAACATGTTTGGATATGAGCCTAGAGCACAATCCTAACCTCCCAAGTAGTAGTGCTGGGGAGGGTGGCTAGAATTCAGTGAAGTAGCCCTCTGCCTAGGGACGCGGAAGGCGCTGTGGGTTAAACCACAGAGCCTAGGACTTGCCGATCAGAAGGTTGGCGGTTCGAATCCCCGCAACGGGGTGAGCTCCGTTGCTCGGTCCCAGCTCCTGCCAACCTAGCAGTTCGAAGGCACGTCTAAGTGCAAGTAGATAAATAGGTACCGCTCCGGCAGGAAGGTAAATGGCATTTCCGTGCGCTGCTCTGGTTCGCCAGAAGCAGCTTAGTCATGCTGGCCACATGACCCGGCTGTACACTGGCTCCCTTGGCCAATAAAGCAAGATGAGCGCCGCAACCCCAGAGTTGGTCACGACTGGACCTAATGGTCAGGGGTCCCTTTACCTTTTACTAGCCCTCTGCCTGGCTCTGCCAACAGGGGGCAGCATCACAGCAGAGTAGGGCTAGGCAATATATCGATTTATTGTCCCAAATCGATTTGAAGTCCACATTGTCGTATCGGATTCATAACTATTGACCTGACAACATATCGCCAATCGTGTGTGTGTGTGTGTGTGTGTGTGTGTGGGTGTGAGAGAGAGAGAGAGAGAGAGAGAGAGAGAGAGATGCAAAAATCACAATGTGGGGAAAACTATGAAGCCAGCCAGTGCTTCTATTGATCCCGGTAGTGCCTGTTAATTCTGCTGACAAAGCTCTCCCCTGCCTGAGGCAGGGGGCAGCGAATCACAAGATCAGGTGCTGGCAGAAATCATGGTGAGGGGAAAACCATGCCCCTAGATAGCTCCATCCTTATTTCAGACATCGTGATATATCAGTATATCGCAATGTTTAGCTGGTGATATATCACAATGCTGAAAACCTGATTATCACCCAACCCTACTGCAAAGGATCTTGCAGAGGGCGGGCAAGATATGGTAGCCAACAAGGGGACCCTGAAATGAGACATGTCAGGCTTAGGGTGAGAGCAGAACTGTGCTGGCTATGGATCTATTGGATCCTAAGCTAAGCGCTTCATGGAGAGGAGCCTAATTTGGGTGTAAAGCTGGTGTAGAGGGGGGAAAGTGTGTGTGTGTGTAATGGCTGCAGACTCAATGAAGGAGCCTCCATATTGCACCTCCCTCAAAATTTGCCCAGGGAAGGAGAGGTGGGTGTGGGTGGGTAGTTAGAGGGGTAATACACTAGCCCATTGTCTGCTCTTATCCATGATTAAAGAGATTGAACTAGGTTACATCTGCACCAGACTTTTGAGAATGGTCAAGTTCACTGGCTGCATTCAATTCTTGGCATTTCAAGGCTCCCAGATCGTTGAAATCCGTATCAGATTTCATCTTAGTACATGGAAGCAATGCAAGTAATGCATATTAAAGGGCTTTAAAGCCTCGTTTCAGGACTCAGGTCTCAAGACCCATGTTGCTAAAAATGCACAAAGCAGCATTCAAGCGTTTTCAGCACAAAAATAGAAAACAAGATCTTCTGATCTGGGTTCTGGCCAGCAGCCACATGCACACAAGGCAGGCTGGACTCAAGTACTTTGAGGCAGAAATCCATTTGCAAGGGCAATGAAGTGGACTGAGGGGTTTGCAAGGTGGGGGGAGTAAAGTGCAGTGACGCCCAGGTGTCTCATCTATTTCGGTTTATCCAGGTTTGCTCATACATTTTACGGAGTCTTTAATGCAAGAAAAATGAAGACCCGACACAAAATGAGGTACATGGGAGAAACGAATCTGTTTCATTCCTAGCCTTTAGACATAACAAATCCGTATTCCGATGAAAAGTTTAACGGAAAAGCCAAAGTGTAACAACATTACCATTTGCTCCTTACCTGAAAAAACAGTATTATGTTCCATATCAGGCCCAGGACCATGGAAGAGTTTCCATCTGCTATTTCAGCTGCATCAATGCTAACCAGCTTCACCTACAGAAAAGGGGGTTGCAGGTTTTAAAAGACGTTTAAAAACAGGTAGACAAATGCACTCAAGTGCAGTTTTAATTACAGAATGCACATGTGTCACATCTAAAGGCCAGGGAACAGGGAGTTGCATTTTGCACTTATACTGGGCGAGGTTTTGGCTTGCAATCTATAAAGCTGGATTGCTTGCTTCTACGTGTATCTAGTTCACGCGATATGGTTGCAAGATAGTGGCTCACTGAAGGGAGGACCGTTTTCTTAATGGGGGGAGGGAGAAAGAAAGAAAGAAAGAAAGAAAGAAAGAAAGAAGTCACATGGCTGCTATGCACTCATGTAACTAGTTTGACCCTCAGTTACATTATTCTTAATGCCCTTGTGATGAAGTATTTACTTGATTATATTATGCATATTTGCAGCTACATAATCTGCTGTCATTGTTCTGCTGAAGTCAGATTTATCAGGTCCATCTTGGCAGACAGCCTGCTGACGTGCAGCACGTGTGGTTCGGAGAGGGGCATTATTCCTCTAAGGCAGCCTTTCTCAACCTGTGGGTTTCCAGATGGTGTTGAACTACAACTCCCATCACCCCTAGCTAGCAAGGCCAGACCTCAGGGATGATGGGAGATGTAGTCCAACAACAACTGGGGACCCACAGGTCGAGAACCACTGCCTAAGGCATGGGTAGGCAAACTAAGGCCCAGGGGCCGGATCCGGCCCAATCACCTTCTAAATCCAGCCCGCGGATGGTCCGGGAATCAGTGTGTTTTTACATGAATGGAATGTGTGCTTTTATGTAAAATGCATCTCTGGGTTATCTGTGGGGCATAGGAATTTGTTCATTCCCCCCCCCCCCAATATAGTCTGGCCCCCCACAAGGTCTGAGGGACAGAGGACCGGCCCCCTGCCGGAAAAGTTTGCTGACCCCTGCTCTAAGGTGCCATCTGAGCTTTTGAGGTGATAGGAAAGGGGAACAGAATGCCACTCTAATACTAACTGGGCAGAGAAACACCTCTCCACTATCTTGGGAGGCTCAACTATCACTACAGATGCTTTCTCCACTTTTAAATGCTTGTTGAGCACGATCTGGGGAAGGGCCGTAGCTCTGTGGCAGAACATCTGCTTTGCATGCAGAAGGTCGCAGGTTCAATCCCCGGCATCTTCAGGTAGGGCTGGGAGACCCTTGAAGCACTGCTGTTGTCAGTGCAGGCAATATTGAGCTACATGGACCAGTGGTCTCTGTATAAAGGCAGCTTCCTACATTCCTATCAAGTTACCAAGGATTCTGGGTTTGAAGCCATGACAGGACCCAGAGTTCCCACAGAGAGGTTTAATCCATATGACAAGGACCAGCTTATGTTTCTCCTTCAAAGGACACACTCTCTTCTCTTGTTCATTCATTGCAAGCAGGATGGCAGAGCAGAAAAGAGAGAAATCCCCAGGCTGCCCATGACAGCGTTAAACCCTTGCATTGCAATACAGGGCCTCAGACCTTTCTGAAACACTGACAGTAAGAATATTGAGCCTCTCCCCACCTGTCACAATTCCTCTCCAGTTCTGCATTAACTATACACCATGGCTGTCCCTTCCCACCTCTTTCATGGTGGTTTAATATTTAAACTGCTGGCTCTCCATTGCCAAGGGAATGGTAACAACATTTCCCTGCCCTGCCCTGACTTTTCAAATTTGGTTAAACCGGCTTGAGATCAAGAGGGAAACCTTTTAACCCGTGGCTCAACTGCAACAATGGTTCAGTCCTGGTAAGATGTCACCAACGTCATATCATTCCTCAGAGGGAAGGCCACAAAGGCAGCACATGGGCTGGAGCAGGATTAGGCAACATGGCACCTTCAGATGTTCCGGCCTACAAATCTTGCCAGTTGCAGTCAACATGGCCAATGGTGAGAGATGACAAGAGTCAGCAACATGGGGAGGGCACCATGTTTGATGCTCATGGATAAATTTTAGGCTGGGGGTTTTTTTTTGGGGGGGGGGTTGTTTGCGTGCCCAGGCACAGTCCCACCCCCCTCCGGGAGCCAGACCTCAGACCAAGGAAAACACATGACAACGTATTTTGGGATTAAAATGGCCACAACTTTATTGAATTTCAGATGTAGGAAACCTTGGCTTAGGCATAGGGGGTATATCCCTCTCAGCCACCAGCTGGGGGCCTGAGGCAAGACAGGGTTAATCGGGAATATGGGGACACTGCAAAACGTGCGTTTACACAGCTGCCCCCCTCCCTGCACTGCTGAGGGAAGCTCTATGCTCCACTGCTGAGCGCTTGTGGTCAGAGACTCCCCTCAGGACCCCTCTAACACGGAACCCTGATATCGCTGCCGCAGAAAGGGGTGAGTCACCGCAACATCCCTTCCTCGATTGTTGGACTAAAGGATTCTGCCCAAGGCCTAAAACTGCCACCCAAGACTGCGAAACTGCCACCTTCCCGCCACGACTACCTACAGCTGAAAGCCACACCTTATGTCCTCACCAACCATTCCTCAAGGCCCTGCTTCACCTCCCACAACCAGTGTTCATTTCCCAATGGTGCACGTTGTCAGCTCTAAACAATTCCAGCTTGCACATTTTAATGTCCAGATGTTTAATCACTCAGCCCGCAATACACAGAGTCATATTGAAAATAGCCGTGTTCATTTTATCTTGTGCGCTGGGCCGCAAACTTCGCCCACCGCCAGACCCGGTGAGTGGTTATTTAAGCTCATCTCTATCCCACTGTAGCACTTACAGTGTGCAAAGTATATAACCACCCATCTCTTTGTTTGGTTCTTGCGGCAACACCCACAAGAGGTGGATCACTCTTATTCCCATGCTGAAGATGGGCAATTATTGTGGGGAATTTGGAGCCCATCTCTTCCAGTCCTAAGCCTGACTTCTCATTTTTTTCTGAAGTTTTCCAAAATTTCATACATACATTTCAATACATAATAAAAACTCCCCCCAAAAAACTTCCCAGCCCCATTCCCATGGTGTTTCTGTTTCTTTCCCTCTGTTGCACTGTCTTTTATCTCTTAAACCTTAACAAGAATACCATAACTTCTAATCCCTTCTGTTGCTCATAGTTCAAATCGTGCTCATGTGTTCATCATATAATATTTCTTTAAATTAAATGAAATTTAAATTTAAAAGTGTTTCCATTCTTCCACAAAACCTTCGTCATTAGACCAAGCCTACTGCCCAAGGTGGGTCCTGTGTTGGAATTTAAAACAGCCTATAAATGGGAAGCTGGTTAGATTTTGCCAGCGCTGGACTTCTCTTAAGTCACACAGCTGTTGCAAGTCCTTGGATTCGAGACCTGGTGGCCCTGGTTTCACCACCACATGTGAATAACTCTTCTACATTCTTTCCAACTAAGCATGACTTACAAGAATGAGATTGTGAAGACCCTTGGAAAGGGCTAGACGCAGAGACCAAATCAGTCCATCTGGCCTCCGAAAAGTTCAGTGTGTGCCTAAAGGAGTGTTTCACCTTACATAAGCTTTTAAAGCAAGGCAAGGCACCTTACTATGACATACCAAGGCCCCTGGCAACAGGGCTAGCATGAGCGTGTGAAGTGTGATGTCAGCAGCACATGCAGAATCCAGTGATAATGGAGCAAAGCAACAACGGCCTAGCAGAGACGCTGCTGTGAGGCTGGGTGGTGATTTATAGGGCCACAGCTAAGTGACAGAGCATCTGCTTTGCGGGTCCAATCCCCGACACCTTCTGCTTGTCAGTGTAGACCAGGGACAGCCAACGTGTCTTCCAGAGCTTGTTGGATCACAACTCCCATCATCTCTGGCCATTTGGCTGGGGATGATGGGAGCTGTAGTCAAAAAACATACAGAAAGAACAATGTTGGCTATCACAATGCTGAGCTAGCTGGGCCAACTACCAGACTTGGTATATGCAGTGGTGGTGTTTAACTGCTTGAGGTGAAACAGGAAGAGCCACCCTGTCACTCCTGCCACCACCACCACCACCACCATCAGCACTGATTTCAGGTGGGATCATGCTGATTTCAGGCAAGATCTCACCCAATTTGGCCCCGATGGCAGAGGTGCTTCTCTGCTGATGTGGTTCTCATGGCATCTGATTCCTGACTTGCTTTATATCGCTGCCCATCGCCCAGCCTTGACAGGGAACTTTATCCATCTCCTCACCTTCACATAAGACTCCAAAATGGGTGTGAGTCATGCTTAGGGGAAAGGCCATAGCTCAGTGGCAGGGTGCATGCTTTCATGCAGAAGGTTGTAGGTTCAATCCTTGGCTTCTCCAGTTGGTGCTGGGAGATAACCCAATCCCGGGCAGCCTCTGGCAATGCTGAGTGACATGGACCAATCTTCTGATCCAGTATAAGGCAGCTTTCTACACCCCTCCTTCTGCACTTGATGCAAAGGCAGCCTGCACAGCAACACTAGTGTGGGGTGGCATCCCCCCCACATAGTTACACAGTGTTCAACCCCAGACCTTGCAGAATTCTAGAGTAACAGTTTCCATCTTTCTTTGAACAAAGCTCAAACGATCTCTTGCTATAAATTGGACAGAGAAATATAGAACTTGTGATGCTGAAAGCATTTTTTGGGGGGGAGGGAAGGAAAAGTCAGATGACTCAAATCACCAATCTTCAGAGCAACTTGAGCCCAGCTGCTTAAAGGTTGCTGAACACAGGCATTTCTTTTATTTTCTTTTAATATTGGCCTCTTGATCCTTTAATCCAGTTGAACATTACGACATTAAAATAATAATTTGTGTTGAGAGGAACCCCTCCTTGTGCATACTGTATGCAGCCTTTCAGACACAACTTTAAACAAAACATAATTCCTTCAGCTTACACATTCCTCATTTTGGAGGAATATATTGTACTGCGGGAAGTGAAAAACAATTCAGCAGCTTTTGAATTACTTACATTGCTGTCCTCCAAAAACTTGAGGGCTTTTGCGATATTGTTCAGTCGAAAAATACGATGGGTTGAGGGCTTGTATTCATGCAGCTAAAAAAAGGAGGAAAGTAAGCCACTTAGTGCCTTTTAAAATGTTATTATTGAAGGGGGAAAGGCTGTGGCATCTGCTTTGCAAGCAGAAGGTCCCAGTTTCAAACCCACTGCCTAAAACCCTGGAAAGCCATTGCCAGACAGCGCAGACTCTACTGAGCTAATTCTGAGCACATCTATCAGGAAGTAAACACCAGTAAGACAAGCTGGAACTTTTGCAGAGGAGAGTGACCGAGGTGATCAAGGGTCTGGAAACCAAGCCTTATGAGGAACGTTTGAGGAGGTTGGGTATGTTTAGCCTGGAAAACTGGGAGGATATATGATAGCCATCTTGTCACATGGAAGATGGAGCAAGCTTGTTTTCTCCTGCTCTGGAGGGTAGGACTCGAACCAATGGCTTCAAGTTACAAGAAAGGAGATTCTGACTCAACTTCAGGAAGAACCTTCTGACAGCAACAGCTTGTTCAACAGTGGAACAGACTCCGTCAGAAGATGATGGTGACTTTCTTTCCTTGGAGGTTTTTAAGCAGAGGTTGTCTGGCCACCTGTCATGAATGCTTCAGTTGAGATTCTTACATTGCAGGGGGTTGGACTAGATGACCCTCAGGGTCCCTTCAGTCTCTGCAATTCTATGATTCTATGACTGCAGTTATAATATAATTGCCAACACTGGCTGCGTCCACGTACTTTCTATGAACCACATGCAACTAGGATATACAGACTGGCTGCAGGTGCCCACCTCAAGATATATTTCTGATGTGGTCCTTGGGTGTTGAAAAGGCTCAATTTTATCACAGATGCTGGGAAAGCAGTAACTGTGAGTGTTCAGCTCTGCCTGGACCTCAGACTGGAGGTATCATCAGAGGATGAGCAGGGGAACTTTAATCACCCACCGCCTGCAAACCTCACACTGTCATTGGCCATGAAGAGCCATTGGATCCAGACCTCATCCCTTTCACAGGACTGGCGTCCCCCTGCACCAACTGCCTGGGCTCCTGGCTAGGTCAGTGACCCACCATTTCTGCCCTAGCCCCATAGGAGCAGGACAGCCGGGCTGGAGCAACCACCAAAGAGGCCAGCTAGCTGAACACAAGGCCACACAGATGGAAGGGGAAGCCACAGGGGACACTTGTCCAGATCAAGGCCTGGCTGAGAGCCATGTCAGACAGAGGCTGTTAATGAAGGTTTACACCTACCAGATTTTGCCCAGAGAGAACTTCCAGCAGAGCCATCAAAATTTTGCCATCTTTAACATCAACCAACAAATCTTTCACTTCCAGAGGGGGGCTGCACTGTGAAGAAAGAAAGGGGTACAGGATTGAGAAAGGTGACCTTGGGCTCTGTCACAGGGCGAGCTAAACAGTAAATCACACAGTTCAAAATTGGGAGTCAACTCGTTATTTGCAAAAACTGTCTTCATAGACTTAGCGGAGTGTCAGACCTAAAGAGCACAGAAGCTCATTCCCTGTAGGTCTTACTCCATGAAATCAGTTGCCAAGACTGAAGGTCCCCCCTCCCCACGGTTGTCTATGTCTTCATTGCTTCAGGACAAGCAATCAGAGACTATGCCTGTATGCCTGTTTTTGTTCCTCCCATTTCATGCTTCTTCTGGTTCTGGGAGTCATGGGGAAAGTGGAGACACCCATGACTCTTCACCAGCATGACTCATCTCTGCCTCTTCACCTCTCTTCTTTCACTAGCCTGATGAAGCTTCTGATTCTGAACTTCTCTCTGCCACAAACTCTCCCTGTTCACTAAGCCCTGTCACCTCTTCAGCTTCCAACACCTCCTCCTCCCAGTCTTCTCCCTCTGAGCACTCATCATCGTTCCACCACCAATCCCCAGGCTCTGAGTCTTCTTCCTTTGGGGGTTTCCCAGCTGGTTCCTCCCACCACTTCTCTGTGTCCAACCAGTCCATGATAGGCACTCAGTTGGAAAGGACCCCAATGGTCATCCAGACCACCTGCAAATGTATCATCAGATAATAAATATTTAAGGAATAATATAAACCCCTATCCTTTCTCATCTACTTTTCAATAACTGCAATTTAAAAAAATGATTGTTGGTTTGTTATTGCTGTTGTTATTTATCTGCCCTTCATCCTAAGGTCCCAGGGCAGGTTACAACAATTAAAACATTATATTCAAAACAGTTTTAAACAACTTAAAATCACAGAGATAAGGTGGGTCCCAAAAATATACAGTGGTACCTCTGGTTACATACTTACTTCGTTCTGGAGGTCCGTTCTTAACCTGAAACTGTTCTTAACCTGAAGCACCACTTTAGCTAATGGGGCCTCCCGCTGCCGCCGCACCACCAGAATACGATTTCTGTTCTCATCCTGAAGCAAAGTTCTTAACCCGAGGTACTATTTCTGGGTTAGGGGAGTCTGTAACCTGAACCGTATGTAACCTGAAGCGTATGTAACCTGAGGTACCACTGTACATCCAAAATGCCAAAAGCCAAGATAGAAAGGTGTGTCTATAATATTTGAATGGGCTAATTTGTTCAGCAGGCTTACCTTTTCCAAATGTAGATTTATCCAACGGGTAAAAGTCCTTTTCTGCACATTTTCCCTTTCCACTAGAAAGGAAAGATATAAAGAAACTCAGTTTATTAAAACGGGGAAGCACCTATTTAACAAAGTGAATCTGCTTAGAAGAAGTAAGGTTTGGCTTCCGGTGCAACTGTGGACTTATATGTCATGCAATCTACAAAAATAACATTAAGGACACTTGCCGAAGAACACCAGAGGATGTTCCCAGCATCATTGGGCCACATTTGATTCACATGTCTCTCGCTACTTGCCCCCTTTTTATTGCAGGACTCCCAATACGAACCATTTCAATCTCCCTGGCTCACAGAGGCCCCATAAATGTAATACCATTTCCAAAAACCCAATGAAACATGTTCTTTTTGCACCTATCCTTGTGAAAAGCAGCAGTCAAAAAGGAAGAAAGAAAAATCTGTCCAAGTCTTAAGATGTCTGCTCACATACATATGGTTTACTGAATCTGTGTTGGCTTTTTCTGGGCATCCAGAGAGCAGTAACAGGATTATAAATCTCATAATTACATACAACACACGGCTAGGCCTGTTCACCAATCCACGGCACCATGCCAGAAAGAAGTCATGTTTGCTAGAACTCAGTAATATAAACAGTAAAAAGAGAGAGAGAGAGAACAGTCTGGTTTCAGTTTTAACCTTCCAAGAGTTCCAGGCTCAATAAAGACAACAGGAACTCAAGAGGAGAAATGATCACCAGGCAGCTGACTTCGAAACTAGGCTTAACTCTTACTCTCAACTCAAGTTTGAAGCAGCACACCGAGACCAGTCGTTGCTCGTTCTCCCTGTGCACTCGGGACTCCAGAACCCCTTCAGCATTTGTGTGTAAAGACGTGACAATGGCTCATTGGCATTCTAGAGCCCCGGCGCACCCAGGTCATGTTCCCATGGTATGCCTCTGCAAGATGATGCAAACTGAGTCAGCAGCAAAAGTTAACCCAGTCTGAGATTCACAGAGTTGGAAGGGACCCTGAGGTCCCCCTTGCAATGAAGGAATATGCAGCTGTCCCATATGAAGATCGAACCTGCAACCACGGAGTTATCAGCACCAGGCTCTAACCCACTGAGCTTTGCATGCAGGTGCTGCAACTCAGATTAACTAGTTAACAAAAATCAGAGCAGGGTAGCGAGGAAATGAACAGTATGGGACAGGAAAGGGTTGTGTTGGGGCTACGCTTGAGGTTGGTCTGGAGGTTGCAGTCAGTGCAGAACACAGTAGCTAGATTGCTTGTGGGAGCAAACTACTGCCAGCATATAATACCTGTTATATGTTATAAAAAAATCCTTCCTACACACACACAAACACATCCCAGATCACTGGATCAGTTTTGAATGAAGTACGATTGCATCTTGCGTGCAAATAATTTGTGCTCTGTTCCTGTTTTTGAAAATGCAAATAAAAATAAAACAACAACAACAACTTGTGCAATTTCAACCTTATGCACTTGAAAGCCGGCCAGTTGAATTTATGGACATGCATGAACAACATAGAACAAGGGAACCGGGTAGGGGTGGAGGGAAGTAATTCTAGTAATCCCAGGTTTTGGATTCAATGTGGATTGTCTATAGAGTTGTTTTAAGGTTTTGATGTATGGTTTTTCTTTTTCATGTGATGTTTAGTTGTTGTAAAATTAATAAAAATATTATTTCTTTTTTTAAAAAAAAGAAAACCGGCCAGTTGAAACCCCGCAAATTAATTGCATGCAAAGCAGAAAGCTTAAGAGCTCCTTTTGCACCAGGTTTTTCTGGTGCAGAAAGAGCTTTTAAGCTATCTGCCTTGCTTACCAGGCTCTGGGACACTCTCACAAGATCTTCAGGGATTGTGAGCTCTTGCAAAAGCATTCCGGAGCCCAGGAAGCAAGGCTTAAAAGCTGCCCATCTTGCTTAGAAGGCAAGGATGGTTTGTGTGGAAAGAGAAGCAGCAAGTGGCAAATGAATTTTACAAGCAATGTGGACAAGATGACTAAAGCATGCAAAACCAGGCTCTGGCACATTGAGTGGGCAAGACCAATAGTGGGACCAACGGTCAAGAAGGCGGTTTCTGCACATGCTGTAGAGGGAAGTGATGGGGGCAGATGGGGCTCATCAACCTGGAAAGGTAGCCCATCTAGGAGAAGAAAAACTCTGATCCTAAACCTCTGCTGCCTTGCAGGATATCTTTGGGAGAAGAAAAGGCTAAGGAGTAAACGCTACAGAAATTTGGAGTCCCTAAGACGGCACCTTGTAAGCTGCTTTCCGGCAACTCCTGCAGCCACGCTGGTACCAAACATATTACTCTGCTTTCTTTTGGACAACATCAGCGAGACCGAGGGGGGGTCTTGTTGTGTGGGCAGCCCAGGACCCCCATACACACTGCCCAGGCTTGCGCCCCAGGAAGGTCACTTTGGTGCTGCTAACACAGCCATTATGACTTCACCCCCGGAGGCACACTCCACTGTCTCTCAACAATGTGCATCCAACTATCAAACTGCAATAGTAGGAGGAAGGCTAGTGTTATGGACTGTTGAATAGGATCCAAAATGCAGTAGTCTGATTGGTCCTAGAACAATAGGATTCAGAATGCAGCAGTCGGATTGGCCCTAGAACAATAGGATCCAGAATGCAGCAGTCTGACTGGTCCTAGAACAATAGGATCCAGAATTCAGCAAAGTGATTGGTCCGCAGGAGCCACCCAATCCAGCTCCAGGTGGAAGTGAATCCGCAACCTGATTGGCCTACAGGTGAATCCCGGAATTAGCCAATCACGTGGGGCCCATTGTGTAAATAATGCATATAAAGCAGACATTCTGGGGGAACTTCCATTCCTCCTCACCACTATGAGCTGAATAAAGAGCACAAAATCCACTCTCGACTCCGAGTATATTTCAGCTAGGCAGGGGGAGGGCTGGAGAGACTGGGAGTCCCTTTTATATTACAGTTGCTTCTGCCCTTCAATACCTTTTAAAATATATACTTGTCACAACCAACAGGAAATTAACAATGGCTCAGTTCATTTGAGGCTCTTCTCAAGGTTGTGATGTGACTAAAACATACTAAATTCAGCCAGTGCAATCCAAATCCTTGGAGATAGTGGAAAGACCGTGAAAGCAAACAGAATTAGAGAGGACAGAGTATTAATAGTCTGAAAAAGGCTGTGCAATAGTTACTGGCTTTATGGGAACATTACTGAGGCTAAGCAGAATCATCTCTGGCTCAAGTCAGAACTTCTGGAGCTCACCAGATGAATCCACACCTTCTTCCAGAGTGGACTTGCATCTGGCCAAGCCATTAAGGGTGTGCAACACCACACATTTAAGGGAGATTTGTTTAACCAGATCATGCTGCTAGGCAATTGCCTTCTTCCAGTTTTTAAGCGAGGCCTCTAAAACTGATCTATCTGTTCTTTAGGAGTGCAGTAGAGTTCTAGATTTTATCTTTCTTTCTTTTTAGTTGAGCGAAATCCAACAACTTTTTCTGCTGTTTGCAAGACCAGCATCCACCATTTTGTACTACCCAAGGGATCTGAGAGGGGGCGGGGAATTTGCTTCTTCAATTGAGTAGTACTTTAAACAAAAACAACAAAAAAGCCTCCTGAGTTTGCATTGGATTTGGCTACCACTTAATAAAATGATGTTAGTTACTAAAAATAGCCCCTCTTGTTTTACTGGATTAGAACAGTAAAGCCTAATTTAATTGAAAAATAACTTCACCTTGTGTTCTTTTATTCCTGGAGGTTGCCAAGCTTTAAATTGCTCAAGTTATGAGTTTACCTACTCCGATTTTCAAATCATTCGTAGAGGCAAAATCGCACAGATATTCTCTTTCTTCTCTCCCCCTCCCTTTATTTCAGGATTCTGTGGAAATTTCATTTGGTGGGTAGAAAAGTAGAAAACACTCCACTGGGAGGACTAGACGGTGCTGGATTTTGATGGGATCCAACAGGCTCCTTCTTATATTATGGGATGGGATGTGGGAAAGAGACTGAGTTAAAGAAGGGTTAAAATCCCTTCACATCTGCTCTGATCCCAGCAAATAATTACACAAACACCTCGCTGAAGTTTGCATTGTAAAAACCTGCACCCCAGCATTTCTTTCGGCTCTTTGACAGAGGTATTTTCCAGAATTGAACTGTCAGTGTTTTTCTTTTTTTAAGTATTTCACACACCTGTTATTCTCCACTCTCCTATCATATCTCTTCTCATTCAGACAAACTGGTGTCAGAAAAGCTGGTTGCACACTTTACGAACTACCGTCAGCAATGCCATCCACTCCCACTTCCTTAAAAATCCAGATGTTGTTCCATTTCAGTTTTATTTTTGGCCACTGTGAACACGCTGCATATTTTAAAAATCTATTCCTATCTTCGAAAAACAGAGTTTATGCTATAATTTTCTCTGGCAATGGGTTATTCTTGATTGGATTATCTTCTATCTTGTTAATTATGGTGAAAAGCGCCCTGGAATTCTGAAATATGAAGTTACAGTGCAATGGGTAATTATACCAAATTACATAATGAAACATACACTTACTGCTATTTCATCCATGGCCAATACTACTCTGTAAGATTCGCAAAGGACCAGCCCTACCATTGGGGAGGATGAAGCAGACCTCAACGCCACCTTCCTCTTTCAACAAAGCTTTTGGTCTTTCCCAGTCTGCATCTGTATCAGAATTGTTTTTATTTCTTATTTTATCACTTGCTGTTTGCCAACTTGTGCTCCTCTGGGAAGAACGGCAGGGTATAAGTTAAAGAAATGAATGGCAGGCTTGGGGATGCTATTAAAAGGGCATTCTATCATTTAGTTAATTTCACTGTTTTACCACTAGGGTTCCAGCAACTGGTATTCAGAAGCATTGCTGCGTCGCACAGAACATAGTCATCATGTCTTGCTAGCAACCACAATAGAATCATAGAATTGTAGAGTTGGAAGGGACCCCCAGAGTCATCTAGTCTAATCCCCGGCAATGCAGGAATTTCAGCTAAGGTAAAGATAAAGGGACCCCTGACCATTAGGTCCAGTCATGGCCGACTCTGGGGTTGCGGCACTCAACTCGCTTTATTGGCCGAGGGAGCCAGCATACAGCTTCTGGGAGAGCCAGTATGGTGTAGTGGTTAAGAGCGGTAGTCACCGTAATCTGGGGAACTGGGTTCGCATCTCCGCTCCTCCACATGCAGCTGCTGGGTGACCTTGGGCCAGTCACACTTCTTTGAAGTCTCTCAGCCCCACTCACCTCACAGAGTGTTTGTTGTGGGGAAGGAAGGGAAAGAAGATTGTTAGCCGCTTTGAGACTCCTGAAGGGGAGTGAAAGGCGGGATATCAAATCCAAATTCTTCTTCTTCTTCTTCTTCTTCTTCTTCTTCGGGTCATGTGGCCAGCATGACTGAGCCGCTTCTGGCGAACCAGAGCAGTGCACGGAAACGCCATTTACCTTCCCGCCGGAGCGGTACCTATTTATCTACTTGCACTTTGACGCGCTTTCGAACTGCTAGGTTGGCAGGAGCAGGGACTGAGCAACAGGAGTTCACCCCATTGCAGGGATTCGAACCGCCGACCTTCTGATCGGCAAGTTCTAGGCTCTGTGGTTTAACCCACAGCGCCACCCGCGTCCCAACCTCAGCTAAAGCATCCATAATACATGGCCATCCAACCTCTGCTTTAAAAACTCTAAGGAGAGACTACGGCCTCCCAAGGGAGACCGTTTCACTGTTGAACAACTATCTCCTCCATAGAAAAGGATCCTTACTTCAGATCGTTGCCCTCAAGCTCATGGTTTGCTGTACACAGAATAAATACGTTTCATGGGACAGGGTGGAGCTCAGCAGCCCTTTGCCTCCACTGCTTACATGCCGCAAACACCCATACAAGGCTCTGTTCGGATCTCAAACTATCATCTGCTTGTAGAGCGTTGTGTTTATACAAAAACATATGGCAAACAGTTTGAAAGTCCTGCTAACGTAGTTTGTGAGAACATGGGCAAGGCTGCACGAGGCTGAACCGGTTTTGCACCTTAGGAGGAGGAGATGAAAGACGTGTGTGTGTGTGTGTGTGTGTGTGTGTGTGTGTGGTTGTTTGTTTCAATTCACCATGTCTTCATTTGCTTCAACCTTGATAGGAAAGTCAGAACTGGAGCAAAACGTTCTGTCCATGATGGAAAGGAGAGCTTAACATTTGTCCCAGGAGTCATGCGAAATTCCATGTCCCCTGCCAGGGAAAGGAATCATTGTTCATAAAATGTATTTCTAAACTGAAGTTGCTATTACTATTTGGTTTAGAATACAAATTGTCCTGTAACTGTAAACTGTACAGGCTAGGGCAAAATCCCATATCATCTTGGCTTTAAGTTACAAGAAAGGAGACTCCCACTAAACATATGAAAAAAACTTTCTGACAGTAAGAGCTCTTTGACCATGGAAAAGTCTCCCTTGGGAGGTTGTGGACTCTCCTTCCTTGGGAGGTTTTTAAGCAGAGGTTGAATGCCCATTTGTCATGGAAGCTTTAGCTGAGATTTCTGCATTGAAAGGGGTTGGACTAGATGACCCATGGGGTCCCTTCCAACTCTACAAATCTATGATTCCATGCTAATCAATGTCTTATGCAGACTGTTTTGACTCACCAATTTCCACCACCATATTCATTGCAGAATTTAGCTTTACAGAAATCAGTTCTCTGTCTGACAGGCTGAAAGAGGACAATCCCTCAGAGCCCTGTATCTGAAAGACCATCCAGTCCTAGTTCAGTTTAAAGATAAAGAACCCTAACAGAAGCAAGCAAGAAGGGCCTGGAAGTTACCACCAGACTAGGCAGGACGCACTACATCTGTTCTCAGCCTTCCTCACTATGGAAAGTTGTAAAAAGGTAAAGGGACCCCTGACCGCTTCTGACGAACCAGAGCAGCACACGGAAACGCCGTTTACCTTCCCGCCAGAGCGGTACCTACTTGCACTTTGATGTGCTTTCAAACTGCTAGGTTGGCAGGAGCAGGGACTGAGTAACGGGAGCTCACCCCGTCACGGAGATTCAAACCGCGACCTTCTGATCGGCAAGCCCTAGGCTCTGTGGTTTAGACCACAGCACCACTTCTGTACTTCTAATTCACGTTATAGTAAATCTCTCTAAATTTGCACCTATGCAGATACAAATTAGCACATGCACATTTTATGCAAACGATTCCCCCATTTAGTCCTCTTTTGGATTGATCGGTTTCCTCTCTTTCATTTATTATTATTTTTTAGATGATCCTTCCTTCCCCTTAGATGCATGCTGTACTTTGGTGGGCAGCCACACTGATCAATTAATCTGTGTCCCCAAGACTAGAAACACGACTGGGCTAAGAAGGAGGTAGCCACTGGGGTACCATCCAGATGTTGCCATACCCATCACCCCTGACTATGGGTCATACTGACTGGGGCTGGTGGGAATTGTGGGACAATTCTATGATCTTACGAACATATGGGAAGCACACTGGCTATCCGTGACCTAATACTAAAAACTGATGTTTATCGGCAGGGGAAAAACAAAAAACAAGGCAGGTTTTACAGTTTCTTTGACTGATAATATGGGGATACAATCAACTGCCAGTTGTCTTCTGTGCAAGCCCCACTGAAAAGGACATCTGTGGTCACTGGAGTTTGCTTAATGAAGGAAGTTGGAGCAATGATGATTGCCAAAGGCCAGAAAACTGATTTGGACTTAACTATGGTCATTTGGTGCACTTGTATCTGGACATTAGCCCTCTTGGGGGAAATGACTTATGCAGTTCATAAAGCCTGTAGGCACTCTAGGAAGGCCACATTTTAAACAACATGGATTGCCTTTTTCTCAGTTATCAACGAATTGACAGAGGGGAGGAAGTCCTCATGAACTAACGGGTTTCTGGAGACATTTCTCCATCGACTAGACCAGTGGTTCCCAATCCGCTAAGTACTGAGAACCGCCTTGTTTTTCAAAAGTCAAACCATGGACTTGCTACTTTTGAAAAATGTTCTATCTTTTTGGCAGTTTTTGTTAAGTGAATGGCGCCACAGCCCCCCTGGGGGGTTATGCGGATCCCCTGGAGTTGGTGGACTACCAATTGGGAACCACCAGACTAGGCAATTACTGTCAGATCCAGGATATTTCTCCTCCATTTTCCTCCTCCTTAAACTTTTTTTCTGCTCCTACTCAGACAAGAGTACCTCTACTATTCGTTCACTTTATTGAGAAATCAATAATATACGCTGTTGTTTTTAAAAGAAGCTAGCACATGATTGCACTTTCCCATAGGAGAAATCTGCCTCTCAGATAGATAGATATTTTTCTAGAAAAAGAAGTGCCAGATCTCACCATGAACACCTCCCTTGTTCTCTTACAATGGCAACGGCGCCCACCTGAGAGGTGCCATAACTGAGTTCCAGCTGGAAAAAAGTCCTGGATATACAGCTATATGGCACTCAATCTAAATGGGATATGGTCAAAATAGACTACAAGGACAGCACAGTTTTCTGGCCTTAGCTGAATAAAAATTCAATGCAAGGCAGGGGGAACATCAACTGTGCACATGACAGCAGGAGGGAGAGGGAGTTGTCATGGCCCACTAAGAACCTGCACCACCCTTAAAGAGGTCAGGTTGTCAAGTCTGCACTGGGTCTAACAGTTTGTGGGTTTCAATATTTGAGTTCATTTGGCCATTAGCCCATGCTGAAGGTCACAGGTCCACTAAAAATGCCTGGAATTTCCCAACGATAATTTAGCTTCCCTGCTAGCTACAAAATAAGGTAACCCTTTGACAACATTCTGACTACGCCAGGCTTCAGCAATGTTTAAGGAGTATTTGAACAGCCATTTCCTGAAAACGGATCCCCACTTGTATCACAAACAAATCATTTACAGCACTTATCTCCTTGAGCTTTCTACATTCTGGAACTTGAGCCCATGTGAAACGCGCAAAGAATTTTCCACAGTGAGCCATTGTCATATTTTTTTTTACAATATAGTGAAGAGGACAATATGTATTTAGCCCCAAAAATTTGTATCAAGGATGAGAGGTGTAGTCTAAAAATATTTATAGAGGGCACCAGGTTCAGGAAAACTGATGCAAGGTATCAAGATGTGTTATATAACCCATTGAGCATCACAGTTATTAGGCATCGACACCAGCATGCGCATTGGGCTTCATTTTTCTCATCGCCCATCAACAAAAGATTTTGCTACTGGCCTCAGAGAGGGAAGGAGGAAGACAGCTTTGCAAAATGAGTTATCAACTCACAAAAATGTTTATGAGGCCTAGATATATCCATGACTCATTTGCAGGCTAAAGGAAGGAGAATCAGGTTTTGTAAAGCTTCCCTGCCCAGTTGCTCGACGCTGTTGCAAGTGGCTACTTCAAACACTAGGTCAGGATTCTTCCTTCTTGCCTTTTTAAAAGTAAATACACATTCCACCTTAAAGGCTTCAAAGTGTTCCAGGAGGCCTACCATAACCATAGCAATGCAAACACCAAAACTGGATTAAGGATCTTAAATAGCAACCAACCCTTAAAATCCAAGGACAACCTGGTGCCTCCTCAAATCCCTGCCCATTGGCCATGCTGGTCAGGGCTGGCAAGAGCAATGTGTGTATTGATGATATGCAATGTCCAGACTCTTTATATTCAAAAGAACTTTATATTCATAAGCATATAACTGAGGAGAATCAATTTACAATCCCATGCTTATTCACTTTGTTCCTTATAGAGAGCTCTTCCTATTAACTTTTGGGGATCTTCCTCTTTGTCTATTTCACTTCAGACAGCTCACAGTAACACACACTGTCCTCATCACTATCCAGAGAAGCCTCTCTCAGCAGCCATTCTCCTCTCACACACAGAGAGAAGAACAGAAAACAGTAAAAAAATGACAGTTACTGGAATAACAGTCACAACAGAATGGAATGCCTCTCTCATGTGACTCACAGTCAGCCAATCACATGAGAGAGCTACTGCCAAAGGAAAAAACCCATGCTAAAAATACACAGCAATTTGAAATAAGCAAACATTCCCATTTCAGGAAATTAAACCATTATCAGCCCAGCTATATGATTGCCAGGACAATGGGAGTTGTAGTCCCAAACATCTGGAGGGCACCACACTGGCAAAAACTGTTTTAGGTCCTATTTCTGTGCAATAAAACAAAAAACACTTTTCTACTAAGCGGCATTCAAACTGGAGGCAGATAAGACAACTGCTCACCTCCTGCACCTCTTCGATAGACACCAGAGGAGCCATAATAAAATATCCAAGCCCTTCAGTCTGTGACACTGATCTGAACTTAGGATTCCCCATGAGGGGCTCAAGAATCATGTTGCCAGGCAGCAGCGGATCACCATGTGGCCTAAATGTTTGATAACGAGATTTTGGTCCCTACACAGACTCATTAAAAGGATGTATCACATGGCACCACAGTCTCTGAGCAGATCCTACATGATGGTATGAAGGCTCTGTTCACTTCCTTATCCACGCCTCAAACATTTCATGCTTTAATGAAGCTGGTTTAGCATACAAACAAATTTTAAAACAGTATTTCTCGGAATAGCCAAGCTCCTACGACACAACTCTTTAGATCCATCAACCTAAGAATGCAAGTGAGAGGCCCACAGAGCTCTGTCCCTGTTATGTACTGAGTTGAATAGGATCCAAAAGGCAGCAGTCTGATTGGTCCTAGAACAATAGGGCCTAGAATGCAGCAGTCTGATTGGTCCACTGGAGCCACCCAATCCAGCTCCAGGTGGAAGTGAATCCGCAACCTGATTGGACTACAGGTGAATCCCGGAATTAGCCAATCATGTGGGGCCCATTGTGTAAATAATGTATATAAAGCAGACATTCTGGGGGAGCTTCTATTCTTCCTCACCACTATGAGCTGAATAAAGAGCATGAAATCCACTCTCAACTCCGAGTATATTTCAGTCCCTAATGCGCCAGGGATTAGCTAGGCTACCTGCAGGCATCACTCTTTTCGCAGAAGGAATCTGGTCCACTCCCCTTCCCTATGACTTGAAACACAAGGAAAGAAAGCCCTGCTGTTGTTGGCATCTGAAGAGACAATGGAGTGCACCTCTGGGATGGAGCCGAACTACTGCATTAGTGACCTTCCTGGGGCGCAAGCCTGGGCAGTGTGTAGTATGGGGGTCCTGGGATGCCCTCGGCCTCGCTGATGTGGTCGAAAAGAAAGCAGAGCAATACATTTGTCACCAGCTTGGCTGCAGGAGTTGCCGGAAAGGTGCCATCCAACCACCTTAAGGACTCCCCTCCAGATTTCTGTAGCTTTTACTCCTTAGCCTTTTCTTCTCCCAAAGGCATCCTGCAAGGCAGCACAGGTTCAGGATCAGAGTTTTCCGTCTCCTAGATGGGCTACCTTCTGAGGTGGACGAGCACCATCTGCCCTTCACTTCCCTCTAAAGCAGGCATAGGCAAACTCAGCCCTCCAGATGTTTTGAGACTACAATTCCCATCATCCCTGACCACTGGTCCTGTTAGCTAGGGATGATGGGAGTTGTAGTCCCAAAACATCTGGAGGGCCGAGGTTGCCTATGCCAGCTCTAAAGCATGTGCAGAAACCGCCTTCTTGACCATTGGACCCACTATTGGTCTCATCCACTCGTTCACATACAGGGGAAGTTCTTAACTCACCGAGAGTTTGAGACCCATTGGCTACCCTCACTTGGTTTAGCCGGCTAGTCAAAGCCAGTCCCGCGGTGTGACAGCTGTCACATGCTGACTTCTTCTAGGAGCCACAGGTGAGAACTGAGTGCAGGGTGGGGACCAAAGGTACAGAACCTACCCCAGAAGAAGGACAATGCTTCCCTCATCAGAGGCACTACTCCTCCCCTAACACCCCATACACCCCAAAATATCTGTTTAATCAGGGGGCGGAAGCGTCAAGCATTGCTGTATTACTTAAACCAGGAACCTGTGGTCCTCCAGCTGTTAGAGGACTACAACTCCCATCAGCCCCAGCCAGCACAGTCAATAGTCAGGGATGATGGGTGTTGGAGTCTAGCTCCTATGGACCCAAATCAATGTCTTGATGGGAGGTACCTGGGAGCCCCACGTAAGTTGCTCTGAGCTTTCCAAGCTACAGCAGAAGTGCAGGCATAAATCATGCCCATCTCCACCATTCCAAAAGGATCATGTCTGCATGCAACCCACGTGCTAGCAGAAGCCTCATAACATTACCGCTGCCAGGAAGTGAACAGCTGCTCTCGGAGTCAGCCTTTGGCAGCTCTCGCATGTTTAGATTGGCCCATCCCTCAAAGCTCCTTCACTGCTCAGGAAATGTATGTTACCTTTTAACACAGCAAACACTGATTAAGAAAGAGGGGGCCGCAAGTTCAGAAAAACCGAGTGTGTTACGCTTTGGAGGCACTCCTGATGAGTGCAAAAAGAAAAGAAAAACTGCTCTCCACATATGCACTTAATTGTTCTCACAAGGACTGTAAGTGCAGGTAGCACATGCACAAGTGCTTTCAAATGCTTCGCAGATTAGCGTCAGGGGGAGCAGAGAGCATCATGCAGAAGTCTGGAATCATCTCAAAGCAAACAAAGAAAAAGAATTAACGCCAATCCTTCAGGATTTAAATATTTTCTCAATTCTCTTTTCAGGGCCCACTCCTTTTTTCTTTTCTTTTTTTAAGGGAACACTTCCTTAGCCCTGCAATGCCAAAGCAATTGCTGACATCTGTCTGTATCGGGAGACAATGGAGGAGTGGACATTTGTGGGTGAGGTCCAATTGCTGGAAGATTGCAGAACTCACTGTGGCTGTAGACACCAAATGCCACAGAATTGCAAAAGGTCGTTTCAGGCATTTCCCAATCTATGAGGTTTTAAAGTGCACATCCAGAAATGCACAGTGCACATGTACACAAAGAAGCACATTGATCAGGGAACCGTGATTGGCTACAATGATCCGCAGTGTGCAGATGGGTGGAAAACCTGCGATTGCCTTTCTGCAATGTGTGAGCTGTTCCTAAGAATCCAGTCAATGGAACTGGATTCATAGAGCCATAATGTACACCGTTATCCTTTGGGGCCTGGCTCAAGCTATAAAATGCTCAAACATGCTCTTGATATCAATTAGGTGAAAAGAAAAAAATGTGGCCAACTCAGTGTCAGAAGCGGAGTGAAACTTTAGTATTATTATTCCTGTGCTGGGGTTCAGTGCGAGTGAAGACTACTACCCTGTGCAAAAATTAGCCAGTTCAGTCAAGTCTTAAGTTACAAGTGTGTGCAGCCCATGCATTTTCCAGTATTATGAACAGATAAACTAAACACAGCCAGACCCAAGATTTGACTCTGATCTCTGGAACACTTCCTGAGATTTCAAGTAATCTAGCCTGACAACCTTTCTCAACTTGAAATTAGACCTGCCCAGATCAATCAGGTCCTGCCTTTTGTTCTTTCTAGCTTGCTTATGGAAAAGTCAATATATGCAGAGAGTTCCTACCCATAGCAAACCCAAAACCCTTTTGCTGAAGAAGTGAATGCTGGCAAGCTGACAGCATTACATAGCGAAGCCTTGCTTGCTGAGACTTCTCATTCGGATCACAAGGTATGAATTACAGCCAGAGAAAATCAAGTTGTTAAGGGTGAAATTGCCTTCACAGGAAAGTCTGGGTCCAGTATATTCCAAACCAATTTATATCACAGATTATTTTTATTTTTTTGGTGGTATGCCTAGAAGAAAAAAGGCCTGGTCCAACAGGGCAGGATTTGAACCCGAGCTACATTAGCATTCAGATTCCATCCAGCTGTAACCCCGTCAGATGGAACCAATTTTGAAACAAAAACTGGTATCCGCTCTTTTGAAAGATGATGCCAAATATGTAGTATGACTCATTCTTTCAGCAAGAACTACAAATGGACAGCCCATTTCTGATAGTGGCCTCCGTGCATACGACCCAGGAACAGTGTCGGAAACTGACATATTCTTAGGAGGGTGGCTTCTCCAGTCTTCAGAAAATAGCTGGAAGTGGGGAGGCAGAAAAAGGTCCTCCTTTCCTTTCACTCTGCAGTTTTAATCCAAAATCTTAGGTGCAGTATAGCGCTCAGAGCTCAGAAACTGCTTGTGGCTAATGAAATTCCCTGTCGCAATTGTGTCTTAGAGTTTTGAACACAGCCTGGGAATTTGCAGGAAGCATCCTTTGCATGAACCAGAACCTACATGTGGGCACAGTGAATTCAGTAACATAAGATGACACTGCTGGATCAGGCCCCAGGCCCATCTAGTCTAGCATCCTCCAGATGTTCTTGGGCTACAAATCCCATCAACCCTAGTACCAAATCCAGTGGCTAGGGATTGTGGGAGTCGTAGTTCAAGAACATTGAGAGGGCACTATGTTACCTATACTCTCAGCCAATGCCTCTTATTACAAATAACAGATTGCGGGAAAATAATTGAGAGAGAGAGAGAGAGAGAGAGAGAGAGAGAGAGAGAGAAAACCTGATGATTGTTCAAACTAAAATTACTTTCCATCATGTTTTATTTAGGCCTGCATTATTGTATAGGGATGAGCAGTTAAAACATGTGTGACCTGCACATGTAACTTGTGTTTATCTTCTATGAAATGGCTTTGAAAAGACAGCAGCAGCTTGGAATTCAGAACCCCACAACCAACCATAACAAACATAATTTGATCACATGGAAGTCCTGAGCACCCATTTGGAAAATTGAATTTGGAATGGGAGAAGAAGAATGCAAGATAGATACCAGCCTCGTGATATGAATGAATGCTGTTAAACCTGATTCACCACAGAGGTTAAGATGACCTGGTCCTCCCATCCCCCTCGCCAATGTAGCTTGTTGAGTCATGATCCGAGCTGTTCCCAGTAGCTGTGCACTGCAACTTGGCTGAACCTCTGAAATTCTGGCCCCTTGAATACCTAGAAATGGAAATGGTGCAATCTGCGCCAGGGGTGGGGAAGAGATGTGGCTAGGTGGCTATCTGGGAATGCACTATATTGAAGTAGAGTCTCCACTCCCATCGTCCAGCCCAGACACTGATGTCCAGTTCAGAGGTCCTTCTGGCAGTTCCCTCAATGTGAGAAGTGAAGTTACAGGGAACCAGGCAGAGGGCCTTCTTGGTAGTGGCACCTGCCCTGTGGAACGCCCTCCTTGTTGTTTAGTCGTGTCCAACTTTTCGTGACCCCATGGACCAGAGCACGCCAGGCACTCCTGTCTTCCACTACCTCCCACAGTTTGGTCAAACTCATGCTGGTAGCTTCGAGAACACTGTCTTTGTCCATGGAGTTTTCTTGGCAGGGATACTGGAGTTGCTTGCCGGTTCCTGCTCCAGGTGGATCACGTTTGGCCAAAACTCTCCGCTATGACCTGTCCATTTTGGGTGGCCCTGCACAGCATAGCTCATAGCTTCTCTGAGTTATTCAAGCCCCTTCGCCACGGCAAGGCAGTGACCCATCCTACCAGATGTCAAAGAGATGACCAATTACCTGACTTTTCAAAGACATCTGAAGGCAGCTCTGTATCAGGAAGTTTTTAGTGCTCAATGTTTAGTTGTGTTTTTATATTATCTTGGAAGCTACCCAGAGTGGCTTGTGCAACCCAGTCAGATAGGCAGGGTATTATTATTATTATTATTATTATTATTATTAAACCAGGTCCCTGCAGCCACTGGGACTGAATCCTCTGCTCATTAGCTGATGAGTGGAGGGTTCCATCCTGCTGGTACTGCTTCTCCAGCACATTCCCTTCATGAAACACACTGCTGAAGCAGATCCCTCTGCCTTATTCCATACAGTCGTACCTCGTTTTGCAGCTGGGATCAGTTCTGGAGCCCCGGCTAGCCGAAAAGGATGCAGGACAAAGCGCCGCGTCTGCTCATGCACACAGAACAGTTTCCGCTTCTGCACATGCGGCAAACCTGGAAGTAACCCGTTCCGGTACTTCCAAGTTTGCCACGGACGTTCACCAGTATGGACACTAGACAAGGCGAACGTTCGGGGAAGTAGTTAATACCATTTCCATTTCCACTGTGTGTGTGCATACTGGGACAAGTGAACTGTTTTAAGAGCAAGCTACAATCAAGCAATGTAGTTGAGATCATAGCGCTGGAAGGGTCCCAAGGCTCATCTAGTCCAACCGCCTGAGAAATAGACATTCCATCGTGGCGAACATAACTTAGGCTTAAGGTGCCATTTGGCACCTAGTTTATATGTATATGGGACGCGGGTGGCACTGTGGGTAAAACCTCAGCGCCTAGGACTTGCCGATCGCATGGTCGGCGGTTCGAATCCCCATGACGGGGTGAGCTCCCGTCGTTCGGTCCCAGCGCCTGCCAACCTAGCAGTTCGAAAGCACCCCCGGGTACAAGTAGATAAATAGGGACCGCTTACCAGAGGGAAGGTAAACGGCGTTCCGTGTGCTGCACTGACTTGCCAGATGCAGCTTGTCAGCTGGCCACGTGACCCGGAAGTGTCTGCAGACAGCGCTGGCTCCCGGCCAATAGAGTGAGATGAGCGCACAACCCTAGAGTCTGGCAAGACTGGCCCGTAGGGGCAGGGATACCTTTACCTTTACCTTATATGTATATTAATTTCTAACACTGGAACAAACACAGGTGACCTTCCAAGACAACCAAATGTGCAAGACAGAGTTGGGTTTGGATGTTAGTTAGTTGCACTTAAGTCCTATGCGGATGGCACTGTGGTCTAACCCACTGAGCCTCTTGGGCTTGCCGATCAGAAGGTCGACGATTCAAATCCCCGCAACGGGGTGAGCTCCTGTTCCTCTGTCCCAGCTCCTGCCAACCTAGCAGTTTGAAAGCACACCAGTGCAAGCAGATAAATTGGTACCACTGCGGCAGGAAGGTAAATGGTGTTTCCGTGCGCTCTGGTTTTCATCATGGTGTTCCGTTGTGCCAGAAGCGGTTTAGCTGGCCACATGACCCGGAAAGCTGTCTGTGGACAAATGCCAGCTCCCTTGGCCTGAAAGCGAGAAGAGCGCCACACCCCATAGTCGCCTTTGACTGGACTTAACCATCCAGGGGTCCTTTACCTGTTTTTAAGTCCTATGGGAACTAAGTTGCATCTAATTTAAAGCTGCATCCAAACCACCGTCTGTAAGTGCAGTTTGCCCTACAAAAGAACTTTGGCTTACCTTAAATCCTCGCTGCTTTATCCCCATCCGGTTCCCTCGAGTCTACTATTAATTTTTAACATGCTACATTTTTCTATTTTATGGGCCAGTTTCAGAGGGATCATTTCAGCACAGTGGTTCCTGCCCCTGTGCAAAGGAAGCTGGATTAAATAAGCTTTGAGTCCGCTTCCAGACCGAAGGATACCATGAGGTGCATCCAGATATAGACAACAGTGCGTACTCTAAGTGGTTAAGAAAGGATTGCACTGTCAGAGGAAGTTCACCCTTGTTGAAACCAAAGCAACGCAGCATTCTTCTCTCTCACCGCCTCAATAACCAGCCTCTTTCAGTTTGCTCCTTTAAGTAGTTTCTCTGTTACTGCCTAGAGCTGTGATAAGAGCAGCCATCAGTGTTTGAGACAGTCACACTGTCCTCTGTCCAAAGCCGCAGTCAAAGTCGTATTTGTGCTCCAGATTGCTTGTGTGCTGCTTGCATGTATCCCAGCTCCTCTCCCTAATCTCTATGCTAAGTGTCAAATCCTGTTTCAAGAACCTGTGTCAGATATACTACCATAAACAAAATAAAAATAAATCACTGTGCATCTACCCACGTTCCCCTTGGGGCTTAATTTGAGGCAGAGCTCTAAACTGAGTTTAACACTGGCATAAAGGCCTGCAGAAAATACAGAGGACGGTTGAACTCTTCAGAAACCAATCTATGAAACTGCCTTATACTACTGCATCAGGCTGCCCATTCTACCCAGTCCAGCCTTTCCATATCTGATAGAATCATAGAATTGTAGAGGTGGAAGGGACCCCAAGGATCATCTGCTCCAACCCTTGCAATACAGGAATCTCATCTACGGCATCCATCCTCTGCTTAAAAACCTCCAAGGAAGGAGAGTCCACCATCTTCCAAGGGAACCCGTTCTACTGTCGAACAGCTCTTACTGTCAGAAAATTCTTCCTGATATTTGGTCAGAATCTCCCTCCAGAGCAGAAAAAAACAAGCTTGCTCCATCTTCCATGTGACAGCCCTGGAGATATTGGAGGATGCCTATCATATCTCTTTTTTACCAGGCTAAACATACCCAACTCCCTCAACCATTCCTCATAAGGCTTGGTTTCCAGACCATTGACCATCTTGGTCTCCCTCCTCTGAACATATTCCAGCTTGTCAATATCCTTAAATTGTGGTGCCCAGAAATGGACACAGTAAACAGTATTCTAGGTGTGGTCTGACCAAGGCATAATAGAGTGGTACTATTACTTCCCTTGATCTGGACACTAGACTACTGTTGATGCAGCCTAGAACAGCGTTAGCTTTTTTCTGCTGCTGCATCATCACACTGTTGAGTCATGTTAAGCTTGTGGTCTACCAAGACCCCTAGATCCTTTCCACATGTACTACTGGCAAGCCTGCAGCTCTCCCTGAAACCTTTTAACTGGAGATGCCAGGAAATGAACTTAGAATTTTCTGCATCTAAGGCACGTACTCTAGTAGGGTGTGTGTGGCCTGTAGAAAGTCTCAAGGGCCACCCAGAGGGCTCCAAAGAGCAGCATTTAGTCCCCAGGCCTGAGGTTCCCAACCCCGGCTCCAAGGTATCACTTCTCTTGGAATAGCCTATATTTTACTCTTGAAATAGGCTTCCTCAACATCTAGAGGGCACCAGGTTGGAGGAAAGCTGCTCTAAATAGTAATTCCTATCTGTTCCTCAAATTAAACCAAGGACAGGCTGAAATTACCCATCAATTATAGTCTCACCTCCAGGGAACGATTTGTGCTCCATGGGAAGGCTTGAAGCTGCACAGCTAAAAGCAGCTGCCTCTTGGTTTAGCAACGACAGACAAAACGTGCAGAGATGCCCTTAAATTATACATTGAAACACAGGATTTTAAAGTCCACCACGGTGCACACATTTCATGCATTATTCCTTGACAGCCACATTTTTTAAAAAGACGCTACAGCTGATATTTTTAGCCGGCTTCGCTGCTCTCCAGTATAGTAAAAACGAACAGCAAAGTTTGGGCTTTAATAATATATGGGGAAGGAGCAGCTGATGGTTTTGGATATTTTGCACACTGCTATGGGCTTTTCGAAGATGTGCGATGGGACACAGCGTGGCCTTAAGGTATTATGCTCTGCCGGACAATTTTCTCTCTGCCAGGCCTTGGTCTGCTATTTTTGAAGGCTGTGAAGAGATTCCTTCATTTATTTATTTTTTCAACATTGTTGTTGTTGTTGTTTAGTCGTTTAGTTGTGTCCGACTCTTCATGATCCCATGGACCAGAGCACGCCAGGCCCTCCTGTCTTCCACTGCCTCCCGCAGTTTGGTCAAACTCATGCTGGTAGCTTCAAGAACACTGTCCAACCATCTCGTCCTCTGTCATCCTCTTTTCCTTGTGCCCTCCATCTTTCCCAACATCAGGGTCTTTTCCGGGGAGTCTTCTCTTCTCATGAGGTGGCCAAAGTATTGGAGCCTCAGCTTCAGGATCTGTCCTTCCAGTGAGCACTCAGGGCTGATTTCCTTCAGAATGGAGAGGTTTGATCTCCTTGCAGTCCATGGGACTCTCAAGAGTCTCCTCCAGCACCATAATTCAAAAGCATCAATTCTTCGGCGATCAGCCTTCTTTATAGCCCAGCTTTCGCTTCCATACATCACTACTGGGAAAACCATAGCTTTTACTATACGGACCTTTGTCGGCAAGGTGATGTCTCTACTTTTTTAGATATGGACAACTGGCACAGGGTTGTGTCAATTACAAATGAGGCACATGTTGGTAAGCAGAAGACCTAACCGAATGCCTTATACTGAGTCAGACGATTGGTCCAGCTAGCTCAGGGTTGTTTACAGCACTGGCTGGCAGCAGCTCTCTGGAGTTCCAGGCAAGGGGCCTTTCCCAGCCACTACCTGGAGAGGCCAAGCATTGAACCTTGGACATGCAGAGGAGATGCTCTACCACTGAACTACACCTCTAAACGGCTTGCACCATCCTTGTACCTGCACAAAGACACAGTACTGATGGCAATTCATCTACTGTTCATCTGTGCTGCTTATTTACTTATTTATTTGCCGCCTATCTGACTGGGTTACTCCAGCCCCTCTGGGCGGCTTCCAACAAATTAGAACACAATTAGACATCAAACATTAAAAACCTCCCTATACAGGGCTGCTTTCATATGTCTTCTAAAAGTCAGGTAGTTGTTTATTTCCTTGACATCTGATGGGAGGCTGTTCCATAGGGCGGGTGCCACTACCAAGAAGGCCCTCTGCCTGGTTCAATGTAACTTCACTTCTCGCAGTGAGAGAACCGCCAGAAGGCCCTCAGTGTCCAGGCTGAGTAATGGGGGTGGAGACGCTCCTTCAGGTACACAGAGCCAAAGCTTGTATACAAGGCCAAAGCCCCTCCATACCTTAAGGAACACCTCTCCTCTCCATACAAACCAACCAACCAGGACCCTGCACTTGCCACGCGAGGCCCTTCTCTGTGTCCCCACTCCCTGAGAGGTTCAGAGGGTAGCAACATGAGAACGGGCCTTTTCTGTGGTGGCTCCCCATTGATGGAATGCGCTTCCTTGATAGGTTTGCCTGGTGCCATCATTACATGTCTGTAGGCGGCCAGGTGAAAACATTCCTCTTTACGCAGGCCATTATATGATCTATGGCCTGTTCAATGTGCTGGGCTGGGGGGAGTTTGTTATTATAATTATTATTGTTCTGTGTATTACTATGCTCTGATGCTCTGTATTACTTTTTTATCATTACATTGCGTCCATTATGTTCAGCTCTCCTGGATCTTTGGATAAAGGGAGGTACAGAAATTGAATGAATGAATGAATAACAAGAGGAGGCTGGAAACCTCAAACACAGGTTGCAGGCACATCAGTGCAAGCATGTAGTCACCTGGACCTTAACTCCAACAGCCTACACCAGAATTCCTGTTGTTACGCAGTTCACATTCTACAGGTGTTGGGAGTACATTTCTCCATAGGTTTTGGAGCAGAGCCCTGATTAAAATGTTAGCAAGTCAGCTTTTTCCAGGACAATATTAATTGTTCACCACCACCCCTCCTTCCCCCAATGTCATCCATGTCGGGTTATATTGAAGCCTGCCCTAAATTCTTGAAACAGGTCAGAAAAAAGTCTAAAAATAAATACAGGACACGTTAGCCTGCCAACTTCATTCAGCTGGTCTTACGCTGGTGACCATAGTTAGCTAAATTAATGTATAACAGAAAAAGGGAAAGCGGGGGGCGGGGAGGAAGCCGCGTCATCGTTCCTCCATTTATTACAAAAGCTGGTTGTATCTGCACTTGTTTCGGTGCAACCCAGAGCCAGCGATGCTTTAGGTCTTCAGTTTCACCTAAATTCTCCGTGCATGCAAAATTAATACAGTAGGATTGCATCTCACACAGATTTTACTTACTCACATCTTTACATGCTTGGCCAAATTCTTTTTTTAAAGTGAGGGGGGCAAAGTAGGAGCAGACCATCAGCGAAAAGAGCTTTTAAGCTCTCTGCCTTGCTTTCCAGGCTTTGGAGGCCTTTGCATGATCTCGCAGGACCGTTCAAGATCTCGCGACGTCATGCGAACGTTTCCAGGGCTCAGTACGCTCTTCACCTGCCTTGCCTGTGGGCAAGGGTCACTTAGCTTTGGAAAAGTAGGAAAGGTCTTATGCAGACAGTTGTGGGAGAGCTCAGATAGCATGAGACTCTTAATCTCAGGGCCAAGAGTTCGAGGCCCATGTTGGGTGAAAGACTCATGCGTTGTAGGGGGTTGGACTAGATGACCTTCACAGCCCCCACCAACTCTACAATATGATTTTTGACTTTATGTGCTTCCTGCCCCACACCTCACCCTGGAACGTAACCCCCATGCCATATGTGATCCTACTGTAATAATTATATACAAATGTTAGGGTAAGAGATGCTGAAAACAGTTTTAGGATTCCTCAGGTTGTTAAAACAAAGTTAGCGATAATCAGAATGTAGATTTCATTTTTTTTTAAAAAAGGTGGCACTTCTGCTCTCTAGATCATCTCCATAATATTTTTAAATGTGACATATTCAAGTTTTGCTCCTCCACAGCATGCTTTTTGAGACCAAAATGCCCAATGCCTAATTGACATCAGGACACAACTAATACACAATTCCATTTCCTGAAATGGAAAGAGTTACAACATTTTTTAAAAAATCATTCTAAATTCTAAAGTTTGGTTCTGTGGAAGGGAGAAAAAGAAGAAAAACACACAGCTCCCTTCCAAACCTGAAGGCATCTAAGGTAGCAATCTGCTGTACCCAGACATAATTTGTTTAATTATCTGCCTCTGCTTTTGATCTGAACATCCATTACTATGGATGAGATATTATTTTTATCTGCATGCGTTCCAAGTGTATCTTATGCATAAGCCTCCTCTGGCAAGAGCTTGCTTCGAGGATAGGATTGCTTGTGACCTCAAATTGCATTAATCAATTTGGATGGATGCAACAGCAAAACCCACCTTCTTTTGCACAAGGGCATAGGAATAGCTGTGCTGAATCAGGTCAAAGACCCATCTAAGACCACCATCCTATTCCCACAGTGGCCAACCTGACCACCTGTGGGAAACCCATAAGCAGTACCTGAGCACCACAATACTTTCCCACTTGTGATTCCCAGCAACTGATAGCGAGAGGAACACCGCCTCTGATAACGCCAGATGTGTTGTTCTTTTACCACATTCCACTCTGGAAAATTCCCACTTTGTGCTTCCCTATAGAGACAACTGATAGAACTCATTGGCTTGGCATCTATGGATTATCACAAGAATTACCATACCAAGCTATATAATGTCTCTGGAAACTCACAAAGAGCACATGGCGGAAACACAGGAAGCTGCCTTATACTGAGTCAGACCAGTTGTTCCATCTAGCTCAGATTGACTGGACCTGGAGAACCCAGCGGTTGAATTTTGGACATTTGCATGCAAGACAGGTGCTCTACAACCAAGCTACAGCCCTTCCATAATGGTGATGGCTTGACGTCCCTGGAGTCCCACACAAGACCACGGCCCATAGAAATGCCTGGGTAAATGACAGTAACTGTCATGGACTGTCTGGGTGCAGAGGAGTGGTGGGAGGCACCAGATGGGGAACCCCAAAGGGAACCCCCAGGGGAAGAAGGTTCAGAGCCAGGGGATTTGTGGTGGGATGACGAAGAGTGGTCAGAGGGAGCAGGCTGGGAGGAGGAGGAGGTGTCGGAAGCTGAAGAGGCAACAGGGTTTAGTGAGCAGGAAGAGGCTGAGCCAGAGAGCAGTCCAGAGTCAGAGGCAGGAAAGGAAGGGGGCCAGGAGACAGAGATTAGGCAGGCTGCTGAAGAATCCAGGGAGTCTCCCCCTCCTGCTGCAACGGGCAGCTCCCCTCCTAGAACACACAGAGAAATGAAGAGAGGAGACCAAAGAGAGGCTAGACCAAGGGTCAGTAAACTTACCGCGCCTCGGGCCGGTGTCTCCAGCGCCGATCGTGCAGTGAACCGGAGGGCGGTGGAGCGCGTGCCCATACGCGGGCACACACGCTATTTCAGGCACACTTCCGGGTCAGAGGAGCGCCGGAAATAGCTTGTGCGCATGTGCACAGGCCTCCTCCGACCGGAAATAATGCTTGCACATGCACAAATAACGCTTGCGCATGCGCACAAGCTATTTCCAGTGCTCCTCCAACCCAGAAGTGGGGAGCTATGCAGCGCAGCGCTGGTAAGAGCGGTTGGCGGCAGCAGGGGTTGCTGCGGGCCAGATAAACGAGTCCCTCGGGCCTTATCTGGCCCGCGGGCCTTAATTTGGGGGCCCCTGGGCTGGACGAAGGAGCTTCGGGTTGCTTGGAAAGGACCTGGGAGAGGAAGCATCTTAGAAAGTGCTGGGATGGTGGGGACCTTCCGTCCTCGCAACTGCTCCATTGGGGAGGCGTTGCTGGAATCACCAGACCTGGGCTGTTTTGTTTGTTTGAGTAAAGAAACTTCATTGGCATCAGGTGCTTTATTGTTTTACTGCTGATGTATGCCTGACTCCAGCTTCTTCACAATAACTAACTAGGTGTTGCGACATCATTGTAGCTGTCCATTCTTTCTAGGTTTTTTAAATAACAATGCATACTAAAGCAGGAGTAGCCACCATCCTGTGCTTCAGATGTTCTTGGACTACAGTTCCCATCATTCCTGACCGCTGACCATGCTAGCTGGGGCTGATGGAAGTTACTAGTAACCTATGGAGGGTAACCACACTGGCTGACCCTATGCTACAGGATCAGGATTTCAAGGAATGTTATGCCAATAATGCGCTTGCCAGCAGACCAGGTACATCATGTGCCCATTCCTAGTAGCAATCCAGATCAAAGGAGCCCCTTTTTGTCTCCAAATTATATGCATCTATTAGATTTCTGGCTGCTTTTGATCCTTTTGACAAAGGCATAATGTTTCAAGTTAATAAGGCCAGAATGCAACATTTCAAACACACACACACACACAAAAGCACACAATGGTAGCCACAGGAGAAAATTAATCCTACCGAGCAAAAACCTTCTCTGACCTTGGCACGGGCACAAGAGAATAGTTACTTTTAGAACCTGTATCAAACTTGTCAAAATGAAACTGGAACAAAAAGTACTTTCCCAACCTTCCAACTTTGTGTACCTATAAAAATGAAAACTACTTTCAAGAACTGGGAAGAAATGAAGAAGTTTGCAGAGTTATTTGAGTACAGTGGTACCTCGCAAGACGAATGCCTCGCAAGACAAAAAACTCGCAAGACGAAAGAGTTTTTCGTTTTTTGAGTTGCTTCGCAAGACGAATTTCCCTATGGGCTTGCTTTGCAAGACGAAAAACGAAAACGTCCTTTTTCTTAAAACCGTTCAATGCATTCCTATGGGAAACCGTGCTTCGCAAGACGAAAAATTCACAAGACGAAAAAACTCGCAGAATGTAGATCTTTCAAGACCAGTGTTACGTGGTCTCGGCGGCTGCTCCCAGTCACCAGTCTAGCTGCCACATTCTGGATTAGTTGTAGTTTCTGAGTCACCTTCAAAGGTAGACCCACGAAGAGCACATTGCAGTAGTCCAAGTGGGAGATAACTAGAGCATGCACCACTCTGGTGAGACAGTCAGTAGGCAGAAAGGGTCTCAGCCAGCATACCAGATGGAACTGGTAAACAGCTGCCCTGGACACAGAATTGACCTGTACCTCCATGGACAGCTGTGAGTCCAAAATGACTCCCAGGCTGCACACCTGGTCCTTCAGGGGCACAGTTACCCCATTCAGGACCAGGGAATTCTCCACACCTGCCCACCTTCTGTCCCCCAAAAACAGTACTTCTGTCTTGTCCGGATTCAACCTCAATCTGCTAGCCGCCATCCATCCTCCAGCCGCCTCCAGACACTCACACAGGACCTTCACTGCCTTCACTGGTTCTGATTTGAAAGAGAGGTAGATCTGGGTATCATCCGCATACTGATGAACACCAGCCCAAACCCCCTGATGATCTCTCCCAGTGGCTGAATGTAGATGTTGAAAAGCATGGAGGAGAGGACAGAACCCTGAGGCACCCCACAAGTGAGAGCCCAGGGGTCTGAACACTCATTCCCTCCCCCTTTCTGGACACGTTCCAGGAGAATGGAGTGGAACCACTGTATAACAGTGTCCCCAGCTCCCAGCCCCTCTAGATGGTCCAGAAGGATGTTATGGTGTCAAAAGCTGCTGAGAGATCCAGCAGAACTAGGATCTTTGTAAAGTTCCTACCCTTCTCTTCCATACGTATTTCAAAATCAGTCCAGCCTCATTAGTTAGTTGTATTATTATTCGCCATATCCCCTCAGGTATTGCATTTCTGAATAGGTACGTCAAGACTGGGCACCTCCAGGGCAGTTTTTTTTTTACAGGTGTATTCCAGAGCATGTCACTAATGCAATAGAATTTTGTTAGTGGTTCTGAAATGTTTCCCTAATGTTACAGCAAGCCCAAAACTTACGTTCCAGGGATCTCACCTAAGGCCAAAATCTTGGAAAGACCAAACACTTTGGGTTCAACGGCAGGTGGGATTGCCAAAGTCATTTTTCTCGGAACCCTGACCCCTTTCCAATCCCTTTTATTTGGAGGGGGGCACACACATAAAGCTGTATGCACACAATTTAAATGCACATAAGTTGTGGGCTTACTTTATTGCCTTCTGTAGGGGTACTCTTGCATTGCAGCACAAGAAAAATGGGACCCTCCAGCCTGGAACACTTGTGGTACAAAAAGTTACAGGGTTTAAGCAGGAAGCCAAGGGACATGTGCTTCTTGCAAGCAAATCAGTTAAGTCCATCCCAAAACTTTTGCAGGTGCAAATGTTATTGAAAGCTCAGTTGTGTGTAACTGCCTTGAAAGCATCACCAGTACAAACCACGATGACTTCTCAATACAAATGAAGTCTAGAGGGGCCCCTAATCATACCATCAATTTAAGAAGAGACAGAGACAGAAAGCACCTCCAAATACTAAATTCCCCCTTGCCTTTTAAGTCTGACTGATTACTGTTTCTGCACGGACAGTTCCCGACTGCAAAGCTGCAAGTCCTATCTGTTTGGAGAAATAAATCCTCCACAAGCCCTTCTTCAGCAGACAGTCTCTAGCTGTTGCTTTGTGGGAAAAAGATGCTTGATTTAAAAATGAAGAAGTGTGGCCTTAAAACTGCAGATTGCGGCAAGTAGTTCAGCTGCTTGCTAGGAAACACACCAGCAATTATGATCGAGTACACCCCCCTCCCCTGCAATTCCCATTGTTAAGACTCACCCGCCTCTACTGAATTTAGCTGAAAAAGAGGGATTAAATAATAGAGAAGGAGCTGTGTTAAAAGAAGTTCAGTCAGTCCTCTGGTTTAGCTGGTAAGGATGAGGCTGACAATGGCTATCGACCACAATGTTCTCCCTTCACCGTGGGAGGCAGTGTGCCTCTGAATACCAGTTGCTGAGAATTGCAAGTGGGGAGTGTGCAGGAGTTTTCTTATGGTCTTAACTCACTGTAAATTTCGACAACCTCAAACATGGATTATATTAAACACCAGGTTCACAACTAGTTTACACACACACACCGTATTTTTCAGTGTATAAGATGAGATTTTTTTAATTAAAAAATTATGTAAGAAATTGGTGGTCGTCTTATACACGGATATTGTCAGCGTTGGTCTGGTGGGTGAACGATTTTCGGCAACCCTCCCCCAAAAAGCTTAACAACTCTTGGCAATCTCCCCCATTCTCTAAATTCAAAACAGGGGGCGTCTTGTACATGGGGCGTGTTATACACGGAAAATACAGTATATGCCACAGTTCACGGTGAAATGTGCAAATTACACTCACTGCCAGCATCTATATTTCCCTTTCTGAGTGTTTCCAAAACTCAAATTCTATTGAGCTGCGTGTGTTTATAGCACAACCCTTGTAAGACTGGCAGTGGGAGCTTCCTCCTTGTACAGTTTACAGATCACAAGTATGCAAATCTCATTCCTTGGTTGGGAAGTTTACTAAATATGTTCTAGAGCTTCATGACGTAGCTTTGCACCCTGCAGATCTTGTCAAATTCATTTATTTTAATTACCATTCCTGCTCTGAGTGATAATGCTCCAGAGATGTTACTGACAGCATAAATAGCTCAAGGTATTAATGAAAGACATTCAGCTGGACCATTAAAAATGAAATAAATGAAGGCGAAGATTCTAGGCTACTCTCGGGGTCACGCTACATCCTGTATTAAGTAGGAAGCTCCAGCGTAACATGTAGTTTGGCCACCACAGCCTTTATATCCCTGATCAGCAACTGGTCTACCAGGATGGCTGCTGCTTTGGCTGCTGCTATTATGTTTTTATATGCACTGGTAGCCACTCAGATGGGTGGGGTATAAATATTATTATTATTATTATTATTATTATTATTATTATTATGAAGGCTTAAGCTGAGCAGGCCTGAATCTGGTCACTGTCTATGGTTTACTGCCTTGTAATGACATGCATGCCACCTCAGGTCCCACTATGGAAGAAAGGCAAAACGTAAATGGAAGAAAATACTGTACTTTTCTGTCTATAAGACGCCCCCTATTTTTGGGGACTCAAAATTCAGAAAATGGGGGTGGGGGAGAGATGGCTCTGCTTTTTTGCAGAGGATTGACCAGAGTTTTACAGCTTTTAGGGAGGGGGAATTGCCAAAAATCGCCCATACGCAGCATCGACGCTGACAATCACCGGCAGCCAGCAATCATCCACTTGCCACAGGGACAGCCAATCACAAACAGACCCTTCCCCAGCAAAAAATCTTTTACCCGACTGAGAAAAGCTGTCCGCTGGCAATCACGTGCATCCCAGAACAGCAGCCACCAATCGTGGCAGCGGCAGGCAATCCATAGCAGTGTTTGATGCAGAAACCAATCACCAACCCCATTAGAGAAGCAGCAGCCAATCCAAAGCAGCCCTTCTAGCAGCCAACAATCATTGGTGACAAGCTCCTGCTTGCAGCTGCAGCCAATCACCCATCCACCCCATTCACTATCCATGTATAAGACGAGGCACGTTTTTGAACATAATTTTGGAGTAAAAAAATATTGTCATATACAGTCATACCTCATGTTACGTTTGCTTTATGTTACGTTTTTTCAGGTTGCGTCCCGCGGCAATCTGGAAGTACCAGAAAGGGTTACTTCAGGGTTTCGCCGCTCGCGCATGCGCACAAGCGCTAAATCGCGCTTCACACATGCGCACAATCGCCAAATCATGCCGCACACCTGCACAGATACAGCGTTTCAGGTTGCGGGCTTTTCATGTTGCGAACGGGCCTCTGGAACAGATCCCTTTCGCAACCAGAGGTACCACTGTACAGTGGTACCTCAGGTTACAGACACTTCAAGTTACAGACTCCGCTAACCCAGAAATAGTACCTTAGGTTAAGAACTTTGCTTCAAGATGAGAACAGAAATCATGCGGCAGCAGTGGGAGGCCCCTTAGCTAAAGTGGTACCTCAGGTTAAGAACAGTTTCAGGTTAAGAACGGACCTCCAGAACAAATTAAGTTCTTAACCCGAGGTACCACTGTACATGGAAAAGTACGATACATGCAGGGGGCTCAACCCATAGCCTCCAAAGGTGGCCTCTCAGCCACATTCTGCTGCCACAGATGTCGTTTTTTTCTCAGCACCTTATGTCCCAAGTTGGCAGCTGGAAGGAGGGAGCAACCAACATCTGTCGTGGGACCATGTCTGCCCACCCCTTCAGGACAACAGCACCTCGCCTTTTCCGATGTGAGTTCTCAGACAGCTTAAGTGCTCCATCTGAAACAGAAGCTGCTCCTGCAGATTTAAGCACCGTCTGCATCTAACGTCTCGCTCAGTTTGCAGGAAGGCAGCACCATAGTAAAAAACTGAGTTTGGAAGAGATGACAACGAACAGAATATCATCATTTTTGCATGGATGAAGTCCCAGATGCCAGTGCCTGTTTCAAAGCTGATGTTTTCCCTCCTCCACTTATTCCAAGGATGAAGAGTGGCAGCTTCTTCAGTTAACAGATGTCTCTGGAAATGATATAAACGAGCCCAGATAAACTGCAGAGACGGTATAATTTCAAGGCTGGAGCAGGGAACCTGTAGTTCCCTCAGCCTAATTTCACGCAACATTCTGCAAGTAAGTTAGTTCAGATCAGAGGGGGAGTTGGAAGAGGGGATCTAAAACAGGCTGGTTCACATGTTGCAAGGAACACTAAGCTGTCTCTACACATGTACAAGTGTTTGTGTGAAAAGGTGCTCACTTGATGACTCAACTGTTGTGTACGCAGGCATACAGCCTCTTTATATTCAGTGCTTCTTTTTCAGGGGGTACTCAAGGCTACGCAGTACCGGCACCACTTTTTGTTGTTGTTAAAAAGCATGGCACTTACTTTAACAATTTCATGCTGAGTACCGGCAACTATTTTTCTAGGGAAAAAGCACCGTTTATACTCATTGAACTTCCCATGTGAATAACTGCACGGATATACAGTGGTACCTCGGGTTACATACGCTTCAGGTTACATACGCTTCAGGTTACAGACTCCGTTAACCCAGAAATATTACCTCGGGTTAAGAACTTTGCTTCAGGATGAGAACAGAAATCGCGCAGTGGCGGCATGGCAGCAGAGGGCCCCATTAGCTAAAGTGGTGCTTCAGGTTAAGAACAGTTTCAGGTTAAGAACGGACCTCCGGAACGAATTAAGTACGTAACCAGAGGTACCACTGTACAGCTCAATTACTTTGTACACAGACTATATACACTTGCTGAATGAGACACGCGAACAACCCTAGAAAGATGGAAGGATGGGGGAGGGAGAGAGGGTGTATGCAATGTAATGCCGCCTCCCCCCCCCCCAAGTGTTAGAAGCTGAGATATATGAAAGCTAGGAGCACCTTAAATATAGGTTATGGGCGCAACAATAGAATGTCTAGGCACGCTTTTTTTAAATAACAAGAATACATAGCTAAAAATGAATGAACTGTACCTAAAATATTATGTTCATTTTTCACATGGCCTAGTCCTTCCCCTGCCCACCTACCCCCCCTAATATTCTTAAGAGGATCTCTTCTCTAGTCTTCAGAGAGCAGCTGGAAGTGGGGAGGCAGAAAAAGGTCTTCCTTTCCTTCCGCTCTGCAGTTTTAATCCAAAATCTTAGGCGCAGTATTGTGCCCAGAGCTCAGAAACTGCCCGCAATCCCCTGTCACAAAATGTGCCTAGAACAATGGGAGTTTTGAACACTGACCCCACCACACACCCACCCCAGGCCATTCTGGTGTCTGAGGCAGATGATCTCACAAGGGGTCTCTCTCACCTCCCTGCTAACAATCATAACGCAACACAGTACTATCCTAATGAATAGTTAACATTATGCTGCCCTTTGACGGCAGCTGCCTGAGGCAAAAGCCTCACTCTATCTGATAGTAGGGCCAGACCTGTGAAACCTTTCTTTATGCATGCCTCTCAAGTCCTCGCTAAACCAGAGACCTGTAGGACACTAGCAGTGAAGAGACAACATAAGGTGTGTGCTTTGTCAATTACCGTATTTTTCGCTCTATAGGACGTACTTTTTCCCCTTCAAAAATGAAGGGGAAATGTGTGTGCGTCCTATGGAGCGAAGACGCCATAGCCCCGCGACCCTCTCCCGGCTGGAGAGGTGACACGCGGCTATGGCAGGAGCCTCTCCGCTGCGCCTTTCCGCTGCTCCCTGACCTGCTCTTTGAGGATGGTGGTGGGCTTCCCCCCGCCAGCCCCAAAGAGCAGGTCAAAAGGAACCTGAAGCCTGGAGAGCGAGAGGGGTCGGTGCGCACCGACCCCTCTTGCTCTCCAGGCTTCCAAGGTAGCCGCCTGAACGCACCTTAAATGGCACCTTGTTTTAGAGTGGGAAAACAAGAGAGGGAAATTCTCCCCTCTCTGCGCAGTGCCTCCTGCCGCTTCGCTGAAGGGGCGCTGGGCAGAGAGGGGAGAATATTTTTTCTTGTTCTCCCCCCTCTAAAACAAGGTGCGTCCTATTGTCCGGTGCGTCCTATGGTGCGAAAAATACGGTAATTGCTAGCCAACCTCTCATCCTAAAAGGCCTCTTAGAATGCCATCAAAGTGGCCCTCCAGATCCTGTATCAAACGATCCCCCAGAGAAAAAGCAAGCCGCTTGATCCACATCTGGCGTTATCATTAACAGGTTGTAAATTGCCAAGCATCGTGATTAATAATGCGCCTTTGTTTTCTAAGGACTTTACCGAAATTTTAAGCAGTTATTTGGTGCATTTCATTTTCATCATTGGGTGGGGTGGGGAGGTTCAGATTTTCTGCCTCTGACACCAAAATGGCTTGGGCATCTCAAGACAAAAAGTGTCTGAACTGACAGAGTTCTGATATCCATTAGGCTAAGGTCAGAGGATCTGTCCATTTTCACAGAAGTCAGACTACAGTGCCATAAAAATATACAGTGGTACCTTGGTTTTCAAACATAATCCGTTCCAGAAGACGGTTCAAGTTCTGAAATGTTTGAAAACCGAAAACTCAACAGCTGACAGCTAGGCCTCAGGATCTTGCACTGAGCGGAAGCCGTGTGGCATGTTCGACTTCTGAGGCGTGTTTGAAAACTGAAGCACTTATTTCCGGGTTTACACCAGCGTTCGAAAACCGAAATGTTCATCAACGGAGACATTAAAAAACCAAGGTACCACTGTAAAGCAAATTATGAATTCTATAGCTTACAGAATGGAAGCATGATATCCTAGTAATTATAAAGGTGCATGTCATACAGGTAAATAATTGGCTGTAACAACAATGTAAGGCTATAGGAGCCTCCTTTATACAGAGTCAAGTCTACCGGTGCATTTGGTGTAAAACCTTTGACTTTGACTAGCAGGGGTTTTACAGGGATTCAAACAGGAGACATTCCCAGCCCTACTTTATAGCCAGGGATAGCTCAGTTGGCAGAGCATGAGACTCTTAATCTCAGGGTCATGAGTTTGAGCCCCATGTTGGGCAAAAGATTCCTGCATAGCAGGGGTTGGGCTAGGTGATCCTTATGGGTCCCTTCCAACGTTCAGGTTCTATTTGGAGATGCTAGGATTGAAACTGGGACCTTCTGCATGCAAAGCATTTGCTCTGCCACTGAACTATGCTCCTTTTCACCAAAGGATTCAGAACAGGATAATGTTTATGCAAAGCAATTCCACGTAACTCCATAAATTTCAACGTGCATCTTTTTGTCAGTGGCTTTCACCCTGCTCACAAACTTAGATCCAAACATTTCAAGTAAACTTTCTAAACATAACCTCTCGCATTCTATTTGGGAACAAGCAAGATGTGATTTTTTTCAACTTGGTCAAAAAGAATTCCCTGAGTTTGAGAAGTTCTCGCTCAAGGTCATAAAAGGCCTACATTAGACTATCATATTCACAACAGGGTTTATTATTATTATTATTTATTTTAAAAATTAGCAGCTCTGCTGGTGAACACACTTTGGCAGCCGAAATTGCCTTTGGCACCATAGCAAATGGAGCTTTAAAGCCCTGCCCTCTCTAAAAATCAATAAAAAAAATCCCCCTGGACTTCAGAGTAAGAGCAAGGCAAACACTCTGTGCCACTTCAAAAACCTCACTGGTGCATTCAGATCATACATCACATTGGGTGGAAAAACAGATTGGATTTTTAACTGGATGACTGCTGCACCGGGTCCATTACATCAGACGATGCGGCCTGTTGCTGATGAGAATACATATAATATATCTGACTAGTTAGTTAGTCCCTGTCATCCCAAAGCAATAACTCGGCTATAGTCAATCACTGCTTATCTTCTAGAATTGCATTTTTCATCTTTTTGTCAGGCTCCAATTAGTCCCTGAACAGAATTTACCAATGATGCACAGGGGGAAAAAACAAAAGACAAAGAGCACCAGTAAATTTGCCTTAAAAGACAACCAGCTGTATCCAATGTTAATCATACCCAGAGTAGACCCATTGGAAAATGGACATCAAATTAGATCCATTAATTGGGGTGGGTCTACTCTAGGTAGAAGTTAGTTGGCTAAAATTCTCAGCTATGGAGAAGATGCAACAGAATTATCATACAGCATTCTATCCTTTTATTTGTATCATTTGTCTATATATTGCATTGTATCCTGCCCAGGTATCTAGAAGAATGGTGGGTTATAAATACTTTTAACAGTTAAATAAACATACAGACAAGAACCAGGTGCCAACCCTTAATTCAAACACACCTATAAAGTCCCATGAACCCTGGGACAAGTAATGTACTGTAGAGTAAAATGCAAACAAGAGCTTGCTTGTATGCAGAAAGGTATCTCTGCTTGCTTTTACAGTTGTATTATACAGACACTCAAGGGTTCCCATTTTCCTGCTACTTGGACAGTCTACTCCTGCGCATTGAACTGGTCCTCGGCACTGGAGTTTTCCAGATGTACATGCTTGGCTTGGAAAGCCATCTACCCATCCTATTGGGAACTGGGAGCCCATTGGGACAGCCATTTGGGCCCACGGCAGCTGCTTGAATTCCTGTGCCTGTCGGATCCCTCTACGTGGGTAGCTGGTTAGGTGCTGTTGCTGCTGCCTCCAGGCACAGGGAGATTAAATGCTTTGCATTCCACCACAAAGCTTTGAAAGAAAGAAAAAGACATTTAAGAGTGGTGAGCAGAGCAAAGTCCACTTCATGGTGGCAAATACAGATGCAGCGAAATTTCTGTTAGGTTTTGTATGTAGTTGTTTGCAGCTGTATGTAGTTGGTTTATGCCACTTTTAATATTTGCTGGTTGTATTTTGTACTTTTTCTATGCTTACTCCCGGAGAGGGGCTGGTAGATGAACAGTATGTAAGCAAATAGGAAGTTCTCCGCTTACATAGTGGAATGGTGCAGCCAATGATTTCAACCAACTGAAGAAAACTTTATAAAAAGTTATACTGCAAAGGTATTGTCTATTTTTCTTTTAAAAAACCATTTTTAATAATAATATTGCAGATAAATGTTGGTGATGCCGTGTTAACGATGCTTGATTTTTTTTTTTTACACATTTGGAGACAGTGTTAATATTTACATTACAACAATTTAGGTATGCTTTCAATTATAGGAGATGTTCTATAACAGGAGATGTCGCAGGGAGTGCTACTGAATGAGCCAAGAAACTGGGCAGAAAGCTGAAGGAATGGTTGGGTAGTTTATTAGCTGGAGCAAAAAAGCTTCACACACAGAATAGGAATGTGAAAACAGCAGTGGGGGGGGGGGACTACTAAAGAAAGAAAAAGAAAGTATGTGTTAATGTGCAAATTGGCCTTCAGTATTAAGACATGAAAGGAATTGTAACGCTAGGAAACTGGAGAAAAATTAGCACATGGTGGTTGATGATAACCAATAGTAGTCCAACTGAAAAGCAGACCCATCCAAATCAATAGACTTAAGTGACTTAAGACCATTAATTTCAGTGGGTGTACTCTGAGAATGGCTTAATTAGATATTGCCCTTTGGGGGGAAAACTTTCAAAAGAGTAGGTGCACAAAAATATTTATTTAGTTACTTAAGTACATTTCTGCAGTTCACTATAATGAAAACCATAAAATATAAAACACAGACACAAGGAATCTAAAACCAACCGTGCAGTATAAAACCTATGACAGAGAAAACAGCAGCACAAAAGGTATAAAGAATAGTAAAACACTTTTCTAATGGCCCTGGAGGAGTAAAAAGATCTTCATCTGGCAGCAGGAAGACCACAGCATGAGTGCTAGGCGGGACTCTCTATAACAACCGTAAAAGTATAATATTTGTTTCAACATTATAGCCCTTCTTTCCTAGATTTTATTTGACAAATGATAAACACCATGTATGTACTCTTTAATATATGTGTGAATGCGTGATCTGCAGCGTTAGTCAGATGGACCCACTGAAGTCAAAGGATTTAGCTTGTCAATTTCAGTGTGGATCTATTCCACTGAAGGAGCGTCACCACCCCCGTTGTTCAGCCCGGACACTGAGGTCCAGCTCCGAGGGTCTTCTGGTAGTGGCGCCTGCCCTATGGAATGCCCTCCTATCAGATGTCAAAGAAATAAACAACTATCTGACTTTTAGAAGACATCTGAAGGAAGTCCTATTTAGGGAAGTTTTTGATGTTTAATGTTTTATTGTGGTTTTAATATTCTGTTGGGAGCCGCCTTTTAAGTGTTGTTAAAAATGTTTCCTTTTAAATTCTATGGCAGTGGTCAGGAAACCTCGAAAGGAGCAACGATGAGCTTGAAACGCATGTAGCCTGAACCTCACAACCTTCCTAGCACATATTGAGATATATGTGTGTATATGTTTGTGTACACACACACACACACTCTCTCTCTCTCTCTCTTACAGACTAGGCTGCAGGGGCACCATCTCACCCTCAGAATCGTGGGTGCCCTCCACCACAATGCAGGCATGCTACGTCACATGCACATGCATGTACATAGCACATGCCACATCACACGCACGACGTGCAGGCGTGTGTATGTGACATTGCATGTCTGCCTTACAGTGGTGGCAGTGGCTGCTCTTCCTCCTCCTCTCCGCAGCCAGCAAGGCACCCTTTTCTGCAGGAGGAGCTCAGACTCTGAGGAAAAGGCTGCCTCGCTGGCTGGCTGGAGAGGGCAGAGCTGAACTGCTTCTCTCTCGGAGGCAGCGCCACTGCTGCCTGCCAGCTTTTCTTATTGACTTTGTGGGTGCCTGACCCCCACAATTACATTATTGTGGGTACCCAAGCACCCATGGCCCCTTGGAGTTGGCTCAATTCTCATTTGTGACTTTAACTACAAAAGTCTACTGCACTTTTCAACAAACACTATAAAAAGATGGCGACTCAGTCCTACGCAAACAGTGTAATCCTATGTACGTTTACTGAGGAATAGGTCCAACCACTGTACTTAATAGAGCTTGTTCTCAGGTACAGTAAGTATGCTTAAGATTGCAGTTTCAAGTCACTTGCTCATGCGCAACACGATCCAAACCAAGTCCCACTGAGTGCAATGGAACTTGCTTCTCAGCCAAGTGTGCTTAGGGTTGGTATTAGTAGAAAACAAGTCTGTTATAAAACAGAAACCGCGTCACTTCCCATCAACTGCAGCAATTTTCTCTGCATGCTTTCCTGTCGTATTAAGAACATTTGCTCCCTGCTCCTAATGATAATGGCATGTAATCCCAAACCTATTATTTTAATACAAGGTACAGCTATACTTCAGCTTAACATCAACTGTTGATTAAAAAGATGGGATAGGCTACATTAAGCAAATTGTTTTCCCATCCCTGTATAACCACAGCTCTTATTTTACTGTTACTTGAGTTGGCACAGCTCCTGCCAACTCAGGCTTACTGGAGAGGAGCAAACATAAACTTTGCTGGACATATTTCATCCATACGGAATGAAAGCTAATGAAAGTCAATACAGCTTTGCTTTTTCATTAGCCGATCTATAGGCACTGCGGATAGAACAATCCATGTACCATTTCTCCTTTAATTTGCTCTAGCGAGATTCTATTGCAAGGTTTCCATCGCCAGTCACGTTCTGGTCTATTCTGACAGAGTGCTGTAAACCAAGCTGGTTTTCCCAGTGAAATTTCTTTCCTAGCACAGTATACACCTTTGCAGTTGATCCTAAAACTACCACTATAAACCTACTGCTGGACTCCCCTTTAGACCAGCACTGCCAGAATAAAATTCCAACCCAGGAAAGTAGGACCTAGGGCCCTCCAGACACTGCTAGACTAAGTCCCATCTTCCCTGTCCACTGACTGGTGCAAGTAGCAGCTCAAAGCAGCTCAACACTTCTAATTGAGTTCCACTCTCTCAAAATCATGGCTTAAGATCATTCAATTATGGCCAGACTCAACAACAACAATAACAATTATTTCTATACTGCCCTTCATCTGAGAGTCACAGGGCGGTTTACGATATTAAAGCACAAAAATACACAGCATAAAAGCAAAGATCTGAAAATAAAGTTCCAAATCAAAGGTTAAACTTCACTTTCAAAGTGAACTAAAAGAGCCCCCAAACCCTGCAAAGATCACAGGCTATCAAGTAGCTTTGTCTACCTCACAATATTTGACCTTTAAAGAAGAAGAAGAACCAAGATTGTTACAAATACTGGCCTTTGAATAACAGATTGCCTGGGAGAAATACTCTAAAATTACTTCTTCAGGGATGGCTGTGTCAGGTAGCTGGAACAGAGATTTTGAGGAGGAGGAGCATCAGAGCCAAACTGCATCCTGCACATGCCTCTAAGCATTCATGGAAGTCACATTTAAGTGTATTTCTGTTAGCAACCAGTTCCTCCTAGTTCCTACTGATCTTAAGAGGGAGACTAGAAGCCTATTGCATCTGGGCCAGGAGCCCATCTAATTCTTCATCAACCGGCAATAGCTCTCCAGGTTTTTCAGAGAGGACTCTTTCCCAGTCCTCCCTGGAGATGCTGGCGACTGAAGTTGGGACCTTCTGGAGGAAAAGCATGTGCTACAGTCCTTCAGCCTTGCCTGATGAAAGCATGCAAATTATTGCTTTTAAAACTCAAACCTAAACATGTCAACTCAGGCCTAAGCCCATGTGAGGATTACAAGTGTAAAGAAATTCAAGCAAAGCTGGCGTGGCACAGAACCGGGGGCTGGGTACACAGAAAACTCTGGCAAGCATGGGCACTTAAGAAACATATGTTCAATGGTAACACTTGAGAGATATACATACTGGAAGGACCATTTCCTTCCAGTGGCAGCATGGACTCTGTCTCCAGTCCTTTGAAGAAATACTACTGCAGAACAACCTTGACCCAGAAACGTCCGAATTCCCAACTGTGAAGGAATAAGCCTTATTTGATGTTCTACCACAGATCTGGAATGCTGCGCAAAAGACTCTCTACACCCCCCCCAAAAAAACCTTGACAAACATATAAATTGTCCAGAGGAATTCATAATGTGTAAGGCCACTGAAAGCATTAGTTGCAGAAAATGTTCCAAGCAAGTCTGAGGAAGCCTCCCTCTCTTTTACTTAATTCAAATATAAAGATAACCCAGCCTCTGAATACAGAAACCAGGGCATGCATGAACATATACATACAAACACGCACTTAAGAGTCCATACTTGCAAAGATGGCTTCCATAGTCTCTAGCTCTTCCTAGCTAGCTATATTCAAGCAGTCATGTTCAGGAAAACATGATTTAAACTTAGTGACCTAAGAGGAAGAGTGCAGTGGCAAATGCCTGTAATCCTGGAAGCAGAGGCTGGTGGATTGCTTGAGCTCAGGAGTTTGGGGCTGCTGTGGGCTATGCCAATCAGGTGTCCGCACTAAGTTCAGCGTCAATAGTGTGCTCCAAAGGATGCCATTTCTGAAAGTTACCCATTGCCAAGAGTAAAAGCCATCCTAACGATGTCACATTCTTGGGGGGGGGGGGGTTGACCAGGTAGCACAGCTATCCCTTGAATAACATGGATATCCCATGAATAACAGCATGGACAGCTCTTCCTGTTGCCATGTTGGTTCTAGATCAAAAGCTTGGCAACCTGTGGCCTTAGGCCTCATTTCATGCAGCCCTTGGCCCAGTTTCAAAATGCCTCTGCAATTGATCAGGACCGCTGGTGAGAGTGATTTGTCCCTCCCTTGGCAACCTACTGGCCAGGTATGACAAAAAAGACACACAGAGAGAGAGAGGGACAGAAGGAGAGACAGACAGAGAGCGACAGAGAGATGGGTGGCAGAGAGAAAGAGAAGGAGTGGCCTGTCCAATTTGTCCTCTAGCCCCAACCGCTGCTGGCTTTGGCTCCTGATTATTACCCTCAAAGGAACAGACTGATTTCACAAAGTTAAGTTAAGCTAAGCAGATATATAAGATTGAATGTTTAATTATTAAGATACAAAAATACAATCTCAATAATAAAGTTATAAAATAATAACAAGGAAGTCACGCATGGGTGGAGGGAAGACACAGGGTAATAAATAAGAAATGGATAAATGTTGGTACATAATGAAATGTGAAAATGTGAATTTACGAATATAATGCATATGTATCATTATGTATGTATTGCAACATTAATAATAAATAAATAAATAAAAGGAATTTGCTCCCAGAGAAAAAAGGCTGCCTAGCTATCCTCTAGATCAGTGGTTCCCCACCTCTTTTGGCCATGCCCCACCTAACATCTCTAAAATCCTGTCCCCCCCCCCCCCGACATATAATTCTTATTATTCAAAAAGTGGACTTCTATTCACATGGAGGAAACCTAAAAAGCCATTCACTGTTAATAACTTATTCTTGAATTACCCCCCCCCTTTAAAATCAAATTGCCCCCCATGGGGCATATGCCCCATGCTGGGAACCACAGCTTTAGATGATACCGTGGGTCTTCTGTCAGATGCGATTTTAATGGACTTTTCCACTTACCCAATGAAAGCTTAATTTTTTTAAGCTACCTGATGTGGAGGAGGAAGCAAGGGCAGATTATAGGAAACAGTCCATTACAATTTCCCAGGAAATTTTCACTGCCCTTGCTTAACCATGCTCCAAATTATATACTTAGCACATTTATTCCCTTAATCCGCTGAAAATGTGAGTATTTGTGACAGGATTTTGAAGCTGTGGAGGAGAAAGAAAGGACAGTGCAAGGATGTCTATGAAATCAGAGTATCCAGCCTTATGAGTCCATTAGATCAGGACTAGGTTAGATGTAGGCCTTGCCCTGTCTAGTTTTCTTTTTCTTTCTTTTTTACTAAAATCTTCATGGTCTATCAATGTACAATGCAAGAATGCACACCCAGGATCTACTGCCATCTATACAAAATTCCATCAATATGACTGGCATTTCAGGAAGTATAAGTGGAGGGAGAGAAGAGATGAAGGCAGCAGCACTGTATACTGTATATTGCTTCAGTTGCACGCACTTAAACTTAAGTTGCCGTGGCGCATGGGGAGGTTAAGGAATGGCTAATCAGTGCTATGCACCCCTGAGAGTACATTATTGCTGAATAAAGTGCCTTGCTTGCTCAGACCAGGACCCATCAAGTCCAGCATGCTTTGCAAGAATCCCAGCAGGCCTTGGGGGCCTAGAAATTGGCCCGGTGGTTTCCCAGTGAACCATGATCTACCGTCACATTACCATATTTACTCAAATGTAATACACACCTTTTTTGGCTAAATTATGTCATGAAATTTAGGCTACCCCTTAGCTTTGATGCCCCATTTACATTCGCCAGCAAATACTTTTTTGGTTTCAAGGCTCTGAAAATGGAGGTGCGCGTTAGATTCGATGGTGCATTAGATTCACGTAAATACAGTATCTCCCATTTTTAGGTTCTCTGCAATGCTGATTGCTTCAACTTTTCCTAAAGTTAAAGACCAAAGCTAACGCACATAACCGCTTCTCCTTCTGCGCCCAAGCCTCTCTTTCTATGATTTCCAAGAAAAAATTAGCACCAAAAGCAGAATGATAACTTAAACAAGTCACCTAAAATTACATCTTTCGCCTCCTCCGATTCCCCAGTCCTGCATACAGAGCACCCCGCCACCACCAATTCCTCTTCGTGCCCCAGCGTCAGCTATTTTATCCTTAAGTTTACATATATTAAGATAAACACCCATATACTTTCTTTTTATTTTTTGGTCTCCCAGGCACAGCGGATCAAAGCAGCCAGCGAATGTGAAGCTGTGCTCATATGCACAGGAGGAATTAAGACGCGGGAGTTGGGGGGGAGGGAGAGAAGGAAGGAACCGGAGTTTTAAATCCCCAAATCGAATCCATCTGGAAGCCAATGCCGGAGGGGAGCGCGCTCTTCGGGTGCGGACGCGCACGCCGCACGCGCGCACACAAACTCGAAACGCGGAGGGGCAGGATTGGGGTGCGGGGTGGGGGTGACAAATATAAAAATCTAGGTATTTGATTTGTTTGGTTTTACCTTGGAGATTTTGGACTCTGATGTCGCTGATCTGTCCGATCAGCTCCTCCCGCTGAAACCAGTCCCATTCGTTCCCAGCCATGAAGGAGCGAGGCAGAAGTGGCGATGGAAACGCCGCGGCTGCAAAAGCGGGGGTACCCCTCTCCGTGAGCTCCCTCTCTCTCTCCCCCTTCTCCGAAAGCGCACTCGGGCGGAGGCAGGATAGGGGGAGAGAGAGAAAGCAAAACGAGGAAGAGAAGGAGGAGAGAGAGAGAGAAGAGAGCGCAACCGGCAGGGGAGCGATGGGAGGGAGCAGGAACTGCTTGGCCAGAAGAGTTTGGGGAGGGGGGGTGGCGTTCAAAGCCACTGAGCAGACACAGGAGGGGTATAGGGAGGGTGGGTCCGAAAAAAAACACCAGACCTCACATTTACGCACAGGAAAAGGGCAGTACGCGGAGGAGAGGGGTGCAGAAGGTATGGGGAGGGGGCTGGCTGGAGAGGGACCCGGAGCCTCTTCTGGACGGGAAGGAAAGCCCCGCGCTCTCCCCAACTCTTCCCACCCCCTTCCCGGTGGGTTCAAGTTTTTAAAGGACGGAGGTGAAGCCTGAGGATTCTCGGTTGCATGTTGTGATGTTTCGCACAGAGGCGACGCAGCCGCTGGTTTGAGTGAGGAAAGAGCCGCCGCGCAGAAATGCGCACACAAACACCACCTGGTTAATGTTTACTGGAGAGCAAGACGCGTAGCGCTGGCGCCGGCCACCCATTCACACGCCTCTCTCTCTAGGCCAACGTCAGCCTCGCCTCCTCTGCTCTCTTTTTTTTCTGGCCAAGAGGATAAAAAAACAATCGCCATCTGATTAATCATTTTTTTCCAATTGCCAATTGGTTGGTGGGAGGGAGGCAGGAAGGAAGGAGAAGAGGGAGGGGACGGGGGGGGTGTCTCCAAATCTCTGGGAAAAGCAAGCAGATATTCTGGTTAGCGCGACCGTCCCCTCTGCCGGTAGCAAGAGCAGCAGCAGCAGCCCCCGCTTGCAAAATGAAGACATGAGACCAAGCTCTGCATTCCTGCTTGGGGATTTCAAACCGTGTGTGTGTGGCGGAGAGGAAAGGAAAGCAGCGCAGGGGGGCGAGAGGGAGGAGATCCGTATCACCCGAGCAGAAAAGAAGGGCGGAGAGAGAGCGCGCAGGAGGGACGGGAGGAGGAGCAAAACCCTCCAACCTGTAGGTTCCGGGGACATCCAGGACTCAAGGAAAAATAAACAATGCAAATTTTTTAAATGCCCAGAAGAAGAATTTGGGCAAACTGGTTAATTTCTGCGAGGGCTTCTTCCGGTCCTACCGTCTGCCAGTAACAAGCTGCAACAGGAGAGAGTGAGAGAGCTCTTTTCTTCAGGTTCTTGTATAGTTTCTCGCCTCCAACCATCTCATTTAGCACTGGATGAGTTCCAGATCCGTTTGCCAGTTGAGTGTTTCTCAGTATGCGATACTCGATAAATAGCTTTGTGGTCTAGCATAGGGCACGTGCTCAGCCGATTTCATGTTTCACGTGGGAGCAGGTTGGAAAAATTATTTACGCAGGGATCGAATGGCCCTAATTTGGGAGGAGACTCGCACGTTTGGGGCGCTTCTGAACCGGAGGGTCTCTCCGGATGATGGCCTTGTTATTTTAAGGAATGCAAAACCAGTGCTTTTTCTTCCCTGGTGGTACTCAAGGGTACGCAGTACCGGGCTACCGGCACATTTTTTTCCTTGAAGAAAAGCACTGTGCACAACTCTCTTGAATTTAATGCAGGCAATCCAAATGCAACATGCAAATGGTGTTTCTTGATCAGGATTCAAAAGTGCAATTTGGCCAGTTTGCAAAATTTTCCCTACTAGCACCAGTACTGCTGTTGGGAGAGCTTGGGAAGATGGTCCTAGGTGCCCATAAACATCACAGAGGGCAAGTGACACATTCTGCTCCCCCTCTTGCTTGTTTAATGTTGCCAGATCTCTGGATCTGATCCAAAGTTTTCAGGTTTGGACCTCCTTTTCTATGTCATCAAGGAGAAGGAGCTAAACCTCTGGATGACTGGAAGAGCAAGGATAGCCATAAGTATTTGTGTGAGACAATGCACACCGTGGTGGGTATTGGGAAATGACAGAAGCAGGTACCTTGGTGAGCTGAGATCAGCCTCAGCTGGAGCCACAATAGCAGGGTGAGCATGTATCTTACTTTACAGAATGGCTTTCTATTTGAAGAACTGTTGGACAAACCTCTTCTAGAAGATGCCCTCAATCTGAAGGGCTGTTCAGTCCAAGGGACGCCAAAAAGGGAGAGCAAAGGGGTCCTTAAGGTTGCCCACTAATGATTAGAAGTTCCACAGCAGGCACACAAGTCACATGGTCATAGACTCTGTCTGTATTTGAAATATTTGCATCTTTACATATCAGCTAGCATATGCAAATTTTATGCAAATACATTTCTTTTTTTGGCCAGGCATTTCTTCTTTTTAAAAAATGTGTAAGTGGCTCTGTACCCTATAGTGAGTTCCTACTTTGGTCAGCCTTTCTGTTTCATCTCTACCTTTGTCTTGTCAGAGGTGACTGGGAGTTGGTTCCACATCATAAGCCGTCTCCCCCTATTCAGAGAAACACAGCACTCGATGTGTCTTGCGTGCAACAAACTGTATGGCTTAGTGCCATTATACTGCCGGTCTCCAAAAACTGATTTTACCCCACTGGCCAGCTAAATTTTCTACTGGGGCATCCAATTCCTTCACCCCTTTGAAAATCATCGTGAACTTTGGGAGGAAGCAGAAGCTGATGGTAAAAATCCTCAAAATGACCTGTTTCGCTTTTGCTGCCAGAAATGCATACAAACTAACTGACTGGCCAAGTGATTCTCCTGCAACAGACACAAGGAAAAAGCTCTGTGTGGGTGGGTAGGATAACAGAGCCTCTGCTAATTATGATGTGGAGAGAGAACGCCGCTCTCCTGATGCAACTGCCTTCTTTAAGCAAATATGGAGGAGGCTATCCCACAGAGAAATGACAACACGCCCCCTCCAAAAAAAATATTCCTGAGCTGTTAAATAAGTAATGGCCACTAGTAATTGAAATAAATATTTAATTATTGTATGCACTTTATAGCTTTTCCATCTTGCCTGTGTGCTTAATACATGGGCAAGTGCAATAAAGATACGTGCGGCACGATCCTCCGCATGCATGTTGACTCGGATGTAAAACCCACTGAGATTAGCATGGATCGCTGTAGCTTGGTGGTAGAGGATCTGCTTTGTACTGCAAATGCTCCCGAGTTCAGTGGCATCTCCAGGCAAGGCTGGCGAAAGGTCGGTGTGCCTTGGCTGAAAGTATTATAGCTGCTATTGTGGTTCAGATAACATGCTGAGTCACATATTAGCACTTTCCCTCATACAGGGCTCCCTCGGCAATCTCGGGATGCACGGTTAGTATTCTATAGATCCATAGACTGTTGTGATTCCAAATGGATCTCTGTTCTGTGAACTTGGCATGTTTTAGCCAGAACTCAAAGTTTCCATAACTGGTCTAGCAACTTTGAGTATCGGTAGTAACGATCAGATAGGGTGGACGGGATAGGTTCAGGTATCAGCATCATACCCATAAAGCAAAGTATAAAACAAACAACAGTTGTGGGTGCCAGCCAGTTGCGACGTGCGTTGGCTCACATATACCTCTTCCATTCTAAAAACATGTACTGATTTGCATGCATAGGCACACAGGAAACTACCTGTGCCAGGCTATTGGATCTCAGTTCTGTTTGCACTCACTGGTAGTGGCTCTTCACGGTGGCAGTCAAGGGACGTTCAGAGCCCTTTGTTGTTTAGTCGTGTCTGGCTCTTCGTGACCCCATGGACCAGAGCACGCCAGGCACTCCTCTGTCTTCCACTCCCTCCCGCAGTTTGGTCAAACTCATGCTGGTAGCTTCGAGAACACTATCCAACCATGTCGTCCTCTGTCATCATCTTCTCCTTGTGCCCTCCATCTTTCCCACCATCAGGGTCTTTTCCAGGGAGTCTCCTCTTCTCATGAGGTGGCCAAAATATTGGAGTCTCAGCTTCAGGATCTGTCCTTCCAGTGAGCACTCAGGGCTGATTTCCTTAAGAATGGATAGGTTTGATCTTCTTGCAGTCCATGGGACTCTCAAGAGTTCAGAGCCCTACCTTGAGATTAAAATTGGGACCTTTTGCATGCAAAATAGATGCTCTACTAGTGATCTACATCCCTTCCCCTTATTCAAAATTAAAATTTCATTTAATTAATTTATACTCTGTGTACTCATCCATACTTGATTCCTTTCACTGGTTTGGGTATCATCCAAAAGAGGAGGGAAATCATAGATCCATTCAAGAAGGCATTTGGTGGGAATCTCCCACAGATATGGAACACATTCCAGAAGAACAGACACATTCGCAGCAAAAGCAACACAGTCCTCTTGCGCCTTAATCAGCCATAGTTATACATCCACTTATCTAGGAATAAACCCTACTTAGCAAAATGGATTTTATTATTATTATTCATTACGTGGCCATCACCCCAAAGTCCCAGGGCAGGTTACAACAATTTAAAATACAGCTTTAAAACAACAAACAATTGCAAAATGAGAGTGCGTCCTAAGAACATACTTCTCAGGCTTCAAAGGGGTAAAGAGGTGCACATACATTTATAGGATTGTGCTAATATATTTACTGTGGCATGCACTTTCACAGACTAGATTCTTCTGTGTATTAAAGTATTTAGATAACTTTGGCCACAATGCTAAGCATGCTAAAGGTGTCACAGATTCTATTGAAATTGATGGATCATACTTCAACATACCATATTTAGGATTGGCAAGAAGTCTAAGTCCACAAGCCTATACACCCAAGTACTTCTCATTCACATATGTTGATGTTTATTCCAAATCTCTCTCTTCTGACCAACAAGCATCTCACGTACAGTTAGTTACACTTTGTTCTCACAACCATCCTGTGAACTGGATTGTCAGTTCTCACCCCCCAATGGTGCTCTAGTGACTATTACAAGATCTTATAAACAAGTCAGGATTCAGCCACTACATCTTTCTCTCTTTTCCTCCATCATTCAGTGCCGGCCCTACCATTAAACAGTGGTTACCTCAGGCGGCAAAAGATGGAGGGCAGTGGCAGCAGCCTGCTTGTCATTTCTCTAGAACCCTCAACTTTTTGTCCCCTTTTCTGGAGTAGAGAACTGTTTCAACACAGGATCTTTTCAGTAGTGGGATTTTTATTTATAGAATACGAACCCACATGAAGTCCCTACGGCTCCTTCATTGGTGACTTTTAAAAAGACTGCCAGTATTTCAACCTGCTCTTTATTACATATGTATTAACTGCTGTGCTTTCAATAATGTTTTTACTGCTGATTTTAAAAGGGTGTAATTGTAGATTTCAAGTTACTTATCTTACATGTTGTGTGGTTGATTTTGTATGCGGTCTTGTGATGAAACTTCTTGTGAGGACACAGACGGGATATAAATGCAATAATAAAGGGTTGTCTCCACTAACGTACTCCTCATCCCTTGATACAAAAGATGCCTGCTATCTGTACTTTCTAGAAACAATTAAGCACATTTTTGTTTCGACAAGCTGCATTTGTTTCTCTGCATTTGTTGTTCATTTTGTGTAGCTTTTATAGCATGTATTTTTTTTAAAAAAAACACCATATTTTTAGCACTTTTAATGGTATTTTTGCAAATTACCTTGAGGCTCATGTAAAATCAGTTCATGAATTCTATTATTAATGATTGATAATAATGATAATAATGGATTTTAAAATCCATTACTTTCTGTGCCCCAGCAGGATTTAGGATTATGTAGT